TTTTTAGCCATAGCACAGCTAACTTTCCCAAAATCGAAAAACGAGAGGGGTGGTTAGTGTTGGTCGTTTGCAGCACGAAACAGTCGTTCTTTTGGCTGTGCGTCTTGTTTTGGCCGAGCTAGAGCTAAAAACCCGCAACAAATATTGCATTTTGATTTTTTAGCCATGAAATCAGCATTCGCAGCAAAAGAGCAGTACACCACTGTAAAAAGTGGGTATAGGGGCTTAAAGTGGTGGCTGTAAGCTGAACAAAGCAGTCACTGTTTTAGCTGTGCGTCTTTTCTGAGCAAAATTAGAGCTAAGAAACTGCAACCAAGCCAGGATCTCTGCTGTCAACAGACGTAGCATAATTTCGGGCATAAAAAATCAGTTTTTTGGCAATAGCACAGCCAAAAATGGGCCAAATGAGGAATGTAATACCTCGTATGGCTCGTAACTTGATTGCCATGATTCCCAATTGGTTTGCATTCAAATCTGGGAAACTTCATTGTGGGCCCATTTTTGAAAATTTTGATGATGGTACCCCTTATCAAAAATGCGAAATTTGGGTCAAAATTGACTTTCCCAAAATCGAAAAACGAGTGATAGGGGTGGTTAGTATTGGTCGTTAGCAGCACAAAACAGTCGTTCTTTTGGCTGTGCGTCTTGTTTTGGCCGAGCTAGAGCTAAAAACCCGCAACAAATATTGCATTTTGATTTTTTAGCCTTGAAATCAGCACTCGCAGCAAAAAGAGCAGAACACCACTGTAAAAAGTGGGTATAGGGGCTTAAAGTGGTGGCTGTAAGCTGAATAAAACAGTCACTGTTTTAGCTGTGCGTCTTTTCTGAGCAAAGTTAGAGCTAAGAAACTGCAACAAAGTCGGGCTCTCTGCTGCCAAACGGCGTATACTTGATTTTGGGCGCAAACATTTCAGTTTTTTAGCCATAGCACAGCTAACTTTCCCAAAATCGAAAAAGGGGTGCTAGGGGTGGTTAGTGTTGGTCGTTAGCAGCACGAAACAGTCGTTCTTTTGGCTGTGCGTCTTGTTTTGGCCGAGCTAGAGCTAAAAACCCGCAAAAAATATTGCATTTTGATTTTTTAGCCATGAAATCAGCACTCGCAGCAAAAGAGCAGTACACCACTGTAAAAAGTGGGTATAGGGGCTTAAAGTGGTGGCTGTAAGCTGAATAAAGCAGTCACTGTTTTAGCTGTGCGTCTTTTCTGAGCAAAGTAAGAGCTAAGAAACTGCAACAAAGCCGGGCTCTCTACTGCCAAAATGCGTATACTTGATTTTGGGCGCAAACATTTCAGTTTTTTAGCCATAGCACAAGTAACTTTCCCAAAATCCAAAAAGGGGTGCTAGGGGTGGTTAGTGTTGGTCGTTAGCAGCACGAAACAGTCGTTCTTTTGGCTGTGCGTCTTGTTTTGGCCGAGCTAGAGCTAAAAACCCGCAAAAAATATTGCATTTTGATTTTTTAGCCATGAAATCAGCACTCGCAGCAAAAGAGCAGTACACCACTGTAAAAAGTGGGTATAGGGGCTTAAAGTGGTGGCTGTAAGCTGAATAAAGCAGTCACTGTTTTAGCTGTGCGTCTTTTCTGAGCAAAGTAAGAGCTAAGAAACTGCAACAAAGCCAGGATCTCTGCTGTCAACAGACGTAGCATAATTTCGGGCATAAAAAATCAGTTTTTTGGCAATAGCACAGCCAAAAATGGGCCAAATGAGGAATGTAATACCTCGTATGGCTCGTAACTTGATTGCCATGATTCCCAATTGGTTTGCATTCAAATCTGGGAAACTTCATTTTGGGCCCATTTTTTGAAAATTTTGATGATGGTACCCCTTATCAAAAATGCGAAATTTGGGTCAAAATTGACTTACCCAAAATCGAAAAACGAGTGATAGGGGTGGTTAGTATTGGTCGTTAGCAGCACAAAACAGTCGTTCTTTTGGCTGTGCGTCTTGTTTTGGCCGAGCTAGAGCTAAAGACCCGCAACAAATATTGCATTTTGATTTTTTAGCCTTGAAATCAGCACTCGCAGGAAAAGAGCAGTACACTACTGTAAAAAGTGGGTATAGGGGCTTAAAGTGGTGGCTGTAAGCTGAATAAAGCAGTCACTGTTTTAGCTGTGCGTCTTTTCTGAGCAAAGTTAGAGCTAAGATACTGTGCGTCTTGTTTTGGCCGAGCTAGAGCTGAAAGCCCGCAACAAATATTGCATTTTGATTTTTTAGCCTTGAAATTAACAATCGCAGCAAAAGAGCAGTACACTACTGTAAAACGTGGGTATAGGGGCTTAAAGTGGTGGCTGTAAGCTGAATAAAGCAGTCACTGTTTTAGCTGTGCGTCTTTTCTGAGCAAAGTTAGAGCTAAGAAACTGCAACAAAGTCGGGCTCTCTGCTGCCAAACGGCGTATACTTGATTTTGGGCGCAAAAATTTCAGTTTTTTAGCCATAGCACAGCTAACTTTCCCAAAATCGAAAAACGAGTGATAGGGGTGGTTAGTATTGGTCGTTAGCAGCACAAAACAGTCGTTCTTTTCTGTGCGTCTTGTTTTGGCCGAGCTAGAGCTGAAAACCCGCAACAAATATTGCATTTTGATTTTTTAGCCTTGAAATTAACAATCGCAGCAAAAGAGCAGTACACTACTGTAAAACGTGGGTATAGGGGCTTAAAGTGGTGGCTGTAAGCTGAATAAAGCAGTCACTGTTTTAGCTGTGCGTCTTTTCTGAGCAAAATTAGAGCTAAGAAACTGCAACCAAGTCGGGCTCTCTGCTGCCAAACGGCGTATACTTGATTTTGGGCGCAAAAACTTCAGTTTTTTAGCCACAGCACAGTTAGAGCTAAGAAACTGCAACAAAGTCGGGCTCTCTACTGCCAAAATGCGTATACTTGATTTTGGGCGCAAGAATAATAGTTTTTTAGCCATAGCACAGCCAAAAATGGGCCAAATGAGGAATGTAATACCTCGTATGGCTCGTAACTTGATTGCCATGATTCCCAATTGGTTTGCATTCAAATCTGGGAAACTTCATTTTGGGCCCATTTTTGAAAATTTTGATGATGGTACCCCTTATCAAAAATGCGAAATTTGGGTCAAAATTGACTTACCCAAAATCGAAAAACGAGTGATAGGGGTGGTTAGTATTGGTCGTTAGCAGCACAAAACAGTCGTTCTTTTGGCTGTGCGTCTTGTTTTGGCCGAGCTAGAGCTAAAGACCCGCAACAAATATTGCATTTTGATTTTTTAGCCTTAAAATCAGCACTCGCAGGAAAAGAGCAGTACACTACTGTAAAAAGTGGGTATAGGGGCTTAAAGTGGTGGCTGTAAGCTGAATTAAACAGTCACTGTTTTAGCTGTGCGTCTTTTCTGAGCAAAGTTAGAGCTAAGAAACTGCAACAAAGTCGGGCTCTCTACTGCCAAACGGCGTATACTTGATTTTGGGCGCAAAAATTTCAGTTTTTTAGCCATAGCACAGCTAACTTTCCCAAAATCGAAAAAGGGGTGCTAAGGGTGGTTAGTGTTGGTCGTTAGCAGCACGAAACAGTCGTTCTTTTGGCTGTGCGTCTTGTTTTGGCCGAGCTAGAGCTAAAAACCCGCAACAAATATTGCATTTTAATTTTTTAGCCATGAAATCAGCACTCGCAGCAAAAGAGCAGTACACCACTGTAAAAAGTGGGTATAGGGGCTTAAAGTGGTGGCTGTAAGCTGAATAAAACAGTCACTGTTTTAGCTGTGCGTCTTTTCTGAGCAAAGTTAGAGCTAAGAAACTGCAACAAAGCCAGGATCTCTGCTGTCAACAGACGTAGCATAATTTCGGGCATAAAAAATCAGTTTTTGGCAATAGCACAGCCAAAAATGGGCCAAATGAGGAATGTAATACCTCGTATGGCTCGTAACTTGATTGCCATGATTCCCAATTGGTTTGCATTCAAATCTGGGAAACTTCATTTTGGGCCCATTTTTGAAAATTTTGATGATGGTACCCCTTATCAAAAATGCGAAATTTGGGTCAAAATTGACTTTCCCAAAATCGAAAAACGAGTGATAGGGGTGGTTAGTATTGGTCGTTAGCAGCACAAAACAGTCGTTCTTTTGGCTGTGCGTCTTGTTTTGGCCGAGCTAGAGCTAAAAACCCGCAACAAATATTGCATTTTGATTTTTTAGCCATGAAATCAGCACACGCAGCAAAAGAGCAGTACACCACTGTAAAACGTGGGTATAGGGGCTTAAAGTGGTGGCTGTAAGCTGAATAAAGCAGTCACTGTTTTAGCTGTGCGTCTTTTCTGAGCAAAATTAGAGCTAAGAAACTGCAACCAAGTCGGGCTCTCTGTTGCCAAACGGCGTATACTTGATTTTGGGCGCAAAAATTTTAGTTTTTTAGCCATAGCACAGCTAACTTTCCCAAAATTGAAAAACGAGTGATAGGGGTGGTTAGTATTGGTCGTTAGCAGCACAAAACCGCATCAAATATTGCATTTTGACTTTTTAGCCATGAAATCAGCACTCGCAGCAAAAGAGCAGTACACTACTGTAAGAAGTCGGTATAGGGGCTTGAAGTGTTGGTTGTAAGCTGTATAAAACATACATTGTTTTAGCCATGCGGCTTGTTTTAACAAAATTAGACCTAAGAAACTGCAACAAAGTCGGGCACTCTACTGCCAAAAGACGTATACTTAATTTTGGGCGCAAGAATATCAATTCAGCCAAAAATGGTCCAAATGAGGAATGTAATACCTAATAGGGCTTGGTTTTGTCAACGTTATAGGTATAAACTGACAATTTTCCTTTAAAAAGCGTTTACACTATTTTCCGTTGTAAAAAAGTTGACACGACTTCAAAAATGGCCGAATTGGGAATGTCATACCTTGTTGGGCCCGTTATTTGATTTCATGTCGTTGTCCAGCTGTTGGATACACAAACCAGTCAGTATTTAAGTTAAGTTAATTTTAAAAATATAATTATTTTATTATTATGCTTGCCTACTTTTGGGGTTCATATCAAATAAATAGTAGTCTCGATTTCCACACATACAACAAATTTTATATTTACATTATTGTTTTTATACAATTTTTAAAATCGCACAATTTGTAATACACTCCCAATTTGTCAAATATATTATATCAGTTAGGATATAATTAATCAATTTAAAAGCTCTGCGTTAAGTTGTGTAAAATATGAAAGTCGCCGATATATCTATAAAGTAAATTTACGTCCTACAAGATTTTTGATATAGTTTGCCACACTACGATGAAATTCAACATCCAAGCTCTTGATTAGATGCGAACTGAGATTGCTGGCCACTCTATAATGATGAAAAATGTATAAAGTATTATTATATAAACTATAGGTATTTCGATCTTATATTCTCACTTGGCATATATTTTCCAGGGTACTGAGCTTCGCGAATTATTGTAGAAACAGCTGCGATTGCAGTGAGCCTGAAAGCGGTCTCGATCCTTAAGGAGGCTGTTCCACGGATCAAATGATTCTGCAGATTGCGGATTCTCGATGCAATTTCCTTCTGGGGCGGAGGAACAGCTCTGCTGCTTTTGGTTCTCCTTTTGGCGTCGCTGTTCCCGGCAGTTTATCACCATCTGTTTGTGCCGCTCCAGTTCTGCCCTTTCCCGCATCGCCTTTTCCTGGCGATCGTTCAGTGGATAATAGTCGACAGGGTGACCGGTAGGTAGATTATCTCCCTGCTGATTAGGTCTTCTTCCATTTCTTTGAAACTCCGCCTCCATATAGTCTAGTACTTTCTTTTCGTCCTGCAGCTCCTCCTCCAAAGTGCGAGAGAAGTAGGTATAACCGTTGGGATCCCGCAAGACCTTAACCTCCTTGAAACGTTCGTCGCCGGGTCGCAGTTTCTGCTGCAGCTTTTGGCGCTCCTTCAAGTAACGATGTCCTTCCCAGAACTTCTCACTGTATGGAGACTCATCCAGGCTAAGGGGTCTACAAAAAACAGAGCAACCAATCAATCAAGGGGAAGTTATATAACATTATTTATGTATCAGTAATTAACTCTTTTATAGTACTTCTTAATATTGATAAGGATTTGATTGACATGCACAAGATTATTTAAAGAGACATACTTTAAAGCCAGAAGTCAAGAAATAGAAATGATAATATCAAACCTATACTGGTATTCCCTCTATAGATAAAGTTGAGTTATTGCATCAGCTTGGTGTTATTCCCCTGGAAAGAGGTGTCCGGGGAGCTGTTGGCATTAGCTTTCATATGGGCTGCCGTCACGCAAGTTTTCTTACCCCTCCGGGAACTGCACACGAACTTCCAAGCCCCCAAAAAATAATGAACAAAAACCAAACCTCCCAGCCATCCACCCCTTCTTTCTTTTCTGCAGTGATAGTGGAAGGCAGAGGCCTCAAGGCCAATACCAAAAATAGGAAAATTAAAACAAATCGTTTTGTCCAAAGCACCATTTTTAAATACCCTTTATATATTTTCTTTTCGTAATTTTTAGTCGATATATTGCTCTATGTGAGGAAAGGCAAATAATATTTTTTTTTTAGATAAACTTCTTGGCTTTTTGATGACGTAGATTCTAGATATTTGTGACGGCTTTTATTATATTGTTATGTATTACTTTACAATTATATTTATATTTGAATTTGGAGTCACTTTAAAGTAATTATTAGAAGGTTTATTATACGAAACCCTTACATTTTTGAAAGACATTTTATAGCCATAAGGCACTGAATGCTTATCTAGAGTAAAAATTACGCGATTCATTCATTTGTTCCTTTATTCATTGCCTAGGTCACTTGGGTTAAGGTTGTGGCCCCTTAGCCACCCAACCAACCCTCTTCTTCTTTAGAAACCCCCTTCGAATCGCAGTGATAGCGCACGTAAATAATATGACACAATCAAACTTGGAAATGGAGAAGCCAAAAACCGTAGAAGAATTAATTAATAAACACCGCCCGATGAGGCAACCCTCTGCCAGAAAGAGATAGGGAGCATTGAGGTTTGCTAAATGGCAAAGCCAAATTTATTGATCAAACAAATAAAGCGCATCGGCAACAAGAAAAAAAAAACAAAAAGAAATCAACTTGGCTAGAAAAAATTCAGAGTGGAGAAAATGACGAAATAAAGTCATGAGAACTAAGTGGGTTCTGGATTTATGGGTGGCTATATCGAAAGGTTAAAAGGGTTGCAGTTGAGTAGAGCCCAGCACTATTTATAGCCCCCCAGCTATTAACCGATATCGGAGTTTGGCAAGGTAAATATAGTCACACACGTAGCTATAGCTCAGTATATGCACACTATACATATACACATAATATACGCCCATATAACGCAAATTCCAACTGCAAACAGTTGTCGATTAGCGCCCGGTGATCGTAGTATTTGATTACGGGCGTTCTTCATATCAGCAAAAGACCAACTTGCAAAAAAGCCAAAAAAAAAATGAACAAAAACCAACAACTGCTTAATTTGCACACTCTAAAGACAAAAAAAAACAAACAGAAAAAAATGTGAGACATGAGACATTAACGGAGCCAGTAATGACCCAAAAACCAGAACCATATAAAGCCAGTAATCCAAAATATCAGAGGGAGAGCATCGTGCAAGGCGACCCTGAACTTGCCATTAGTCACCGGCTTTGACTATCTTAACGGTTAGATAAAACTAAGCCTTTATGCCGGGGAAGTTTGCAAATGAAATACAAAATGTAATATTTAAAGTGGGATTTTGCTGGTATAATAAAAAATGCACCGCCGTATTAATCATATGAAAACAATTAACATAATTAAATTGAAATTAGTATTTAAATCGATCTTTAGCATTTCGAATTTCGAACAGTTGGGGGTACACAAGTAGCAACCGATAAAAACTTAGGGGGTTTCCTAGTTCTGATAAAATGCTAAAAACTTTCATAATAATGATAATTTCAAATGAATTCCATGATATAACAATGCTTATTACACTTTTAAGGTGGCTGCCACTTTTAAGTTTATGGCACTATTTTGGCTGCCATAAAATTGATAAGTGGGCGAATAACAAAAAAAGTGTTTAAAATTCAGGTACGTAATAAAATGCCAATCAATAAAATTGTCCACAAATATTTTTAAGGAAAAGTGTATAATGTCCGGACGTACAAAGTTTAGGAACTTTGACTGGAAAATAATAATATTTCGTAAGCATTACAGGGTATAACGACTATCGAATAGGCTTATAGAATTGGAGCCAAAAAAAGGGTCAAAAGAAGAGAGTACGAAAAAGAGAGTTCGAAAACCAAAACAAAATAAAGCAAAATAAAAACCAAAATATAACAGAGGGCCTTGTTGTTGGTGTGGTTTTTGCTATTGCTCCTTTCTTAGTTATTATTTAGCTGTTGTTGTTGCTTTAAATGCCGGCTGAGGTGAATTAGTGTATATGAGTAACTTCTACACGGGCAGAGCATCGACAGTGAAGCCGGCAGAGCAGATGGCGTCAGCGGAGGAGCATTGCCAGCTGACTCCCACTCTCGCTCCCCATTGCCCTCTGTCTTGCTCGACCCCACACTCTCTCAGCTGACGACCGGCGATGACATCATTTTGGCGCTGGCTCTGCCGCTGAGAAGTCGCAATCGCAGCGCCGCTGCGTCGCTGCTACTCGGACAGTGGAGGTAAGCAAAATAGCAGTAAAAATCACAGTAACTTGGATTATTTTCACGTATTAACGTATCTATGGGTATTTTATAAACTTTGTTATTTGAAATATTGAACCTATTATAGCAGTATCTTAATTTTTAAAATATATTTCCTTGTAATATATTAAAAATATTTAACTTTTATAGTTTTCCCCATAAAAATTGCCTAACAATCAGAAATTTCACGTTACAATTATCGATCTCTCTTTCTGCACCTCAGCTGTATGGGGCACTTACAGCATCTGGAGAAACATTATTTGATTATTATTTTTAGATATTGCTGCCACCTGGGTAGCCAACCGAAACCGTAACCATTAAACCGTTTGAACCGTAATAACCGAATCAATTTTATAGCCGTAACTGAAAAAAGTAACTATTATTGGTTTTTAAAAATTACATTTGCCGACTTCTAAAACTATTTTACCCATTTTTTTAAATTAATTTTTAATAGTAAAGAGTTTTTAAATAGATTTTTCTAGGAATACTCACAGCATCTGGAGCAGCATCAGCATGGTGTCCCGGGAGAGATCCCCGGTTGAGCTGCCCACAATGTCCACGATGCCCTTGTCGTGCTGCTCGGACCGCTGCAGAAGCTCCAGCAGCGCATCCCGCTGAGCCGGCGGCAGACGCTGCGGATTCTGGACGAGCGGTACGACTTCGGGCAAGAGACTACAATCACGATCCTCTTCCGAATTACCGATCATTACATCAGTTTGCGACATAGTGTAGTTACTTCGGGCGCTGAGCATTGGCGAACCAGCTGGAACTGGCGGTGGTTGCCCCATCTGGCGGCTAACCCCCTTGGAGACCTTGGTCCCACCTATTTTCTTGGTGCCTGCGACAGACTGTGGGGGTGAATCATAATCGGTAGCTCGCTCGATCCTCGTAAGGAGCAGCTCCAACTGTTGGTGGGCCTCCGCCAGAGATTTGTTTTTAACAGGCTGACAAGGTGGACGTGAGCGGTGCTTAGTAGGTGGACATGGGTGGCTGGCGAATTGTGAACATAGATGAGAGTCGACCTTTGCACGAACATCCCGAAGATTTTGACGTTTCCTAGTGCAAGGCGGTGGTAGAGCAGGTTTCCGAAACGCTGGAGCAGACTGCCTACCAAAGGCTGATCGAGAGGTTTGTGCCAATGGTTGCTGATTCGAGGTCTTGACCTCCGGTGACCGCCGGTTCCGTTGAGTCACAGTGCGACGATCCTTTGGAGTCGCATCATCCGAATAAGGATTTAATAAGCCAAGAGCCTTGTAAGTATTTATATAATTATTTATAGAAATTTAATTAACTGGTTGATTATTTTATGGACTATATGGATTAGGATTAGCCATACCTTGGCTGACAATATTTGCTTTGGTGGTTTTGGCGTTGGTGGCTGTCGTTGTATCTCCCGATCCCGCTTTATCCAAGTGGTGGTACTGAAGGGTCGCACCACGGCAATGTTACCGGGTGAGGGCGGCGCCAACCTGCACCTCTTGAGGACAGGGCTCTTGTGCCGCTGTCCTCTCGAGGTCATCGTATCGCGGACACTGCGCCTGCGCACCAACTGACGCGACGACGACGCCGGCAGCGACGGCAGCAGCAGCTCCGGCCCTACTAATTTCAATTCCATACCGTCGCTGCTCTTCTGCTACTCCTCGGTCGCACCTCTGCTGCTGCGCTGCCTCGCACGCCGGCAACTGTCGGCGGTTTAGTTTCAGTTTCTTGGTCGACGCTCGCCGGTTCGGTTCGATACGATCCGATCCGATTTATATAACTATACTATATAGCCCCGTGCGAAATACGATTCGCGGTGTTTTTGGCCTGTTTTTTTTTCGCGCTCTGCCAACGTTTCGCGTGTTTTTTATCGTCGCCACTGCCCTTTTCTATCCCGGTTTTCAACTGAAATTTGTACGGTACACAAAAGAAAACAAACAAAAACACAAAAAAATATATACGCAAAATTCCGAGGGGAAACTTTTTAATATTTGCTGCAATTACTTGAATTGTTTGATGCCGTCTGTTTTTTTTTATATTTCAAAGTTGACAGCTTTTGCTAGAGGGTTACTTTGTTTTGTCGAGGTGTGATGGGTCAGATTTGGTATTCAATTTATGGAGTTTGTGAAGAAATTATTTAAATTTATGTTATGTATTATGTTGTAATGAAGAATTAAATGTTAAGTTTACCACTGTTAAATGTAATTATTACATTTTTAAACTATTTTTCAATTTTATACCTAAGAAACTCTAGTATTTGTACTTAATAAGTTGGTTAACAGATTAGTTGGTTAACAGATTATTATGTTAGTGAACAACAGATAAGCATAAAAATATGTTTTCATTAGGAATTCCTTTGCAAATATTTCATTTTAGCAGGCCGTGAAATCAGTGTGTTGTTTTTATTTTTTGTTTACGTTATCCCCTTCACCAGTTAGTGCCTGTTTTCTCTCCGTAACAACAGCTTACCTAAAACTAATGTCAACCATATATTTTTTTTGATTTTTTTTAAGTTCAAAAATCAACGAAAAAGTTCAACTTAAGGAACGGGCAGCGAAACAGCAAACAAAATGGTAAGTGAAATATTTTAACCATTTCGGTGCGGAAAAAAGTGTGGGTAGTGGGAGGCTGGGTGCTCCAAATGCAAATCACTTTCCAACTGGTCGCCCAGCTGGCTGGCGTTGTCGCCCAAACGAAAGCCCAAATCCAAATCCAGTCCCAATTCTCCGGCGTGGGCGTTTTTCAAACAGGTTGGAGATTGCTCATACGCCGCATTGGCCACCCATTCATAGAGTGTGTGTGTGTTTGGATTTTCCGCTTTCGGTTTTCGGCCTATAAGTTTTCAGTTTTCGGTTTTCGGTTTTCTGCTTTCCATGTGCAAGATTCATGGCACAAGTGTGTGAGCGGAATTTTGAGAGTGTCAACTGCCAGCGAAATCAACTAAAACCAACTGAAATTGTCATCCATCTGGCTTTTGGCTACCAAAAAAACAGAGACAAAAAAAAACAAACAAACAAAAAAATAAAATTCACGCACACTCGAATATGGTTTGGTTGCCTTATTAGACTTTATGTTAATTACCATACTAAAAATAAGAAAATATATACAAAAAACAAAAATAGTAAGACCGCGAAAAAACGATTTTCAAGAGTTACCAAGAGTGCTTGCCTAGTAGGCGTTTATCATGTCGTGTTTTGGAAAATATTCGAGATTCGAACAGTGTTTATCAGTGGGCGAAAGCAAAAGTTCGGATTAAGGGCCTCGCTTTCCATAAATATATTTGTCTGTATTTATGTATGTACATATTTATATATATATTTACCGACCTAAGGTTAAGCTAAGCCCAGAATGATGATATCATCCCTTGCTCTTTACACACACAAAAATATCATCAATTTACAAAGCGATTTATTCGTTGTCCGCTTAATAAAATGAGCCATATAAATCAGCCACTTTGGCGAGCCTGCTTAACCAGAAGGTTTTGAAGAGTCATCACCGCGATCATCATCATCATCATCATCATTATACTATACTATAATAATCGAGATCGGAGAGAGAGTGATGGTCTGGCTAGAGTCTCGTCTCGTCTCGACTGATAAATGAAATTGGTTTATTCACCCGACTAACAAACGGCACGGAAATAAATGCTAGTTTTGACTTTTTGGGCTTGGCACATTTCCTAACCTAAGCTAAGGCCAATTTGTTAGACTTTGGCTTTGTGATCTTTAAATAGTTTCCTTAATAGTAGAATAGAAAAGGTTTTATAAGATGTTCTCAACAACTGTGGATCGTTCTATAGAAATTTGGGCTTCCTTTTAGCCTAACATAAACTGTATTTGACTTACCATTTCCTATTTTAAAGTTATTATTCCATTAGTTATACTTTCTATTTTCTTTAATAATCAAGAAAGTTCTATAATTTTGTTAAATTTATGACTTACTTCCTGTTGTCTTAAACTATTCTAGCAGATCTTCAAGTTAATTCCCAAAACTGTTTCCCAAATTTCAAAATGTTTTCGCTATACAGAAAGTCTTTGAATAATCCACTCGATCGATCTTCGGCAAAAGTTTGCCTGCAGATAATCTTATTTATATACAATTTGCCGTATATTACAAAGCCATTTCGGCATTTCACTCACAGTTTAAATGGGATAATAGCCATTACGTATACGCATAGTGTGCCACACGATGCTTAGAGCGTGTGGGGGATCTTCTGCTTATTGGAGGCGTCTGCTACAAATTATCCAATCCAAGGCAAAACAGGCCATATATATATTCGTATAACATATACATATACCAAGCCATATTTCGTTGCTCCTCGCTGATTGACAACTCTGATTGATGGCCACAAAGCAAAACAATAACAACAATCGAGAGCACTTGACGCCACCCCCTCGAATTGCCACCCAAGCCCCCTGGAAATTTTCTATGCATCCAATGATTCATGCATTCAATATTTTAATTATCGCCTATGAATAAACCAAATACAAAAAGGCAAGAAACTGTGAAATTGTTTTCAACTTGTTGCGGTGGCCTCTGATGTGCTGTTTATATATATTTCTCTTCTTCTTTTTGTAATTGTTACTATTTTTTTTTGTTTTCTTTTTTGCTGCATCTGCTTGTGTTGTTCTTGGCAATTTCAAGGGGAAAATATTGGAATCGCTTGCACTATGGCGGCAATTAACTGATAAGAAATGCAAATCGTCAACAGAATCGTAATGAACGTGAAAATTGCAATTCAAACTAAACTGAGTAAGAGAAATGCGGGCAGACAGTGGGTTAAATGATGGGTTAACAGGCAACTTCGATTCTTAATTAGTTCAATTTATGGATTCTGCTATGCCTTTAAGCATCCAAGTAGAAGGTTGTTGAACCTTCCTTTGGCCAATTACAATTTACTTAAAATAATAAAATATATTATTACTTAACTCCTTGTAGTTTTATCTTGGTTTCAATTTGTTTGTTTGTTTGCTGCCCATTAGACGCTGAACATTTTGCTTGATTTCGGTTGCCTGGCTTGTTTTTGGCGTGTGTGTGTTTTGTTTGTATTCTGGTTGTGTGTGGCCTTTTGTTATTGTTTTCTTTATCCAAGCAAACTTATTTGAAGTGTGTGCGAGAGAGCTGCTGCCCTTGGCCCCCTAAGAGTGCCCCCTCTCTTTCTTTTGGCATAAACCCCTCTATCTTTCTCGTGCGTGTTTGTTTAATTTGATTCTAACTCTAGCGATGATCTAAGTGAGACGTCGTCTAATGCATAAAGAAATGCTTGTTGTTCCTACATCTGGCATAAAACTTTAAACAAAAAAAAAGCAAGGAAATGTGCGTTTAATTTGTGCAAATTAAATTTTTCAAAATTACGGCACACCAAAATGTAAATAAAATCGCAACTGCAAAGCATCGAAAGAGCCCTCTCTTGCGATTTGCATATAATTCACTTGATTTGGCTTATTTATGGCTGCCTTTAGCTGCATTTTCATGAGAAATCGTTGCAGTTTTAGAATTCATTTAATGTAGGTGGCCAGTTGGCTAGATGGACAACACCCAACTTCTTACCTGACTTCTTGGGTGGCACATCCTGTCCCAGCTGAAAGCCACCAAGTGTTAATGGCCCAAACGTGCTAGGCTAGTTAATGTCATTGTTAGACCTCTTGCTGGGCATACTAAAAGCTAATGGCTGAGCATGGGCAACAAATGTAGAGGTGTTGGCCCTAAAAAACACAATTACGCCTAAATTCGGAAGGTGCTTATGGTCAAACGAATAAAGATTACTTTAGAGTTTAGCTTTTCAAAACTGCATACTTTTGGGGTCAACTTTCTTTCTTAAAAGAAGCTATGAACTTTCAAATATTTGAAACTTTAAAACCTTACTCCTTAAAATCTTATCCAGAACTCTTGTGGCAACCCACTTGTCTAACTCATTAGTGTATAATATGTTAATGTTATTATTGCTGCTGCTTTGTAAATAATTTTACGCTGATGCTCATCGTTTATTGTAGTATATAGTATATATATATATATATATATACATATAGATTTTGATATTTGTGCCGGGGATTCTTTGGGCTGGGGCCTTTGGCATTTGGTATTGGGTTACGTAAAATTGCGCCAGCAGCTGTCTCTGCGGTTTTTGAACCCGCCGATGAGTTGATGAATCTCAGATGAATCTCATTTGCCCGCTCCCAGAATAATTGTCCAGAATTATGGTGTATTATGAAATATTTGAAGTACGTGATTTCCATTTGAAATGTGCGAAATTAATGGCTTCCATCTCCATGTTCTCTTTTTTGTTTTCCAGTCGGAGCCGGCGTCAGTTTGTCACAAGTGCAATGAGGTCATCGAGCAGCGCATCATCACGGCGCTTGGCAAGACTTGGCATCCGGAGCACTTTGCCTGCAAGGACTGTCACAGTCCCATCTCAGAGGCCACCTTCAACATCCAGGCTGATGAGCCCGTCTGCTCTGACTGCTTCGTGAAGAACTACTCGGGCACCTGCTTTGGCTGCCAGCAGCCCATCCTGGAGGTAAGTGATGGGAATGCTTAAGAATATAGCTTATAGTAACGCTTTTTTGTATGCAAATAGTTCTTTCTATACTAATATATTTCCTGAAATATAAGATGCCCTTTTGTATAAGAAATATTTAAATTTTCGCACTACACATATTTGTTTCTTTCCGGAAACCCACAATTAACGTGATTAGAAACGGAATGTTATTTCTCGTTGTACATATACCTAGGTGTATTGTCATCAGTGGTTTTGGTTATCTGCTGGCCCCTCCATAATTCCCATCGTCTGTTTGCCATAAAATCAGCCGCTTTATGAGCATCGTTGTAATGAATATTGTCAACATTTACCTAGATACTCGGCGCCATAAAACCACTTGGATATCTTCTTATATTTGCTCAGTGACGATTTAATTAAGGAAGTGATTGCGATTCCTATTTTTAAAACAATTTCCAATGGAAACATGCAAGAAAGTAGCCAAAGCTTTCTATTTTTATACCTTTTGGGCAGCACCCAAAGCGTTTCTAAAAGCTATCAAATTTTACACCTTTCAAACTGCATTCAAGCACTTCAGGAACCAATGAAAATGTCGGAATATATACTTTTTAATTGCTTCTGAGAATTGTTGGCCAAAATTTAAGCCCTCGCATATACCATAACTAGCCAATATTTTTCCAGCATATTAAATGAATTCATTACTCATAATGATGACGAATAACCACCCAACTCTACCGCTTGTTTTCTAAACTGATTTGAACAAAGTTCTATGTTTAGTGTAAAAGATTTGTAGTTTTTCGCGGAAAAAAATTTTAGGTTGAAAGATTATTTGCACTTTATGGATTACTGAAAATACTTCTATTTGGAGAGCATTTAGTATTCCACTTTTGCTGTTTAAATTTGCGCAAGGTCGGGCTGAACTCATCGTGGGTGTGTGCTCGATTGATTGGCTTTGATTATTATTATAAATAATTCTATATATGCACATTGTGTGCACTCTACGTTATTGGCTATTGGCTGTAACTTGGGGCTTTGGCTTCCCCGATTCTGCAAGAGCGTGAAAGTATGCTAATGATCCATTTAGTTATAGATATTAATATAGTAGCTAGCTATTCACTGCTTAAAACCATGTTTTAATGTAAATTTGTATGTATTTTCCTAGCGCACCATTAAGGCCATGGAGAAGTCGTGGCACGAGGACTGCTTCGTGTGCAACGGACCATGCAAGAAGCCCCTAGTAGGCACTTCCTTCTACGAAAGGGATGGACATCCCTACTGCCGCGTGGACTTCGAGCAGCTGTTTGCCGCCCGCTGTGCCGGATGTGGTCAGCCGATCACGGAGAACGCGATCGTGGCCCTCAATGCCAAGTGGCATCGCGACTGCTTTCAGTGCAAGGTGAGAATCTATAGTTAAATATTAAACTAAGCATATAATTTATTAATATTTTCTGGTTACAGAAGTGCGGCACTCCTATCACGGCCAGTTCGTTTGCCGTGGAGGATAACAAGCCCTTGTGCACGGCTTGCTCCGGCTAAAAGATCCGGACACGCACCCGTACCATTCACTTCAATATCTATGTATATTATCTATTCTTATGGTATTTGTAGTAATCCAATTTGTTAAACCAATCCCCGCAAGAAAGCAAAGCAAGGTCGTGAATATGGAAATGGAAATGAAAATTCCGAGGAGGCGAAAAATTAATAGTTGATGGACAGGAACACGAGAAGTGCATTCGATGGGTGGGTGGTGCGATGTGCGATGGGTGGCGGGGGAGGTGGGTTTTGTTAATGCTTAAAATAATTATAATTCTCCTTAGTTGATATACGCCGTCTGTCCTTCTCTATCTCACTCTCACTCACAAGACCTCGCCCACTCCCCACGCCCCAAAAGAAAAGTCTACCCACTGTGAAGTTCTCTTGATCGTTTTCGAACAGCACACAGTATCTGATAAAATGGTATATAAATCAAAATTAATCTTGAATCATTGTTGATATCTCTTACAAATAAACAAAAAGCAAATTATGATTAAACTTTTCTGTTGGATTGTCAGAAGTAGTAAGTTGGAAATCTAAAAGCAATTTCTTGATAACATTATAGAGAAAAAAGTGAATTATGTAGCTAAGATTTCCTTGACAATTAACCCCTTTAGTTCTTCACTTTCATTCGTTCAAAATTAGCATTTTATTTTCTCTACCAATACTTAACAATTTAGTATTTTTAGTTTCGCTCTTTATCAATGCAGGCGAAGTTAATGATGATAAGAAGTAAGAAGGATTAAGCAATTTTGCAAAACAACAATTTAGACAGTGTCCTGGATGCGATGGCTACAGCCTGCAGGATGGAACTATAAGCCTACTGCCTCTGGTCTGCACCTCCACCTTCGCCGACCTTTTCGCCCAGGATGACGCCCAGCGATCGCATCAGTGGATCGAGCACCTTTTGCACTTGCGAACGAGACACCAAATGCAGGGCATCCACCAAAGCACGATGCAGTTGCTCCTCTCGCGATGCATACTCTGCATTTTCTAGCTGCTGGACATCGTCAATCGGTTGGCCCCGATGACCGAAATTGGGCGGCATGCTCAGCGAACTGGTGGTGCCACCATCGCCGGCCATTTGCATCTGGGTTGGCATATCATCGCCACGAAAGGATTGCATTTCCAGATCGCCAGACAGTTCCGCTGGCTTCGACGCTGTTATATTGAGCGTATTCCTTGGACGACGTGTACGAGGATGCAGTTTATCTACCTGCTGACGTTCCTTGGGCACCAGACGTGGCTCGTATAGCTTAAGATCATTGAGGCACATCTTCAAATCATAGCGCTCGTGAGTGCGAAGCTTCTCCTGCCTGGGCACAGTGGGAGCCCTGGTAGGATTTGCCCTAGAGGACTTCTTCTTCTTCTTTTTGGCAGGGGTGTTAGTGGTGTTGATGTTCTTTGGACCCTTGTGTAGACGCCTCATTGCCTCACGAGCCAATTTGAAGCGCTCCTCCTGCATATCCTCAATAAAGCTGAGAAATCGGGTACACCGTTCCAGCAGGCACTCCACCACCGGATCATTTCGATCTAGCATGCCTTTGTCCAAGCAGCAATTGGTCATCGTGTAGATCATTTCGATGAGGGCACTCAGCTTCTGAGGCACCTTCTCCAGCAGAAAGTATCGTAGTTGTCGCTGATAAGTCTGGATCGACTGCTGCATCAGCCCATAGACGCACACTACCCTTTGGCAGGCCTCATTGGAGGTGGCACTATTGAAACTGGCCACAGTGGTGAGGCGGACGTCGTCAATCATACCCTTTAGGGGATATAAAAAGTTCCTGGAGAAGCGCACACAAAATTCGAAGGCATTGCGCTGACGTTTCAGTCGCTCCTGGGCACTGCAAGTGGGCACCTGGAGTTGCAGCAAACTATTCTGCAGCTTGTCCAGGGCATTAATGATCCGCTCCTGGGTCAAGGTGATCTTGTTGTAGATGCCCAGTTTTTCAAACTTCAGATCTTCCAGGGATTTACTGTAGACCACTATAGGTTTGGGCTTGCGACGTTTGTTTTGCCTTTCGGGTGAGGTCACCACCTCCTTCAGTGGGCTAGGAGGATTCGGTGGATTCATGGTCACGGGAACAGCCTCATCTCCACCGACCGACCTTGCAGAAAGTCGTGACTTAGGGTTCGGCGCGTTTTTTTTATTTCCCTTGACCATCACATTATTCCTACGAAATTTCCCAGCCTTCCTGTCACTTGGTAATGCCTGCCTTTGACTGCCCTTCCTAGGATTCTGAGCCTTGCGCAACTCCAATGGCAGTACATCGACTTCCTGATCCGGATACCTTGCTGCTGGCCGGGTTCGTAAGGTCTCCTCTGATCTCTGCGAGGTATATCTCATGGGCGTGAGACTCCTGAGTAAACTGACCCTGTGTGGGCGGTTTTCCAGCTCAACAAAGCATGGCTGGATGGGATTCCTATCTGCATGATCCAATTCACTGGATGTCAAGCGTGGTCGTGGCTCCACGTAGCGTAGATAGCCCTGACGATCGGCATACTCGTTCTCCAGATCGCTATCCTCCAGGAAAAAGGGTGTCAGTGGTTCTGGCTCTATGGTTCCGTTTTGCTCCATGAATTCGTAGGCCGAATAGGGCGTGGCATTATTAACCTGGCAGACATTAACATTTATCGCCTGTGACATCATCGCCGAGGGCATGATGTCCACCCATTTGGGTTGCGGGTTATGATAGTCCTCGATGGATACATACCCAATATTGCCCTGAGATGCGGCTGGCTCTCTTTCCAAATCCTGGCGTTTTCTCGGCACTTCCTGCCGCCTTTTCAACCGAATCTTTCGCTGTTTGATGGCACTTTTTGGCCCAGATGGTGGTCGCGGTGTGGCTTCGGGACTTGGCATCGGAGTTGACTCACTTATAGTCTGTAGCTCTTCACAAACTTCCCGATGTAGTTCCTTTAATCTCTCGAAGGTATATCCATTATTAACAGCAACCACATTACGATTTTTTTTATTGGACGTGGAAATCTTTTTCCTGTCCCTGGATTTGTTTTTTTGTTTTTTCATAGACTCGGCTCCTCCACAAAGACGTGCAGAACGCTGTGGATATTGTACCGTATCGTTCATCTCATCGTTGTTGTTATCATCTTCATCCTCATTATAGAGGGGATTAGAGTCGAGGGACAGCTGGGTGACCACGTCCAGGTCGCGGGAGGTCACCATGCTGTTAACATCCTGACCAGGATGACGTACCTTGCAGAAGCGCGGCATGCTGGGCAAATGGGATCTACCCGTTTCCCGTTGACGCTTCAACTGCGCCAATTCGGCGCCTCGCATGGCATTATACCGCCGCACCGCATTCGGAATGGATTCCGTTCCAGAAAACTAAGTACCATAGTAAGTGCATATATAAGATATATATTAACCATCCATTCTTACCCGAAACTCAAAGTTGCTGCCTCGACCCGTGTTCTCCAATTCGAAGGAGCACATATCCTGATAATTCATCTTCCACTAGTTCAAACTTACCCACTTCCGTAGTGGATTCTATCCCTCTGTTAAGTTTATTGGTATTTACTCGATTTTCCTTGAAGTTGCTTTTATTTATTAGTATTTTCCTTTTCTTAAGGTTATTTAATTACCGAACTGAATTTTGTTCTGAACGTCTTTCCAAAAATAAAAAAAATTATAGGAAAAGGTCTGAGCTACAAAGTCTGTTGATAGGTTTAGCATGAAAGGTCCGATCGACTTTATTTTCTTCAAAGCCTTTGATCATTCATTCTGTTTAACTTGAACGACTTATGTCGCCCTGCTATATCGAATGGATGTTTAAGGTAAATAATTAGTCAACAGCAAAACTTACCCATCAATGAACTTCAGACCGAAAAACAATCCAAAAAACACTTAACTTTTAGTATAGATTGCACTGGTTGAACGCTTTATTCGGGATTCTTCCCTTCTATCCTTGTTCAAAATAAATAGTACGACGAAGGTTCCAACTTTAATCCTAAGCATGCTTAAAAGTAAACAAAAAATCCTTAAATCCTTAATTAAAGATCATCAGAATCGATTGCGCCTCAACCGAAAATATTTGAGTAGAGGCTGTTTAATCCATTGCTGATGGTCGAGAATATGCCACTGTCGCTGGAGGCGGCCCCTGCGTAGGGCGGTACAGGTGGTCGGTAATGCTGGGGCGCCTGAATCGGGCGGTATAGTCCACCGGGACCCACCACACCACCGCCTCCAACTGGCACTCCAGCGGGACCCATGGCCCCAATGCCCTCAATGCGCTGCGAAGTCAATTAACAGAATGTTATTGGTACATACATCGTCATCGAAGGATCTTTGTTCTTCACAACATGGTTAACCCAAGCAACCTTTATATTTAATATTAAACCTTGTACCAGCAGAGGTCTTAAGTGTTATAGGTATTTTTCCTAATGCTTTTAAACTTTTGACTAAAGAACTTTAAACAAAATATAACATAGAACAAAAACCAAAAGAAAAAGGACAGGACTTTAGAGTGAGGTGTTAAGAGGTGTTTTAGTTTTTAGTGGGTTAGTTGCGGAGCACTCCCTAGGACTTAAGCACTTCAGCTATTATTTACACGCCCGCATTCCATAGGATTTGATTCCAAGAAATCTGATCTCAACTATTCGGTGGACAGCTGCAACTTTCCATTGACGAGACGCTTTGCAGTTGAGGCTTTGGTGGAAGTGGATGTGCCCGAAGCTGCCACCAGGTACTGATTGGTTATCAAATAAGAATTAAGTGAGATCAGAAAACACGTAAGATTAGCCAGCACCAGAAAGGTTACATTAGAGGTATGGACGTAGTGCCAATTCATCTAGCAGTGACCTACCTTCGATGGCTGCAGCGTCACATTGAGCAGCGTGGGATGTTGCTCTACAATCACGAACTCGACTTCTCGAGGGGCAAAGCCTTCTGCAAAGACCTGAAATACGATTGGGAATTTAACTCTAAAATTTTATATTCAGTTTTCCCATCAACTCACCTCCACTTTGTAATAGCCCGGCAGAAGAATGCGCCAGAACTCGCCGTATTTGGTGGTCTGGAAGCCCACATCACGTCCCTTGATCTTGATCGAGGCTCGCTCGATGGGCATGCCCGCCGGGTCAAACACGAATCCCTGGACTCCTCGATGTGCCTCGGCCAGGAATTTTATAAGAGACTTAAGAAGAAGTAATTAAGAGCAAGCAGAATAAATAAGTAACAATAACTGTCCAAAGGGTAATAAACTTACAAGTTGATTATCCTCCCAGTACTTCTTAAGCTCGTAGGCGGGCGGAAACTTGCAACAGGATATTTCCAGAGTAATCTCCATGCAACCGTACCACACATAGTTGTAATCCTGCATTCCACCGGTCAGTGGGTACCAGGCAGCTCCATTTGTGATTCCATTCTCAAAGGCCGGCGTCGCAGATTTGCAGGCCACACCCCTGGACATCTTGGCATGGTTGCGGGCGTAGACAAGGGACAAATGCTTGAATACATCATCGTCGGGCGTCAGGGACGGCGCCGCCGAATAGGTCTGGAACACTGCGCCCAAAGGACATGTTTGACGGAACGGAAAGAGAAGCAAACACGATTAGATGGATCGTTCGGGATCGGTTGTCGCGGACTCACTCGCGCACAATGCGGACGAACGGCAGATCCCTTTAAGCAGCCATATTGGTGGGAGAGTACAGAATCAGCTTTATCAATCGGAACTTGACTGAGAGCCAGAAACCGAAAGGGATATAGCTTCGCTTAACGAAGCTCTGAATATCCTTGCAGATCAATAGTGTTTCTATCTATCATTTAAACCCATTCATATGCTTTCATTCACCAAGATCTCCTGATAGTATAGTCCAGAAATAACCAGTTATCACTGTACTTTGTAAGACTCTGTTGATAACAAGCTTTGACGACTTTTTGGATTATCTTAAAGCAGAGTAATGTGCTTCCTAACAAAGTTTCGGTTGTGACCCACTCGTTTCATATGACTTTGGAAAGCTCAAAAGCAGACAGACAAAACTTTAAGATCTTTCTATCGAAATTGTATCTTTCTGCAAGGACATGGAGGGTACAACTTCGAGACATACTACTATGACTACTTACTGGAGTTCGGCGTATTGTCGTATGGATAGCTAGCAACCAGAGCACCACCATGGAGACTTCCACTCAGCACAAACTGAATCTTTGATATCCAATCCTTAACCGAATCTGTTTCCGGCTGACCACGCTTATTGTTCTGCTTAAAATAGTCGGGGAAGTTGCGATTCAGATCGAAGCCACGGGCATTGTATCTGGATTAGAATGATTAGGTAACAAGTTTCAAACTGAAAGATCTCTAAAAACCCACCTTCCTTGGCCACCGTCGCATGTGCCCTCTTTGGAAACCGCATAACCGTCCGGATTCATCGTGGGCAAAATGTGAATCCGGGTATTATCCAGCAGCCACTTCACATACTGGTCCGAGTTGTAGCTGGTCACGAAGTACTGGATGAGATGGAGCAGCATCTCCCGGCCGACGGGCTCGTTTCCGTGGATATTGCCAACGTACTTTACATCTGGCTTGCCCACCATGTGTTCGTACGGTGACGAGCTGACCACCATCACCCAGAGATCCCGGCCTTGGATAGACTTTCCAATGGAGTACAGAGCAGTGAGGTTGGGATACCGTGCACTGGTTGCCCTGTTGGAGAATCAAGAAAAGTTTATTAATATTTCAAAGCATGTTTCGAAGAGGCACTTCACCTGAGGAATCTCGTTAGCTCCTCATGGTCATGGTAGACAAAGTCCAGGTGCTGGGCATCCGGCATGTAAGCCCTTGGCTCTGGCAGACCCGGCTCTGCCGTCATCTGATGATGCTGCTGCAGCTGTAGCTGATCTCCGGGATTGACAGTCTTAGCATCACAGGAACAATACAGCAGGACGATAAGCAGGACAGAGGGCAGGAGGAGCAGCTGTTGGCCAGCAAGTGCTGTTCGCAAGATCATGGTCGGTCGGTGGCGAGTCTGCGAATGGTCAAAACTGGCGGCCGGGCAGACCATTTAAGAGGGGCTCTTTGGCGGTGCGAAATGTGGTTCGAAATGAGAGCCAACTGGTTGTGCGGCTGGCCAAATCGAATCGCATATCGCGATGAGATGAGCTTGAGCTACGTGCGAATCGAGATCTGCGATCGTTGGCCCCAGTCGACGTTTGTGGCATGCCTCAAACGTGTTCGCCCTGGAATATTATCTTCCCCCCTGACACTGACACCATCCATCACCTGACCAGAGTTCATTGATACATGGCCAAGGAAATGCCCACATAATCGTCATATCATATCTTAGTTTTAGCTATCTTGCTGAATCCCAAAAAGAGATTTCATCGTAATCCGTCTATATTAACAATTTCAGGTCCCAAATGAATACCTATATTTGCAGTTTAAAAGTTTTTCTAACTGATATATATATATATATAGTTAAAAAATCCAACTGCTATTGTAGTTCCCTATATTCTATATGATAAGGATACATTCACTTTTTCGCCATCCCTATCGTATTCCCAGAAATTGATCCCCCAAGATAAGATGATACCCAGCTCGATTCCTGATAGCTCCCACAAGGCAAGGGGGCTTGTCTAATCAGAAGGGGTCTCTGTCACCGGATGGCTCTATCTATCTGGCTATCTCGCTCCGTCTACGATAAGATACCCCATGCGTATGCCCCCAAGGTAGCCCTATAAGAGCTCACGCCATCGCTGCGAGCCCATCAAAAGTCAAACAAGCGGAGAGCCATGAAGCTGACCCTCACCATTGGACTAATCCTTGTTGTAACCGGTGCCCTCGCCCAGCCGCAGGGAAGGATTGCTGGAGGCGAGGACGCTGTTCCCGGACAGCTGCCCTACCAGGCGTCCCTTTCCGTCGGTGGAAGCTATAACTGCGGAGCCGTAATCATCGGCCAGCGGTACGCCCTAACGGCCCTCACCTGTGTCTGTTCTGAGGGCAAGGACACCCCGTAAGTTTAAAAACCCAGCAAAGGAACTATAAGCTGGCTTTTCAGAGGCTTCATGGCTCACTTTACAAATAGAAAAATCCAGCAGGTGGTTCTTCCATAGCATACTTTCAAACACTTCTAGATTAGCTTTTATGGTCTTCTGATTTGATTAATTTAATCAAATGACTTTTGATTTTAGTTGGCCAGCTGTTCTATTCGCTGTGACAGTGGGATCCGTGGATCTGTACACTGGCGGAAAGCAAATTCGTGTAGAGGAGATCACCATCAACCCCAACTACAACACCCTGAAGACTGGCATCGCTTTCCTTCGCCTGCAGGAGGACGTTCCATTTGGCGAGAATGTGGCTGCCATTCCACTGTCTCAGGAACTTCCACCCCTGGGCGCCCAGGTAGAGGTTTCGGGCTGGGGTCGCACTTCCGAATCCGAAGTGAACATGCATCGTACCCTGCAAATTGGAGCTGCTGAGGTGATGGCACCACGCGAATGCGCTCTGGCCAAAACCGAGGATGTGGCCCAGGAAAACGACCAGGTGTTGTGTTTGGGCCATGGACGTCGCCAGGGTATTTGCAGTGGCGACATTGGAGGACCTGCCGTCTTCCAGGGCCAACTTGTAGGTCTGGGTGCCCAGATGCTCGGCGAGTGTGGTGGAATGCTGCCCGAACGATTCGTCAGCATTCCGGCCAACTATGATTGGATCCAGCAGCAGTTGCAATAAATCAAGATACATAGAAAAAGCACAAGCATTTGTTTTCCTGGATTTCGTTCAGCTTATAAAGACATATTCCGAAACTTATAGATATAAGATTTTGATATTATTATATCAGTATGTCCTGTATATAGAATTATTCACTTAACGTATCGGGATCAGCTTATACTATAGTGATGGAATTCGAAGAATTTATTTTAAAATACAATAATTTCAAAGGGAAACCACTTATATTTTACCTAACATTTTAATATCACAAAAAGCTTGCATGCTTATAGGAGCCCTAAGTTGATATAGATAAACGATTTAGATGATTAAACAATAATTTAATCAATTTAACGATTACTAAGCCAGACGTAAATATATATCACCATTAAAAAAACGCCGATAACCCAATACAGTCAGCTTCTATTGATTATGTAATATCTAAAGAATAATAACTTTGAGTCATAGACACCGAAGCCCTTCTATCTTACAAGTACTCAAAGTAAAGTGTTGTAATAGAAATTGTTTTCGAGTGTAAATCAAATTAGGAAATGCCCACTCTACTCGAACCACTTTAGATACAAATGTTCATAAAAATCTTTCCTTTTTTTAAAAGGTTTTCAACTGAGATTGGCTATTAATATGAAATTATAACGTCTTAATTAATTACCTTCTTATATTAAAAATCAAAAGTCAACAAAAATACAAAGTTATCCCTTATCAATAGCTCGATTTTAATTAACCAACAATTTCGTTAATCCATTCCAGATGCTGGGTCACATCCACATAGCCATCGGGCTGTCCGGAACCACAACCGCTGACAAAGAAGGAAGCAATGCCCACAAGTTGGTTATTGTACACAGCCGGAGCTCCAGCATCGCCAGAACAGATTCCGGCAAAGTCCTCGGCAACTGGGGACAAGCAGAGCAGATCCTCCTGTTCCAGGAACAACTCTTTTTGGCAATCACTTGCACTCAGGCTCAATCTGTTGGCCACCTGAAGAGCATGACTAAGGGATCCCTCGATCTTGCTAGATCCCCAACCGGAAAATGAGATCTGAGATCCCGCTGGCGGTCTCTCTGTGGCCAAATCAATGGGCTGCGTATTAGCGTTCAGGACCACCGGGGTCTCCAGTTTCAACAAGGCCAAGTCATTGGATCCGGCTGCATCCGAACTGGAGTAGTTCTTGTGGATTATGATCTCGGACAGGGGCACCAGTTGACCACCAGTTAGACGTTGAATGCTGCCAACTCGAACATTAAAGGACCGAGCTGGGTAGCTAATTGAGAATGTTTTATAAATGTAGATTCGCTCTCAGTATTAATCTTCTGTGTAAGAACCATCTACCTTTGCTGTCCACCTCCCAAGCTAAGGCAATGAGCTGCGGTGAGGATCCAATTCTCGCTGACTAGACATCCTCCACACATATGGACGCCATTCCGCCGCAAGGAAATGCTGTGCGGTTGGGAGCCCACATCCGCCGGCAACCTACTTGATTGGGCTACGCCCAAGGTCACGATGACGAGAAGGAGGAGCAGGCCGAGCTGTGGATATGACTGAACCGGACTCATGACTTTTGGGATCTCAACTGAAAGGTGCTCCTGTCGGCCGTTGGGCCTTTATAGAGCACCCAGTTTACGACCATGATTTAAGCAATCTAATCGCCTTGTTTGCCACACCAATAAATCGTACTCCTTATCAACACACATTGGCCATCGATTAGATCGCCAAGTGGTGCTGACCATCGATCGGTGAGCTCTATTCCCATTCAGTTGCCAATCCATCGCCATGGCTGATCCACGCATTACTCTGGCCCTCGGTCTGTTAATCTTTGGCCTGATCCTCTCGACGGAGGCCTCGCCGCAAGGTCGCATTCTGGGCGGCGAGGATGCCGTCCAGGGCGAGTACCCCTGGACCGCATCTGTGCGGTACAACAAGGCCCACGTCTGCTCCGGTGCCATTATCAATCAGAGATACGTTCTGACCGCCGCCCACTGTGTGTCCAGCGTGAGCATCACTCCGTAAGTCATATCCTCACATACATAAAATCTTAAAAGCCTCAATATTTTAAATTATCTTCAGAGTGGATGCCAGTACTTTGGCGGTGCGAGTTGGAACCATTAACCAATATGCAGGCGGCACCATAGTGAATGTGGAAAGCGTCGTGATCCACCCATCATACGGAAACTTTTTGCACGACATTGCGATTCTAAAATTGTCGCAATCGCTGGAGTACAGCGATCGTATTGCAGCCATCACCCTGCCTTCCGACGAAGTGGAGGGCAGTGGCGAGACCAACACGGAGGATGTGGACGCAGAGTTGCCCAATGGAACTCCAGTCTATGTGTCCGGATGGGGTGAACTGTCCGATGGATCTGCATCCTACAAACTGCAGAAGGCTAACTTCAATACATTGAGTCGTTCCCTTTGCGAATGGCAAGCCGGATACGGATACGAGTCCGTGGTGTGCCTCTCCAGGGCCGAAAACGAGGGCATCTGCCGTGGTGATGCCGGAGCAGCTGTGATCGATGACGACAAGGTGCTCCGCGGATTGACCAGCTTCAATTTCGGACCCTGCGGCAGCAAGTATCCCGATGTGGCCACCCGCGTCTCCTACTATCTTGCCTGGATCGAAGCCAATACCGAGTAATCTTCTAAATTTCCCAAGGATTACCCCTTTATTTTTTTATACATTTTTTTCCTGTGCATAAAGTGTGTTTCCTTTACAAAAAAAAAAAGAAATTCTTTTCTTCAATTTTATGGTGGCAAACTATTGGCCATAACAAATTTAGTGCTTGCCATAAAGCTAAAAGCCGATAGAGTAACCTCAAATTGGCGCCGATCAAAGGTTCCTGAGTTCTCAAAAATAACCTTGAATACCAGTCGTGTTTATGGGATCTATCAGGGATTATCTAATATAATTTACAAGTAATAGGTTAAGATGACATTGGACTATTTCCAATTATGTGGTCATATATTAAGCAATGCAAAGAAAACTTAGATTAAGATCTAAGGAAAACCCCATATCGCGGCCTAGGAAACAAGGCCTACAACTTTTTGGGGAATTAGCCAAAAGCGATTAGGATCAAGCGTCAATGACTAAACGAAATCTTTATAATCCAGATTTGTTATCGCCAAAGCTGAAGATACCGATCTAGGGTAATTCCTGCGAAACACGATGAAGGAATGATTTCCTTTCGCTCTCTATGAAATTTCGAAATCTTTAATCGAACTAGAGTAGATTTGAAAGAACCCAGATAAGTTTGAGGTATTATATAACTAAAGGAATGTAAATCTATGCTTATTAATTTCTTGGATCAATTATTTTTATACATATAAATATTAGTTGGTTGAATAATAATTAAATCCGTATCAGCCATATTTTAATCTATGACGAAAAAGCCAGAAATTCCCCTTCCAAAAACCCGTGGCTTTATTGGACCTTTAGCGCCCATTTTCGAAGCTTTCCTGACTCACGGCTTACTCATCTTTATCTACCCTAGATGGTGTTGTCTTGTCATGGTCATTGGATCGCTTGGACTTCCCTCCATCTACTCGTGCAAATTTCTATTTATGTGCCAAGTGATCGGCGAAATAACAAGAATCAATAGTCTATAGCTGTATAAAACTGGCAATGGCCACGATAAGATTAGATTTACTCTGATGCCCAAGCCGAAGATAAGAAGTGGTCAACGGCAGCGACGCAGGGGCTGAGCTTGGTGGAGCAGTCCACTTAAATTGTCGCCGCTGGCATTGCGCATTTTCATTCGAACCGCCGTGGGCTGCTGAAGCACCCAACCAAAACCAAAAGAAGAAACTCACACAAAATGATGCAACAGAAATCCCTGATCTTGGGTCTAATGGGATTGACCCTGGTGGTCATGTGCCATGGCCATGGACGTATTTTGGGCGGCGATGAGGCTGACCCCACTGCCACGCCCTACGCCGCCTCTTTGCGCGTGGACAACGCCCACGTGTGCGGCGGAAACATTGTGCTCGCCGACAAGATCCTGACCACCGCCCACTGTCTGTACCGCAATGGAGTTCAGTGAGTATGATGGGGTTGTTCAACATGGCGGATGAGTTATATTACTACTCATTAAATATTACATCTCCAATTAATACCCTAATCCAAATTTAAATCTTTATCTCCCAAAAAGAATCGATGCCAGTCGCCTGTCGGTCCGTGTGGGCAGCACCAACCAATACGCTGGTGGTAAGATTGTGGCTGTAGAATCGGTGGTTGTCCATTCTGGTTACTATGAGCTAAAGAACAACCTGGCCATGCTCACGCTGAGCTCCCCATTGGTCTTCACCGATCGTATCGAGGCTATTGAAGTAGCCGCCAGTGGTGAGGATCTGCCCGCCCAGGGATCTGAGGTCAGTGTGGCCGGTTGGGGTTACACCACCGATGGCACATCATCCTATAAAATCCGCGAAATTCCGCTCACGGTGGCCGACGATGCCGTCTGCCAGGATGCCTATAGCGAGCACAACGAGGACAGCTTCTGCCTGGCCCATGAACTTAAAGAGGGCACCTGTCACGGAGATGGAGGCAGTGGTGCCGTTTACGCAGGCAAACTGATTGGACTGACCAACTTTGTGGTTGGTGCCTGTGGATCGCGCTATCCGGATGTCTTTGTTCGCCTCTCCAGCTACTATGACTGGATCCAGGAACAGATCGCCGCTTAGGCGACTTATATTCCTTAAAGACCATCTATACAATCCCCACCTAAAATAATTATTATTTCCCAAACTGAACGCTGCGTGTTTTTCATGGCTGTGACTCAATAAACCGATTTCGATAAGGATAAGGATCGACGATTGCCACTGGACACTGGTTAGCGTAATAATCAAAAACTAAACACCGCCGACTTACGTGTGAAATGCTTACTTATTTATGACCTCAATGGAACGACTTTTATGGCCCAGAACTCGAGATATCAATTTTCACGAGCCAGTGAAAATATCGGTTTCTTTTTTTGAGTATTTTAAGGTCAGCTTAAATAAAAATATATTTGCCTGATTCTTATCATTAAATTTAGGCATTTCAGCATCTTTATATCGAAGGTTACACAAGTATGAGTGTCTTGTTTTCCTCTTTTGCCGAACTTTGAAGGGCTTCAATTGCGAAAACAATTTGGGAAACGGAAAACAAACAAAATTATGTTAAAGCTATAGCGACATTCAATTTGAGAGTTGATGGAAACAAGGATTTAGGTTATATATACAAACAGGATGGACATTAATGGATTTTATTATCAACTGTAGAAATAGATAGACATTTCATCTCTCTATTTTGTGTCGATATTTAACTATAACTTTGCCAAAACAAGGCACACAGCATAAAGAAAGACTGTTTTGTGCACCCTATGACCAACACTTACTACCCATATTACTATCTGGTGGATTTTCTAAAATTAATTAATTTTTGGCCTAATTCTGCATTTCTAATAACGTAATCAATTTTTAGAAAAAATTGACAAATTTAAGATTTTCAGGTGTGAATGCAGTTTTGTTGGTAATTTAGTAACGAGTTCAACGAGGTATAGCATTCCAGATTCGGTCCACTATTGGCTTAGTTAATGTCATAATACTGTCATTTAAAGGGGAAGGAAAAACCAAAATTCGCATTTTCGATAAGGGCTAACATCGTCTTTTTTGAGAAAAATTAGCAAAATTTAAGATTTTTAGCTGTGAATAAAATTTTGTTAGAAATTTAATAACGAATCCAACAAGGCATGGCATTCCATATTCCTACATTTTTTGACTCTATAATGGTAAAATTACGGGTTTTCTTGATTACGATTTTTAACATTAAATTGATTTCTAACCTCTTAAATTAATCATATTCGTATTTCCGGGAATGTTTGCTACATTTGGGGACTTCCCACCCTTCCCATCGAAGGCTATACACCCTGTGTAATTAGAGGGGCTTCATTTGCAAAAAAAAAAGAACGAAACTCAGCTAAATTAGGTTATTGTCTGATAGTGACATTGACTTTGACATTTTAAGGAACTAATGATGATGAGCGCCTTGATTTCTGGTCGTATATATAGCCAGAGAAATCTTGTAGGAAGTACGACTTTTCAGAAAGCTAAAACATGTTACCCTTTTGGACTTTCCTGGTGCTGCTTTGTGCCTCCGGAGTCCTCGGACAGACGCATACCAAAAGCAAAAACGACTCCGATGTAGAGCCCCGAATCGTGGGTGGAACTCGCGCGAAGGAGGGTCAATTTCCCCACCAGGTTTCCCTACGCCGTCGTGGAAGTCATACTTGCGGTGCATCTATCATATCAAACAACTATGTCGTCACCGCCGCTCATTGCGTGAAGCAAGGAAATAATGTGTAAGTATTTTATCCTAAAGCAGATTATTAAATTAAATTAATTTTTCCATTTTAGAGCCCCGGCTAACCAGCTTTCGATCCAGGCAGGAAGTCTTCTCCTTTCAAGCGGAGGAGTAAATGTTCCGGTGGCCACTGTTACCGTCCATCCGGATTATAAAGGCAATGGCTACGACGTGGCCGTTCTCCGCCTGAAAAGCTCGCTTGATTTTAACTCCAAAATCGCCGCCATTCAACTAGCCACCGATGATCCACCCACTGATGCCACAGTTGATATCTCCGGATGGGGAGCCATAGCCCAGAAGGGACCAATCTCCAACTCCCTGCTGTACGTGCAGGTGAAGGCATTGTCTCGGGAGACCTGCAAGAGAAGGTATCTCCAACAGCTGCCCGAGACCACGATGTGCCTGATGCACCCTAAGAACAAGGGAGCTTGTTACGGGGACTCTGGCGGTCCAGCCACCTACGAGGGCAAGCTGGTCGGCTTGGCCAGTTTCGTAATCGGTGCCTGTGGACGAGATGCTCCTGATGGCTACGAGAGGGTCTCCAAACTTAGGACTTGGATCAGGGAGAAGGCTAGCTTGTAATTCCCAAAATGGGTTTTCCAATTCCAATAATTGGTATTTATTCTTTAATCAAATTATTTTAAAACAAAATGATTACCAAATTTAGTGATTGTTTTGCATAAAAGTACCTATTATTGTATATATTCCATCTATATTGTTTACGGTTCAAATTAATATTTGAAACGTGTTGAAATACTATATTTTATCAAGCACGTAATATATATATGGAATAAAAAGGCAGCACAGAAAGAATGATCTATTTTATTTATAGAATTCTTGAAAGAGTTCATTGAAGAACATATATTGCCCACATTTGTAACCAAGTTGAGATGACATTTACGTGGGACTAGAATAAATAAGAGAAATCGAGATCATATAGAAGGTAGTTGACATAATGATATGGTTCAGTTAATGTTCCCTGTGAGGAAGTCACTCATCCTCCCTGTGCGTTTTTTTTTTATTTTTGGGTCATCTCTACATGACTCATTTGCGAGCCAACGGATTGTGACCGCTTTTTAGAACCCGCTTGGTGGCTTCTCTTTCTAACCGCTTAGCAATTTATCAGAGCGCAACTTTTCCCCGCTTTTCCCCCGCTGGCCAGTGAAAGTGAAAATGAAAAGCGACTCCAAAATCCGAAACAGCTCGCCTAACTCTTTCTATTATTGCTCGGTAATTTTCCGCTTTTTTTCGCTTTTCAGTTTTTCAGTTTTCTTTCAGCGTTTAATGACTTTGTTTTGCTTTTCATTTAACTGGTCTCGCACTTTTTATTTATCTTTCAGTTTCGAGAGTTTCAATTTTCCAGCGCTCTCTTTTGGGCGCAATTATCGGATCGCTGGGGATCGTGGCGTGCCTCGATGGTTTTTTTTCTGTGATTTTCTTGCCCCACCTCTCGTCGTAAACTGGCACGTTTCTTCAGTTTATCCACCCAGCTGGCTGTCAATCTCGTCAATCTGTCAGTCTAGAGTGCTGCTCGAAATGCAATTCACGGATCAAGTCATCGAACCTTTTAAAGTTGAAGAACTCAATGAGCTACGATCTTGGCGGTGATTCATGAACTTAGCTGGGCTTACAAATACCTCAATATTTGAAGCTCTTTGACGGTAACTTTGTTAGGAATTTCAGTTGACAGTTCGTTATCAAATTGCCACTTCATTTCCAATTTCCAATTACAATAATTTTCCAGAGACACCGAGTTTCATCTAAACTATAACTTGTTTGCAAATCATAAATCAACTGTTTACCAACCAATCACACATTTAACTGCTTCGCACTTAAAATTGTTATTACACAGAGGGAAAAGCATAATAATTATGGGTTTCTTAAACAAACAGTAACCATAAAAGCAACAATACTTAAAAAAATACTAATAAATACAAATTAAACTGAACTGCATTGATATTTTTGAAACCTCTAATTCCCTAATGAACATAATTCAAGTGTTAAATATATAATTTTGTTCAGTGTGGTTGAAACCTGATAAGAAATCGCAGCATTTATTATCTCCTCCACCCAATTCGATTGCCTCAATTTCACCCGGTCCATGGCTGTGCCGGTTCCAAGAAGCCACCAACTTCACATTACAAACTTGCACTGGCAAGTTCCACATCCACATGGCACTGTCACTGTCAACTGAAATTCAAAAGTCGAGACATGTCGCGGCAAACAAATTTCTTCTTATTTTGGGCTTCAATTTTGATTAGCATGGAAAGTCAGCGGGCGAGCGAGTGTAAGTGGCTTTTAATGGTCAGAGCAATGCCAAAGCCGATCGGCGGGTTAATGGTAACGGGTTTGCCCGAATCCGGGCCCGGAGAAAGACTGGAGTCACTTTGGAGACTCTAAAGACATTGAGACTGAAGACTGTCGTTTACGGTGTGGGGTGTGCGGAGTGCTGAGCACTGAAGCAGGTCAGTTAACCCACTAACCTTGTTAGCTGAAAGTGGGCAGCCACTGGCTAAAGCGCTCCACCACTGTCAAGTTCAATGCTAAAAGCCTGCCAAAAGGGGAAGCACACCCACCGACAAAATAGTAGTCATCATTGACAAAATTTATATTTCAAAGGCAAAACAGTAAAAAAGGCATGGTTTAAAAAGATTTAAAAATGTTTTAAAAGAGAGTAAACCTTTACTTAAGCTCTGTAATATCCCCTTTTGGGATTTTGTCCATGATTATCGTCATGGCCCATGCTGTCCAAAGAGGAGTCAGAGGACAAAGGGCTTGGCGGGGCTTGAATAGCCTTCCAAGGAGACGACATGCGCACTGGGTTAGTGAGCCATTTGCTGGGATACTGGGGATATGGGGTGTTTATATAACAACAATGCGAGTGCAGCCCAGCCGACATTCGCCTGCAATGTGACCTTCACCTTGGCAGTGGCAGCAAGGCCGCTCCTGCACCACCCACCCATCTAGCCACCCAAGGCCTAACCTTGATCTTAAACTTTCCCACGAATAACAGACCAGTATAGTATTCACCTGATTTCTTGCTTCTGGATTTCCTGTTTCTTTTCAACAGCAATTTCTATTATTCTTGCAGCTGTCGTTGTCGTTGTTGCTGTTGTTGTTGTTCTTCGCACCTTTTTTTCTGCAATGGGAAATTTGCATAAAATATTCAATCAACTTTCATTGTTCCAAGCGGCTGACGTTGCCGGGCTTCAATTTCACACAAAAAAAAAAATAACAAACAAACAGAAAGTAAAACAAATTCTCTTTAGTTTCTCTTTATGCCTACGCGATTGCCCAAATTAGCACTAGTCAAATATATTTAAAGGGCGAAATAAAAAACAAAACTCGCACTGTGTTGACTTATTAAAAGAAGCTGTACGCGGTCAAATGGATTCTTTTTGGGTGCTTACACTTTCCCAGTCCAAAACCGAAAAAGACAAAAACCAGAATCAACTCGTGAAGAGAGCAAGTTTTCAAAACGCGTCCGATTGCCAGCACCGTTAAAGTTCGACTAAGTTTGTGGCGCGTTGTGCGTGTGCGATGGAGGCCAGAAGCCCAGAAACCAAGCTGTCAATGTAACGACCTCCATTCAACTGGTACAGGCTATTGGACCAAAAAAAATCCTTTGAAATATCAAAAACAACATCATTTATAATATTAAAATGATTCTTATACATTTTTTATGTTTATGTTTTTATGTTTTTGGAAAAAACAGTTAAAGTGGTTGTTTTCACGGATGCTTACTTTTGTCAGCAAGCAATGTTTAAGTGCCCGCTGCTGTTTTACAGCACTGAGCTCTTGGCAGCTGGTAAATCTTTATTTGTATATTGTTGTTGGTTATTACAATGAATTTTTTTTTTTAATAATTTTGGGGTAAAAGGCTTAATAATTTTAGCCGTTTTGATTCTATAATTTTCTACCTATTTCTAGCTTTCAAAGCGTTCAAAGTCTGATTATGATCTGAATAAGAAAATTCATCATTCAAAAACTTTTTAAACACATATTTTATATTATAAATTAATTACTGTTATGAAATATGATATGAAATATTTTAACCTTAGAGTAGGCACCAACTTTCTTCTTGACGCTTTCTTATTTTAAAAATAATATTAATATTATATTATGGTTTTTTGAAAAATACCATTACTTACTTGTTTTGCGCTCTCATATACAAAGTCTGGATTTTTTAGTGTAATTTCGCTTGCAGTGCCAGGTAACACTGTATTGGGTGGTTGTTGTTGCGATCCGAACAGACGTTTTTCTGTTCGCGAGAAATAAACAACGCGCGCTACGCCGTTTTCGATTAAGAAATTCACCAGAATATATATATTACCGGGAATATATCTTTTCTGTTTGTGTTAAAAAATATCCCTTTCGTGCTTTGAAATAGTATTTCACTTAAACTGTTATTATCACCGATTGGTAACACTTTTCGCGCGAAAACAGAAAAACTAAAACAACGGAAATAGTTAATAACAAAGTGCGTGAGCTTTTTTTCATTATTATTTTTTTGTGAGTGTAAGTGCTGTGACAAGCTTCTATTTGTGCATCTCGCTTGTATTTGTGATTGTGTAGGTCAAGGTGACGCAGCTGCACCGTTAGTTTTCCACCCATTGAATATGCAGTTTTCAATTGCGAATGCATCTTATATGCATATATATGTACATATGTACATATGTACATTGCAGAAACCCTAAAAAGTCAATATTGCAGTAAACCTCCTCTTTTTCGCACTGCCTCCCTCCCGCTCGCACCTTTTAGTATGAGATAAGCACTAGATAAGCGAGTGTGTGCGTAAATTACTGTTAAGCTTAACCCTTAGTCTGTAAAGTATGCAAGTTAGCAATATCACAAAAACATAATATTAAATATTTGAAAAGATAAATATTTATTGCTTCAACTGCAACTTCCAACTAGGTATAGCAGGGACAACTTACCACACGCAACAATTTAAATAAATAAAACTGATTTAACTGATCACAGCTTCCATTAAAGTAATTAAATCTAACTCTCTGGTAAGAATTAATAATGAAAAATTAATGTGGCAGCAGTAGCAACTAGCAACTTGCAACAACAAAAGATTGTGCAACCTGCAACGTATAACACAGGCGGCAAAACGGCGTTTCTACCGCAACGTCGCCTCTTCGGCGGCGGCAATGTGTCCTCTTCGACGACCATGAAGCACCAGCCGCCGCCTCCACCGCTTCCCCTCAGCCAACCACCCTTGATGGGCGGCGGTACAGCCGCTGGAGGCGTGGCCAATGCCATCAGCAGCCTCAACGGCATTAGTAATGTTAACAACAATAACAACAGCAACAACGGCATCGAGGCAGCTAAATGCCGACCTCCCATTTACCCCAAACGTAAGTAGAACCCCTTCCAAGGGTGCAAAATATGAACTTTTTTAAAAAGGGGTTGAACGGGTTATTTTCTAAGGGTTCTAAATATTTTTAGTCAATATGTGCATATGTATGTATTTTAATTCTTAAAATTTAACTATTTTTAGAAGTTTTTATTAAACTTGAAAACAGTGAGAGCTTAGGCTAATCACTTTGAAAATTGTTATCTTTTCTACTAAAAAGTTGAGTCAAATAAAACAAAATGAAAAAACTGAACAAATCATTCCATTTATTTCTGAGTTAAAGTCTTTAATAAGAATTATCAGTTACATTATTTTCGCAGGCGCTATCAATGAAGCATTATTAAATAACTCACCAAGATATTTATATATATGTTATCGGAAAAGTAAATAGCATAAAAATACCTCACAAGATAAAGATTTAATCAATTTACAAGTTAATTACAATGAATGTGCCAAAGACAGCAAGTTAAACTGAATAGTAAATTACTTTGAAAAATGTAATACTTACTTATTTTATATTAAGTGCACAATTTTAATTTAAGTGTATGTTTTCTGCAGGCCAATTGCCCTCAGCTGGATCGATCTTATCTGGTATTTGCGATCAGGGATCTCGATTGGCTTCCCCATTACGTGGCGCACTCCGCTGCTTTCCGCCGACAAGAAAATTGGCTGGCCAGGCCAACTATTTTTCCGATGCCTTTGGAAAGTCGACGGCGGCTTCCTTTCCTTTTTTGCCCACTTCGTTTTGTTTTGGCTTCGCTTTCGCCTTGGCTGTATTTTTTTTTTTTTGATTTTGGATTTGGAAGTTGGTATTATTGTTGTTGCCACTGCCGTTTTTGGTAGGCGTAGACTTTGTTTTTATTTTTTTTTCGTTACCCTATGTTTTCTACTTTTTTCTTTGTTGGTTTTGTGTAGTTTTGCAGTTGGCCGCACCCATAACCCAATCCCCATCCCAATTCCAATTGCAGATCGCTGTGGGCCTTGGGTCTGCCTTTTGGTCTTGGCCATTTGGCATTGGCCTTAACTTGATAACTTGGTGGCGGCAACGTGACCGCAGCTAACGGGTCTTCTAGTTGACATGTCGTTAGTACCCGTTGAGCATTTGTGTCGCCCCGATATCGGCGGAATGCCTTAACTCTGAACGAACTACCATTTCAATATATGATTATACATCGTACAACACAGCTAGAAAATTGCCTTCCCAGGCCCTTTTAATGCTTTAACTTAAGATATTCAGGAATGAATCATTAATACTTACTATTTTTCTATTGCTCATCTTTATAAAAAAAAAAACAATCACAATAACAGAATATTCATATGCATTTTATGAATTTGATTAAAATTTTAAATTTAATATGGTAAAAAATCATTTTTCTCTGCTATTATTATTAATGTGTAGTCATTGGCAATCCCATGTTTACATACAGTCATCATAGAACTCGAATCGAACGAGATAAGATAAACTACATTTAGCATGGGCTAATGGTGTTTATAAATATTGTACTGAGCTCACTTTAAATGTTAGCTGGTTTTACGGTATATGCTCGTAAATTGTAATAGATATATTTTATAACAATTGGTGGTAAAATGTTTTATTAGATATGAGTATCAGAAATCCGTTTATGGGTATTTGCTGTATTTATAGCAAGTCTTACCGAAATGGCGTTCAAATATTTTAGGGATCGAGAAAAAAATCAACCTCATTGATTGTCTAAGTTTAGTCGTCCATTTCCATTGTGCCTTTCCTTTTACATTTACTTCCAAGTTGCATTTACCATTTTCCGTTTTATTATTTTAAAGCTTTCATTCGCTAGTTCCAATTAAAAATGCTGCAGTTTAGCGTTTAAAAACTCATTAAGAGCCAACTTCATTGTTATGTGTATATGAATACACATGTTCTACCGCTGTCTCCTCCTCGGCTATTGTGGTCGTCGTTCCCTTTTCTTCGATGTCTACTATATGTTTTCCATGCATTGTTCAAATGCGAGGGCGTTTAGATGCACTTCTACAGCAGCGGGCAAAATAGAAGGTTGAATATTTCTGGTTATTTTATACTTCAGTATATGCAGAGATATATTTACCCATCTATATTTCTTTCGTGTTAAGTTGATTATAACGATTATAATAACCACTAGACATGGTTTTGAAATAGTCATCTCTATTTTGCTTTCCTCATCTGTACATATTGCACAGTGGGAGTGGAATTTTCATGGCAATTAGGGAAATCAGTGCATAAAGCTGTCAAATGCCCGGTTCTCCAAAAAGGGGTTAAGTGACGGGAGGATGGAGTTGCAATGGCACAGATTTTTATGTTTTTCGGCTATACACGTAAATATATTATAAATAGAATGCGTAAAGCAAGCACAGGGAGCATTTCGGCGAGAATAAACCAAGAAATTGTGGGATGTCACAGCCGGGACAGATCCATTTCAAAGATCAAAGTTTCAGACTGACACCGACATTCCATTAACAACTGCGGGTGAAATAATAGATTATACGTATAATCGAAGAATTCTTGTTTAGTCTCTCGAAGTGAGACGTAAAAAATTCTTAAAATGTTAGTGGGATTATTAGTTCTCTGGTGAAATCTGAAGTGTTAGTACTTTGACCTAATCTGTGTATCAAAAGATGTTTCTTTTCTTCATTTAAAGACCAGAATTTACCAAGCAAATGTGTGGCATTCGGTTCGAGTTCTTCAAAGATAAACATTTTTCTGTCTGGAAACTGGAGAATTTCAAAATCGAATCGCAGGGAAAATCGATCGGATTGAAAATAGTTCTCTGAATGCGAGAAATTCCCTTGAAAGGTGTCGGCGGAGAGGTCGGGGAAATGGGAGGCGGTAAACCTGGGCAGCTACTTCAAATGCCGTCAATTGTTTTGAAAGTTTTCAGCATGCCAAGAACGAAGATGCAGCTATTTATGGAACATTGCAACAAGGCACCAACGAATGCCCTTGGATGTGTGGACAGCAGTACAGTGAAGCCTGACCAAATGACATTTTGGAGTTGAGCACACCTTAGTATAAGAATATTTATAATACTCATAAAGTTTAGAATATTAATAGATAGAGGGCTCTTAGAGTAGTTTTGTATCTTTTTTGTTTCCATAGGTTATTAAATTGTAAAAAAATATTAACAAATGAAGGACCCATTTTATCTGTTTTTAGTTATATTTAAGCAAATTCCGCTATAGCTCCTGTCCCTTTGGCTTTTGTTTACTTAACCAAATGCCTTTGAGACTGAGGCCTAAAATGAATCCGACTGGGCTGGACCGGGCTGGAAAAAGCTGAAACCCAATGCCGATGTACGTTCAATGGCTGCATCGAGAGTCACTTCAAGTCCCCCCAAAATACCCCCGAAGAGCCAGCCTCCTCCTCTCCATGTTCCTATTTCTCAGTCTGGGCACTCGTGCGTTCAACAAGCCACTCGAACTCGCCGCCAAGAAGAGGAACAAGATGCGTATAGCTTCAAGAAAATATAACAAGATTGAAGGGTTAGCCGGGGGAACCGAAATTGCCAATACTCTAGGATAATTCCTAGCTATATAAGGAGCTAAATCAAAAATCTGGAAAAGCATACAAATATGTTTAAAAACATCGTTATAAGGATTATGTATACAAATTATTTATATTTTCTATTATTGAGTCCTAAGCCTTAACAAAGCTAACAATAGCCTTTCTATAAGGGTATAATGCTGAACTGAAGAACATAAAAAGTGAGCTGCATTCTGCTGCAGAACTCGAATTGAACTTAATTGAAATGAAATTGAGATGGGTGAAAAGAAAAACGAGGAGGAAAATGCATGGCAAGGCAAGACGGATGAGTGAGCGACCGAGATTGAAATTGATGTGTCGCCAAGTGTTAAATGGTCTGTCATAATGCCGACCGAGATCGTGTGTCGGAGAGCAAAGGAAAATCATTTCCCAGGCCATTTGCCAGCGATTCCGATCAAAACGATAAATGCTCAAGTGTTTGACACCCAACAACCTATCTAATAATTCTTTTGGATATCATTTCTCCCCTCGCTCGGCAATTGATGGAAATTACAAAAATACACCAGACAAAATTCCCATTAATTCAAAAGTGAATAGATTTTGGTTGTTTTGACATTGCTTATAAATAATTATGAATTGGATTTACTTCTACTTCATTTTGGTTTCTATAGTTATATAAATTTTTAGAATACATTTTTTGCAAAAACGTCATTCTAATTTTGAAGACATTAAACAGACATTGCAGTTGAAAAAGTAAGATATTTTTCTATATGTTGGACATATAGTGACAGACATCCAACCGACCCAGCCATAATGACGATGACAGCGACAAGTCTAGTCAATGAACCACATCCAAGCGGGGTAAGACTGACGGGGAAATCGGTGGAGAAAAAGATGAAAACTGCAACGCCCACAGAAAAGCTCTTTGGGATAAACAAACGACAATAAGCAGCGGCGATAAATATCTTCAGACACAGTGAAAAAAAAAAAGCTGGACAGAGGGGTGTGGAGCGAACTATCAGATTTATAGAATTGAGAGCTCAGATTTTGTCAGCCGTCTTGGTGTGGGTGGAAAATTGAAAATGGAAAATGATGAGGGAGATGGAGTGTTTTTTATACTATATATAGAATGGGTACTGCAGTGGGCGTTTTCACATCTCAATTGATGAAATTGATAAAGCAGGTGGAGGAGGATAGCACAGTTGAAAGAACTCTTCATTATTTTCTAATTTAACCTCCATTTTACATAAAAGAGAATAATGTGTGTGTTTCTAGCTTATTGAATATTTTTTATATTAGTTTTACATATTACATTATACCTTTTATTAGTACTTCGGTTTTCTCTCGGTGCACTTGGCATCTCATCCTTTTAGAACTGGCATACCCCTTGTTTATACAAGCCCATCTTTCAGTCGGGCCAAGTCATTGCGCTCATTAGCCTTCCTTGTGGTCTGGGCCCGATTTCGCACATTTATCCGACAGATGGAGATATGCAGAAGATATGGCCACACAAACAGCGATCTGGCGAGATAACTGTATCTGGGCCCCCAATAAGCCTCAAACAAATATCTTGGCCCATCGCGATAATGTGAAGCAGCAAGTTCATTCAATGTTTGCACGCGATTCGCAATAATTTCACAAAGTTTACACAAAATATATTTTAAATATACATTTTTTCTCTGTTTTGCTTGCGTGTCGGGGCAGTTTTACACTCTTTGAGTTTCTTAGATAAATATGTTTTAGTACATAAATGAAGAAAGTATTTCCTAAAAAAAAAACAATTATCAATTGAATCGTCCAAAAAAGTTGTGCTCTAAATCATGTTCCCTTTGCTCTGAATCATTGTGATTTTCCTTACACAGTGTAAAGCTATCTTAAGGATTATTCGCTCGTTGAGGGGTTGCACTTGAGCTGCATTGTGTCACTCTGCAGGAAGCACCGCATTCCAAATCCCCTTGGCCTTGCCAGTTGAGCGCTTTCAAACTCGATTAAATGCGAAACGTGAGCGGGAACAATAAGCTGCCTGTCTCCCCGCCGACACCCTTAGGAACTCAATAGGGTGGCTGGTTCACCGATCAGTGGGGGTGGGCCCTCCAACCAGTGCTACCGTATCTAAGGAAATTGGGATGGGTATTATACAAACTACCCTGAATAGTTGGTTTGTAAAGTAAATTAGGGCCAGAATTGAATTTATAGCTAGGTAAAGTTCTATTTTCAAATTTGATACCGAAAACGTGCAACATTTTTGAACAAAATAGGTTTTCGAAGTAATGAGATTATCTGGCAACACCCCGTAGAACAACCGTTATTCCGCCACTTTTGACCAAAAAGTACCGTAACATATGGCCCACTTTTTTTCCGGGCTTCCGCTAGTTAGAGCCATGTCTTTGGGCGCAGGCGCCGAGAGAACACGGATAGAGGGTGATAGTACGGTGGAAAGTTGCATTTCGGTGTTGCCACTTCACGTTACATCCTTGCAAAAGGACAGTACGGGGTGGTGCGAAGGGGGGCGTGGTGGTATTAGGGCGGGAGGAAGAGAGAGAGAGAGAGAGCACATACAAGAGCCCATTAATTTTGGATGGTTTTAGGGCAGTTTCCTCGCCAGTTGCAGCTCCACCACAATACAATAAAGTGTTCATCAAACTCGGGGATTTATTTTTTCAATGACCAAACAAATAACAAACAACTACACACACTCAAAACAACAAAAAAGTCACAAAACGAAGAAAAATTAAGGGCCAAGCAAGCAAACAATCCAACTATGTGGCAAATTTGCTGATAACCAGGAAAATACACAGTGAAAACCCGGAAGGCAGAAAAAGTGTCGAGGCTTTTAGCCAATTACGTTATAAGTAGGCGTTCCGTATACACACGAAACTCGGCGGGAAGGGAGGTGTAGAAGAGGAGGCAGGAGTTACGAGGACCAGAGACACCCAGGAGGCAGGAACATGTGTAAGGAACAATCGCAGCTTTGCAGTATGGGATGATTGGGTTGGGATTGTGAACACCTTTCACTTCTGGTTTACTTTTGTCACTCCTTGACTCGACACCATTTCATTTGCCTAATGAGACGGCGATGAAGTCGCTCAAGAACCGAGGATTCAAGACCCAAGTGCAAGGTCCTTTAGTCGATTAGCCCGTTTTGTTTCCTCACTCCTCATTTCACACACAGAAAAAAGAATTGAGTTAAGGGATTGTCACTGACTTACATGTGTATGTAACAAGCACTGCAAGTACATCCTCTTCATCAACCTTTAAAGTCTTGTATTCTTGAAAAGGATTCATATGCTAAACATTAATAAGATTTTAAAATCTATCAATTTATCTTAATTATTGATTTAAATTAAAGAATTAGAACTTTGTAGGAATAAATATAAAATAAAAACTGGTAGCACATCGACTAAAAGCTCACTTTTTATTCTACCCTTGCAGCTAAAACGCCCTCGTTCGACAAGGATCGTGATTATATAGGATTCGCCACCCTTCCAGAGCAAGTGCACCGGAAGTCGGTGAAGCGGGGCTTCGAGTTCACTTTGATGGTGGTCGGTGAGTCCGGGCTAGGCAAGTCCACCCTGATCAACAGCCTTTTCCTGGGAGATCTCTACAAGAACCGGCAAATGCCCAATGTGGAGGAACGCATCGAGAAAACGACTAAGGTGGAAAAGAAGACAATGGATATCGAAGAGCGGGGCGTTCGACTCCGGCTGACAGTGGTGGATACCCCGGGATTCGGTGATGCCATCAATTGCGAAGACAGCTGGCGGGTGTGCACCCAGTATATTGATGAGCAGTTCCGCCAATACTTCACCGACGAGAGCGGGCTCAATCGGCGAAACATCCAGGATAACCGGGTACACTGCTGCCTCTATTTCGTCCCACCATGGGGCCACAGGTGAGTCTAACTAAAATGAAAATAACACTATAAAATATAAGTATAAACTGTAAATCTGAATCCTTTCAGCTTACGACAGATGGACCTTGACTTGATCCGGCGGCTGCACCGCAAAGTAAATATTGTGCTGGTCATCGGCAAGGCCGACTGTCTCAACAAACAGGAGGTGCGCAAGCTGAAGGAGCGCATTCTGCAGGACTTGGAGGACAATCACATCCAGCTGTACCAGTTTCCCGAGTGCGATTCCGACGAGGATGATGATTTCAAGCAGCAGGATCGCGAGCTGAAGGCCTCCATCCCATTCGCCGTTGTTGGCAGCAATACCATTTTGGAGGTGGCCGGCAAGAAGGTCAGGGGTCGCCAGTATCCGTGGGGCGTGGTCAATGTGGAGGACCCAGAACACAGTGACTTCATTAAGCTGCGCACCTTCTTGATATCCACGCACATGCAGGATCTCAAGGATACCACGCAGGTGGGTGTTAAATAACTTTTAAATTCACCTCTGACTACTACTAATTTGTATACGTTTTTTAATTTTGTAGGACGTGCACTACGAAAACTTCCGGGCACAATGCATCTCGCAGATTTCGCAGCATGCGCTTCGTGAGCGCGGCAAATTGAAGAGGGATTCGATTAGCTCAACTAATGGATTTGACGCAGCCATCTCGGAGACGGATAGGCTGCTCCTGCAGAAGGACGAGGAGATACGGAGGATGCAGGACATGCTCACCCAGATGCAGGAGAAGCTCAAGCAAACCCATATGATGGAAATGAAGAAGAACGACAGCGTGATCGACGTCTAGGGAACGAAAACGGGAACGTGTTCAATTTTGCACCGCGATTTATGCATCTACCTAATATATAGGACCTATATAGGTGACCCAGAGACACCCTGGAGCAGCTGCAACCAAATCAACTTTGTTCATAAGCTAGCACAGACTTTTTAAAGCAAAAACCATTGGATCCAAAAAAAATATGAAAATTAAGACAACGACTCCCCGAAGCACAAAGAAATCCAAACGAGCAAAAATTTCTGACAGACATCACAGCCTTTTTCAATTTTGTAGCCTAAAGTAACGATTTCTTTTAGGACTAACGATTTAATGGAACACACTCTATATTGAGAAATTAGCTATTTGATCGATTACGAGTACGATATTATACCAAAGTTTAAGGAGTTTCAAAAACTTAACGCAAGTAAATTGTTAATGGAAAAGATCAAGAAACCACAGAGGCACATAGAAAGACATAAATGGACCCCCTAAAAATGGTTTAATTTATTTTAAATGAAATGATTATCAATTTTTTTTTATTCGGTTGTATTTTTTAGTTTTTGGAGAGCAAATCGTTTAGAAATGAAGTTTGCTTTAATTATGTGTAAAGAACTTATACCATTTATATTGTAAGAATATATCAGATCGGAATATATATATATGTATGTATATTCATATACTTTTATATAGGTATATATATATATATTAATAAATATATACATTCATATACTTATATATATATGTATATATATTTATATATATATATCTATGTGTGTAGGACAAACCGCTGGAGGTTTTGGCACTGAATTTCCATGAATCGACTTTCAGCAAGTTCCAATTATTTATGCTAATTACGTATTATCAGATATATCTATGAACAAAACCTATTTTGTTGAAACGAATTGTTAATGAATTTATTTTAAATTAATCGATTAAGCCTTCACGCAACAACCATAATATTTAAATGAAATTATAGTCGAAAAATTATATATAAACATAGCGATTGCTAAAAATCGATTTCAAATAAAGATAAAAACAACTTAAGTGGTGCATTTACAATCATGCTAGACTCAAAACATTATTCTTTAATGGAAAGTTTAAAACTTTTGGGACACTTGTATTCAGGGCCATCAGTTTTTTTTTAAGTTTAAAATGATGTTATCGATATATCAACATTTCATCTTAATAACGATAGGATTTACTATACATATCGATAAGACGCGGATCAGTAGAGACACATTTAGATTGCTTATATTTTGATTCTAGAGAATGGATTTGGATTTATCACGGGATGCTATGATAGAACAGCTCAAAAAGGTTTCTAATTTTATTTAAGGAACGGACTTGAATTAATATATAATGTTTCAGAGGGGGATACACTTGTCCGATGTGGAGAGTATGTCGATAGAGCAGTTAGAGGATATATACCGGAAGTTTGTGATACCCAAACCAAGAAGGGAGCGGGAACACCGCGATCGATCCAAACCCATTCCCATGGAAATGGAGCAGTTGGCGCAGCGCATCAAATCTGTAGCTATGGTGGGTCAAAAACGACCACTGCTGGATAGCCCGAACGACGACAGTCCCAAGCAAATCAAGATGGACCTCCGTTGACCTGTGACAGGAGGCGATAAGCTTATGGGGGCTACAATGCAGTGCCCCCAATCAGTAGGCAAACGAACGTTCGTCGAGATGCACCTGCTCCTCATCCTTCTTTACTGTGTTCCACTGGTTGTGGGCGATATTTTGCCACTGCAACCAGATTTGGAGAACATTCAGGTTACTTTGTTTATTAAGAATATTTCGTCATATGGTATTATTGGATCGACCTTTATATAGGTCCCCCATAAAATAATAGAGATCATGTTATGAGATATTGATTTTCTTACCATTTTAGTTGGCCATTCGGCGGAGTGCCAGTCGCGGAGACAAGCTTCAAGTATTCCAGAGCATTTGGGGGGCCATTCGTTCCGACTTTTCCACCGATACGGACAAGGTGAAGGGCCTGTATAGCCAATTAGGCATCTTCATCCGCGATGAAATGCAGTGCACCAGTGGGGAAACAGGTCGTTCCGCCTGCGAATTGCAGCAGGAGGTAAGGCGTCACTTGAGAAGCCTCATGGCCCAACGCTTGGCCAATCTTTTAAACGCCGAGGAGAACATCCAGACGTATGGCATGTACATAGCGGCCAGTGTTGAGCCCGCCTTAGTCAGAGATATCCTGGTGCATGCCATCGAGGATGTGTACTTCTATCGTCCACCGGATAAGCTGGTCCAGCAGTTGGAGCAAATTTATGCGGATCGTGATGAAGTTAGCTTCCGGATGATGATCGAGGCGCAATTAGTGCTCTTCTGGCGATATCAGGCCATGCAGGACAGTAGTGAAGGATTTCTCTTCAACATGGCGCATATGGTCAGCAAAATAAGGACCCATCACATGTACGCCAGCGTGGATTCAGGTCTGCAAAGGCGATTGGAGGTGCTTTTGAAGAGTTTGCCGCCTGTCCTGAGTTTGCTCTTTCATCCGCAAGGCTTCTGTTTGCTGAGTCGTTCCGATCGTGAGTACATATATACCACGATAACTGATGAGTGGAACTATGGGCTCAATGGCAGACAAGTATTCACTTGGCACGAGCAGAACTACACTGACTCCGCTGGACTAATACGAGCCTTTGTTCAGGAACAACACTCCTCTCCTGTCTTTACATTGCGCGGCGAGCTCTTTAAGTGGTACTTATTTGTGGATCCCACTGAGGGAAATCGATTGGGAGCCCTGAGATCCGGAAGTCCCAGTTCCTCGTCAAGTTTCTGGACAATTGCCTATGTAGAAGATGCTCTCATCTTCCGGCAGCGCGATCTCACACTGTGTGCCGCCGAAAAGTACGACAACGACCGCAGGCTGGTAAAGATGCTGCCTGGTCAAATGCACACACCTCCATCCGAGGCTTGTCAGTGGTTGCCGATCGATTGTGTTCCTCCAAAATGAGCGAGATGGATGTCGTGCAAACATATACATTTATAATTTTCAGACAAGATTTCTACCTTTACCCTTTAAAGTCAAGTTTAACTGAAATAAATTCAGGTGAGCATGTACACTAAATAATTTCGATTTATTCCTAAACAGTCACATAAAAATGGTTACAAATGAGAACAGTGTGCATCAGTCCATTGAAAAGATATAAATACAAAAAAAAAGGAACATAAGAAGAAAAAAAGGAAAAAGAATGAAATTCAAACATTTCAAAACGAATAAACCCATAACAAGGTGGAAAGATTGTTAACCGTATACGATACAAACACACTGCGATGGTCTGAACTTAGCCTAATGAGTTTTTGGTTTAGCTGGTGGGCTACTACTGCAACGGCTGGTCTGCCTCCTGTTCCAAAAATTCGTCCTCGCTTTCCTCGTTTTCCAAGTTGCGGGCGGCCACGCGATTGCGATGCTGGGAATTAGGTAATGGTATATTAACGCGGTGACGCGAACGGTTGAGCAGACGGCGACTTGCCGACGGACGATAGTACATGCTGCACTGCAAGAACTCCTCCGGATCCTCTTGCGGGGACGCCTCCAGCGATTCTTCAATGGCACGCGAATAATCCTCGATCTCCTCGTCATCCAGATGCGGTGCTCCATTGGCAAAGGAGGCGAAGCGCATGGGATTGCGCAAATTGCTCATCACGCTCCACTGTCTGCACTCCGGACTGTTGACGAATTTCCTTAGCTCCGATAGAGATTTCGATGTCTCGATGGCCGTCTGCTCTTGGTACTCTTCCTGGGTCAGCAATCGTCTTTTGGTCGGAAAACGGCGGCGGTACATCATCTTTGCATAATGCATCCATGATCGAGGAAAGTAATGGGCCAAAAAGGCCACCACCATTAGGAAGATTAGGGCGCTGGTGTGCCAGCTGCTGAAGTAAACCAGAACACCTCCCATTGCCTGCAGCACCCACATGATGATGTTCTGCGAGCGTGGATTCTTTGGCGGACCAATGCGATAGCAAATCTATTAGGATAATAAAACAGAGGAAAATGTGTAATCATGGGACACTCTTTAAGTACTATCAAATACACACCAAAAACGAAATCAGTCCGGTGACGACCAGGTACCACACCACATGATCGCGATAGGTGAGTAGTATTAGTCGCAGATTGTCCGCCAGTTGTTTGAGGACATAGAAACCAATGGTCCAGCCGCCGATTAGAACGCCATACATCATGGGACGACGCGGAAAGAGTTTGGCTGCCAAATAGATTACCACTAGCAAGGAGGCGCATATGCCGATAATGACCCCGGCCAAATAATAGAACACGCTATTCTTGGCCAGCCGCCGGGCGCTCCAGAAAGTCAAAAAGCCCAATGAGAACTGAACAAAACGCCAAAGATCCAATTGGATGGTGTTCAGGATAACACTATATGGTTGTCGGGATGAGATCCCAATGCATTGCTGGTCAAATGGTGATAGCTGGATACGTTGACGCTTCTGAGAGAAAAGGGTGATGCTAAACAGCGATCGTTGCTCGTTGTAGTGTTCCTGGACCTCATCCGGAGTCTTGCCACCATATTGGGCATAGTCTTCATTGTCGATCGCCAAAACGAACTCCACAGTCTCAAAAAGATTTAGAACTGAATAACGCTTGCCCGGATAGCAGTATGTTCGAAGGGTATTCGACCCGTATATGTTCTCCGTAACATTAATAAACGTGCCTGGCGTAAGGAATGCCGTGTCCGAGGAAACCGGATTTTTCGATGCACACATCGTGGCTATGGCCAGCAGACAGAGCCCTGTCCATTGCATTTTCATTGGATCTAAGAGCGGCGCAATTCAGCACTAAGTTCACTATGTTAAACCAATTAAACACTAACCTTTTAATTTATGTTTTGTTTATATTTGTTTTCCCTTTAATGAAACGCCGGCGATAACGATGAGAATGCAATGACACAATCGATATCTGACTTGTGAATAATCGTTATCCAAGTTCAGAACCTCTTATTGATTCCGTAGCAAAGTTCGCCACCATTGAGCTAAGCACAAGGGCATTTTTTAGGATGTCAAGCACAGCAAACTCCGTTTCAATAAGGCGGTGAATTCGGTTGTCGGTCTTTTGATTCGCTGGACGTGTTAATTGAGGGTCAATTTGCGAGTAAACATTGTTAAATGTTTAACCATATTGAAGCAGTGCGAAATTTGCCAACTCTGACAACGGTATCCCGAAACAAACACGAATAGCAAAAAGCGGCGCTTTAAAACCGAAACTAAAACGTGTTCACAACTACAAGTGCAGCAAAAAGCAGAGAGAGAGAGAGCTTGGAATTGATAATACACGAAATTGTAAGTTTTATAGTAATTGCAATGTGTGTACAAAGGATAAAGGTTGCTTAATTGAGTTATATAAGTTAAACTGAACTTAGGGATCCCAATTAATCATGAAAAAAAATCCAGTTTAAAGTCATTGTTATTGTTATTTTCAAAAGCTGGGAAACCGGTTCCCAATTAGAACCGAAATTTTACACACGTGCTTACGCTACACACATACACACGTATAGATACATTCGTTCACAGTCGCCTTTCTTCTTCTATCTACGCCGTTAGCCGCCGCGTAAACAAACCGTGAATAACAACAATAAATTGAGCCACTTGATAAGCACAGTCCATTCCCAATCAGAATCGTGTTGCGCGGGGGCGCAGCAACATGTTGCCAGACAGCATATATATGCATGATATTTGATTTGATTTTTATATACCAACAAAATGCCGGCAACTGCGTATGAGTTAGTGTGTGTAAAAAAACACATGTTGCTTTTGCGGCGTATTTGGTACCCTGGAATTGTAAAATCAATAAGTATATTCCTTGCTAACAAAATTTTATGGATTATATATAAAATATATAAAAAATATATTAAATGTATATACACCACAATATTTAATAATGTACATTAAGAACATAGGAAACTTAAATTTTTATTTATATTCAAGTTCTTAAAGTCAAGGGTATATTTTATGTATCAATTGATGGTTTTACGTCTATTGGTCTATCAATATCAGTTTTCAGGCAAATAACTCATTACTCAAACTCTTTGAAGTCTTCATATTATATGGTTATCAGATCTGCCTCTCCAGAAATATGATCTACTTTTGGTAATTAAGTTTTGTTTGTTGTTGTTGTTTATTAAAGACCGCTTTCACATGAAAGATGATAACGAACGGTTTGATAAACATTCAAATTCTTTCAAGATAAATATTTAATTATGTTATGTATCACAATTATCCTTCTATTGATGCCGAAAAATAGTTTTGCTGGTTGGTGACTCCTGTTCTAAAACACGATAACCCAATGATTTGTAATGTGGTTTACGTCTCCTCCTTAGAAATCAATCCAAGATGCCCCCTGCAAACTGTTACCTGGCGTTGGAGGACGGCACTGTGATGCCGGGCTACTCCTTTGGCCACGTACCATCGAAGAAATCGGAAGGCGTGGGAGGCGAGGTGGTATTCCAAACGGGCATGGTCGGCTACACGGAAGCGCTGACGGACCGTTCGTATAGTGGTCAGATCCTGGTGCTAACGTATCCACTGATTGGCAATTATGGTGTGCCGGCTCCAGATGAGGATGAGCATGGATTGCCGCTGCACTTTGAATGGATGAAGGGCGTTGTCCAGGCCACCGCCTTAGTTGTGGGTGAAGTAGCCGACGCAGCTTGGCACTGGCGCACCTGGAAGACGCTGCCCCAGTGGCTAAAGCAGCACAAGGTGCCCGGAATTAGTGGCATCGACACCCGAGCTCTGACCAAAAAGCTTCGTGAGCAGGGCAGCCTGCTGGGTAGGATTGTCTACGAGGAGCCGCCGGTTCAAGGACTGGAGAAATCCAGTTTCGTGGATCCCAATATACAAAATCTGGCCAAGGAGTGCAGCGTGGTGGAGCGACATGTATACGGTGATCCAAAGGGCAAGGGTCCACGGATCGCTATTCTTGACTGCGGACTAAAGCTCAATCAGCTACGATGCCTGCTGCAACGTGGCGCCTCGGTTACTCTACTTCCCTGGAGCGCTCGGCTCGAGGAGGAGCAGTTTGACGCCCTCTTTTTGTCCAACGGTCCCGGCAATCCGGAAAGCTGCGACGAGATCGTCCAACAAGTAATTTTTAAAACCATTGGAAAAAATGCAAATACTAAATATTATGGCTTACTTTAAGGTGCGCAAAGTGATCGAGGAGGGTAAAAAACCCGTGTTCGGCATCTGTCTGGGTCACCAGCTGCTGGCGAAGGCCATCGGCTGCTCTACGTACAAAATGAAGTATGGTAATCGTGGTCACAATCTCCCCTGTCTACACCGCGGAACCGGACGCTGCCTGATGACTTCACAGAATCACGGATATGCTGTCGATCTTGAGAAATTGCCAGCCGGTTGGTCGGAGCTCTTCGTGAATGCCAACGATGGTACCAACGAGGGCATTGTTCATGCGAGCAAGCCTTATTTTTCAGTTCAATTCCATCCGGAGCATCATGCTGGACCGCAGGACACGGAGTTCCTGTTCGACGTCTTCCTGGAGAGCATTACACAAAAAGATGTGACTATTCCGCAGCTGATCGAGCAACGATTGCGTCCGACTAAAATTGTTAAAGATCCGTCTCCGGTGAAACCGCGCAAGGTTTTGATCCTGGGATCCGGTGGATTATCCATTGGTCAGGCCGGTGAGTTCGATTACTCCGGTTCGCAAGCCATCAAAGCCATGCGGGAATCGAATATCCAGACAGTTCTGATCAACCCGAACATAGCGACCGTACAGACTTCCAAAGGAATGGCTGACAAGTGCTATTTCCTGCCCCTAACTCCACACTATGTGGAACAGGTGATCAAATCGGAGCGACCGAATGGAGTGCTCCTCACCTTCGGCGGCCAAACTGCACTCAATTGCGGCGTGGAACTGGAGCGAGCCGGAGTATTCGCCAAGTACAATGTGCGCATTCTGGGCACACCCATTCAGTCAATCATCGAAACTGAGGATCGGAAGCTTTTTGCCGAACGAGTGAACGAGATTGGTGAGCAGGTGGCACCATCTGAGGCAGTATATTCCGTTGCGGAGGCCCTGGATGCCGCCAGTAGACTGGGCTATCCGGTGATGGCACGTGCCGCCTTCTCCCTGGGCGGACTGGGATCTGGTTTCGCCAACAATGAGCAGGAGCTACAGAGTTTGGCTCAACAGGCACTTGCTCATTCTAGCCAACTGATCGTGGACAAATCCCTTAAAGGATGGAAGGAGGTGGAGTACGAGGTGGTGCGCGATGCCTATGACAACTGCATCACCGTGTGCAACATGGAGAATTTTGATCCCTTGGGTATCCACACGGGCGAGAGTATTGTGGTGGCACCATCGCAGACGCTCTCGGATCGCGAATACCAAATGCTCAGAAGCACCGCCCTGAAGGTGATCCGTCACTTTGGTGTCGTGGGCGAGTGCAACATTCAATACGCACTGTGTCCCCACTCGGAGCAGTACTACATTATCGAGGTAAATGCCAGGCTGTCGCGCAGCTCCGCCTTGGCTAGCAAGGCTACTGGTTATCCATTGGCATACGTCGCCGCCAAGCTAGCACTGGGATTGCCTCTGCCGGAAATAAAGAACTCTGTGACGGGCAACACGACAGCTTGCTTTGAGCCCTCTCTGGATTACTGTGTTGTCAAGATTCCACGCTGGGATCTGGCCAAATTCGTGCGGGTTAGTAAGCACATCGGTAGCTCCATGAAGAGCGTCGGCGAAGTGATGTCCATTGGTCGGAACTTTCAAGAGGCCTTCCAGAAAGCTCTGCGTATGGTGGATAGCGATGTGCTAGGATTCGATCCGGATGTAGTGACCCTTGACAAGGAGCAACTTGCCGAGCAGCTGTCGGAGCCGACAGATCGTCGTCCCTTCGTTCTTGCGGCTGCTTTCGACTTGGGCATGTGTGTCAAAGAATTGCATCAGTTAACCAAGATCGACTGCTGGTTCCTGGAAAAGCTGGAATCGATCATGACTCTATACCGGCAGCTCACCGAAATCGGCAGTCGAACGGATGCTGATTTGCTGTTGAAGGCAAAGCAATACGGATTCTCGGATAAGCAAATAGCAAAGGCCACAAAGAGCACGGAATTAGCGGTGCGCCATCAGCGCCAGGAGTTCGGCATCCGTCCACATGTCAAGCAGATCGACACCGTGGCTGGCGAATGGCCCGCCAGTACCAACTATTTGTACAACACATATAATGGAAGCGAGCACGATGTGGATTTCCCCGGTGGGCATACCATTGTGGTGGGCTCGGGTGTCTACAGGATCGGATCCTCGGTGGAGTTCGACTGGTGTGCCGTGGGCTGTCTGCGCGAACTGAGGAAACTTCAGCGACCCACCATCATGATCAACTACAACCCAGAAACGGTGTCCACCGACTATGACATGTGCGATCGTTTGTACTTTGAGGAAATCAGTTTCGAGGTAGTCATGGACATCTATGAAATGGAGAACAGCGAAGGCATCATCTTGTCCATGGGCGGCCAGCTTCCCAATAATATAGCCATGGATCTGCATCGCCAGCAGGCTAAAGTATTGGGCACATCGCCAGAGTCCATAGATTGTGCTGAGAATCGATTCAAATTCTCGCGTATGCTGGACAGGAAGGGCATTTTGCAGCCGCGCTGGAAGGAGCTGACCAACCTCCAGTCGGCCATTGAATTCTGCGAAGAGGTCGGCTATCCCTGTTTGGTTAGGCCATCCTATGTGCTTTCCGGTGCGGCCATGAATGTTGCCTATTCGAATCAGGATTTGGAGACGTACCTAAATGCCGCTTCCGAGGTTAGTCGAGAGCATCCGGTGGTCATATCGAAGTTCCTCACCGAGGCCAAGGAGATCGATGTGGATGCAGTGGCGGCCGATGGCAGGATTCTATGCATGGCAGTTTCAGAGCATGTGGAAAACGCCGGAGTCCATTCTGGTGATGCCACACTGGTAACACCGCCTCAGGATCTCAATGCAGAGACACTAGAGGCCATCAAGCGGATTACTTGCGATCTGGCCAGTGTTCTCGATGTTACGGGTCCATTCAACATGCAGCTGATTGCCAAGAATAATGAGTTGAAAGTTATTGAGTGCAATGTCCGTGTATCCCGATCCTTTCCCTTCGTCTCCAAGACGCTGGATCATGATTTTGTGGCCACCGCAACTAGGGCCATTGTTGGACTCGATGTGGAGCCACTGGATGTCCTACATGGCGTTGGCAAGGTCGGCGTTAAGGTTCCTCAGTTTAGTTTCTCTCGCCTAGCTGGTGCTGATGTCCAGTTGGGCGTTGAGATGGCGTCCACCGGCGAGGTTGCCTGTTTTGGCGATAATCGTTATGAGGCCTATCTCAAGGCCATGATGTCCACGGGCTTCCAGATACCCAAGAATGCTGTGCTTCTCTCCATTGGCAGTTTCAAGGTTTGCTAGATCTCCAATATCAAGTGATAGAAAGTATAGATTGATGAACTTTTTCCTTTACAGCACAAGATGGAATTGCTACCTTCCATACGAGATTTGGCCAAAATGGGATACAAGCTGTATGCTTCTATGGGAACTGGTGACTTTTACGCAGAGCATGGCGTTGATGTAAGTACAAACGATACCCGTTTTGATTGTGATTTCAGGGAATGGAAAATTTAAGGTTTTTATTATATATTTTTTGGATATTATTAGGATAAAGAGATTTACATTTTGGAATAACCTTGGGGTTAGAAAATCAAGAAGATCGATTAATTTACAATTTCAGTGTTATTTCTTATTAACTTAGTAAAAACATTTAAATTATGGTTTAAGTGGTCATTGCTTCCTTATTATTTATAGATTTAATCAGACTTTGCTTAAGATCTTTATAAACAATATTAAGTAATTCAAATATTTGCTTTCCATGACCATAGTTGAATAGTTTACAGTTTTATTACTTAATTTTCATGACATAGAAAACAAACTATTAATCAAATTCAGAACATAGCGAAAATCTGAATTGGTTTACGTTGGGGTATTAAATATTTATATATATTTATAGGGTCTGTTGGTTGGTAACTAGTATGTACAGTACTTACGAACTATAAATACCATCCTTATCTTTAGCTATCTTTATACACCCGGGTAATATGTAACAATATAACACTAATCGCGAAAAGGCTTAAACGATATAATGTTATCTTCAGTTAAAGGCGCCCTTGAGCTTCTGTGTGTTGCGCTTTAGGATCTCCTTGAGTTCCTCCCGCACGGCCTCCGAGGGGGCTACTTTCTGGACCAGTTGCTCTGTTTTGTTTCCCAGCATTTGCATTTTATCCGTATCTAGGTTAAGCCTTTGAAGGATACCGTTCAGTGATAGAAGGGTTTCTTCCTTAGGCGTTTCACCCGATTTTGATTCTGGTTCCAAATCCATTTCTGTTTGCGGTTCTATATCATTTACTTTTGTTATTAGTTCTTTGGTTTCCACCACTTGGTCTTTCGTTGTCTCCCCAATGCGGCTTTTAATTTCCATTAGCAAAGTACTTTTGATGTTCTCCTCCTGCAGCGTTTCAATGGCCTCTATCTGATCGTGCTGTTGAGGTACCCGTAGAATTCCATTTAGCCTATGGTTTTCTAGATGGGGCACAGGGTTCTGTCTAGTCGGCGGATCGGGTGTGTGTATTTGGACGACATGATCCTGGAATTTAATTGATTTTCTTGGTACTGGCGGGGATTCATCCACTGGCAGGGCTGTGTCAACGGCTACGTTTGGTACAGAGGTATAGGACATACCCTCCATTTGATTGGCTAATACCTGAAGTTCCTCAATAAAGTGCTTCGCCTGCTGGGAACACCCAAGGTGCTGATAGAGGCGACACAATCTTTGACCCTGCTCCAGGTAGAGTTGGGCATGTCCACGATTGCCAAATCGTATAGCAGTGCTTAACATGGCTAACAAATGATCCAAAAGAAGCTCGAGCAGATTGCTGCGACGCAGGATTTCCAAACCGTTGTTCAGTTGCGGTTTTGCCGTATCTTGGGTGGTAGCCTCTGGATTGGAGCGCATCAAAAACAATTGAAGATCTAGGGAATCTAGCGAACAGCGTCTTTGTTTCGCCTCAGAGAGCTGAAGCTGCTGATTGGTGGCCTTCAGGAGTTGTGTCTTCTTCCGTAGCTTTCCTCTTGATCTTTCTTGATGTTGAGCCAACCCCAAAAGTCCCTTCGCATCAGTGATCTCCTCCTTTGTTGGGCTTCTCCCTTTGTCCACCTGCTGTTCTTGGTTTTCCTCTTGAATCTCCTGAGCAGGGAATCCCTGCCGGGGACGGGAAAACTTGCCCCATGAGTGCAACTCCAGGTAATCCTGACTGAAGAGATTGTGCAATAGCCGTTTGTAGTCCAATTGCGGATAGAAATCCGGCGCATGTTGAAGATTCCTCAGAGCTTGGACAATGTGCAGCAGTGGTTGCTCCGCAATGCCTGCCATTATGGTGCGTAGTTTCATCAACGTATCCTCCGGGATGTGCTCAAAGAGATTCCGCCGTTGGATGAAGTAGTCGCTTAAATGTTTCTTGGCCAAACAAGCATCAAACGAGCGAATGAATCTTACCAAGCGCTCACCCAGAAACTCCTCGGGCCAATCGTTGCTATGCTGCTCACATTGCCAAAACAGATGGGCTCTCAGCTGCTCGAGCAAAGCTCCCGGTGGTTGGTCAGAGGAGGAGCCCTCCACAAAGGTCTTGACCAGCAGCTTCATCAGTTGGAAAACCTTCACTTGCATGGGCGTCAGGCAGTGCCGCTCTAGAAACTGCTCCGCCTGTGGGAAGACAATGCGCCACTCTAGTTCCCTAAACGGATTTCTGGAATGCTTTGGGGCGTAGCCCACTGGAACGACATGGAAGCCAAAGGATCGGATGCGTTTCCTCATTTGCTCCGTCGGCCATTGAAATTGCTCGGCGGTATGAAGGTTGGTCAATCGCGGACGGGCTCTTAGCCAAAACTCAAAGCCGCAATCTGGCCAGGAATTAGGCACATGAATGGCGGGTACAAGCTCTTCACGAGCGGTATAAACACTGCAGCCGCGATACGTGGCGGCAGATAGCTGAGACTGGCTAATGCCCAGTTGATTGCCCAAATGCTGGCGGAGCACCTCTCCAAAATACAGCATAAATTGCTGCGAACTGAGGTAGCACTGCTGCAGTTGTTCCACATGACATTGGCGAAGGACTTCTACAGTTTCATAGCCAGCCGGTGGATATTTGCGATTCTCTGTATTAGCTTGATCCTCCTCGTCGCTGTTGCAGGAATCGGAAGATGACTCCTCATCGTCGGTTTGCTCTAACCAAGGAGGCAGACAATTGGCCAAACGACGGATACAACTCTCCGGCAGGACATTCCTTTTAAAATCGAATTGACGACCAAGTCGCAGCTCCTCCAGTGGACGGGGAGTATTTAACCTAGCCAAATATACATAGTCGTAATGCCCCGAACTATAGCCCGATGATGAGGAACTGGATGAGGACGATCCAATATCCCCATAGCAGCATTCCTCATCGCTGCTGGCTGGCAAGGGTGAGCTGGAACTACTGCTGCCTATCGGAAAATTCGGCGACTGCTCACGCAGCTTAAGGCGCACATATCCCATCCATCTGGTCATCTCCATCAGTTGGACAAATTCCGAGGGGCAGGGTGTGGTTCTATAGTAGTCCGTTTCAAGAAGAACCTTGCAAAGCGCCGCCACGGTGTCATAGTTGGCATCGTTTGGTCGGGCCACATCCACGTTCTCGAAAACCACATAGGTTACTGGTTTCTGTAGCGGCTGTGCCGGTTTTTTCAAGGATCTGCAAGGAAAGAGAAACACATACCATAGGTATAGAAATATATTACCAGATGTCAGAATTAATAATAAATGGACAAAATACTGCAAAAAAGATGACAAATGAAGAAAGACTCACTTGAACAAAAGGTTCCTAGCGACTGCCGTATCGATTGCACTGTTCTGGAGCAGACTATGCTCGGCCAGTTTCTCTGCGGAGCAGTTGCGTCGCCTGGCCAGGAGTTGGGCATCGACCAGGACCATCTCTGCCTCGAAGTGCCCAAAAAACTGAACACCCAATAGCAATTGATTTAACAGGAATGTGTCCAATTCTCTGTCCAATTGATCCAGGGTCTTTAGCTCCACTGTGCGCTGGAATTCCTCGCGCTGTTGCTCCAATGTCCTGGCATATAAAGCACTCACACACTCGGTAGCAGTACTCCCATTGCTGCCGCCAAGCAGACGCAGTTGCTGGGCGAGATCAGGATGCGTTTTTGCGCTGAGACGGCTCCTTTGAATAGAACCCCCATGGCTGGAAATAGGTCCACCGGATGCTCGTCCGGGACCCCTCTTCTGCCGTCGTTTGCGTGCATTGCGTTTCTGGAGCTTTTGAAGCTGCCTCTGACGCTTCTTCTCCTGCCGAAGTCTTCCCTGGAGACGCTGGGCGGGAATGCCCGCCTGCAGGGCATTCGGTGTGGCACCAGAATCCACCTGTTCGGAACGCGACCAGGCGCACCCCATATTCGACGGCCGATGTTTCGTTACTGAATACCGTGTTCTTGCCTTTGCCACCCGGCTGATAACAATGTGCAATCTGCGATCGGAGTTCACCAATTACCAATCTGCGATCTAGTAATGACACTCGCAATCGCAAAGATAAGAATTGGGGCGACTCTTCCGGCTGGCCACCACCTCCACCTCCCTTTTTTTCCTGCTCAGCTATCCATTATCAGCCAGTTCCTGGTACTTTAAAAAAAGGCGGAATTGATTTCCACTTTACTGTGCTCCAAAATCATACGAAAAATTCTTTATTATCCAGATCTTCAAAATCAGGCTATGTTTTTGTATGAACTTTTAACTATTACTGATACTATATTATTATCTTCCTAAGTTAAATCCTTAAACTTGGATTTTTTATATTATTTCGCGTAAGAAAACCCTAATATTGATTTCAGTGGATCGGGATTATACGTGCGCCACTGTGCCATTGTTATTCTATTGTCTTGAGTGCAGACGTGGAACATCCATAAATAGTGATATCTTTATAGTGTACTCTGGGCAAACAATTGATTGAAGTTGAAGCTGATGGTGATGGTGACGATGACGATGACTTGTGGCCTTGAGGGTGGCTTCTTGATAACGCTAAATATTTACCCCTCACCCTCTCTATTAATGTACCTATATATTTTCCCTTGCAGGTGGAATCTGTGCAGTGGACATTCGACAAGACTACTCCCGATGATATCAACGGTGAACTGAGGCACCTCGCCGAGTTCCTGGCGAACAAGCAGTTCGATTTGGTCATTAACCTACCGATGAGTGGCGGGGGCGCCAGGAGGTGAGTGCCACTATTTATATTGACTTGATTTACTGGCTAATCATACCAGGCGATAAATTAATGCAGGTGATCGGTATAGAGTGGGAGCATTAAGTTGGTAGTCTGGGGAACCAGCCACAACTTGAGTGTTAAGTCCACAAGATTTCAAATATTTGTATTCCAATTATACTAGTTGGGAAAATAATTATGTATCATATTAATATATCTTTTATTTTTATATCAAATTGAAACAAAAATAACTTCACCAGCACAGTTTAGAAAGCAATGCCTTACTGCGCAATTATTAGTCACTTTTGCAATAAGTATTTTGTTTGCTGACCCAAATAATTTGATTTATTACTAGGAAAATGGGCTTGCCTTCTTGAAACTTCTTATCACATTTTAGAAATACAGAAAATATATAGAAAATGATCACACTCTATATCTAATTTCGGGGTTTTCTTCGTCATAGCTTATAACACATTTTTATTAAATTTAATAACCATTATTTCAGGGTATCTTCATTCATGACCCATGGCTACCGCACACGTCGCCTAGCGGTGGATTACTCTATTCCGCTGGTGACTGATGTGAAATGCACCAAACTTTTGGTGGAATCAATGCGGATGAACGGTGGCAAGCCGGCTATGAAGACACACACCGATTGCATGACATCGCGTCGGATTGTCAAGCTGCCCGGGTTTATCGATGTGCATGTTCACCTTCGGGAGCCGGGAGCTACGCACAAGGAGGATTTCGCTAGCGGCACAGCAGCAGCCTTGGCCGGTGGAGTGACCCTGGTGTGCGCCATGCCCAACACTAATCCCTCGATCGTGGACCGAGAGACGTTCACCCAGTTCCAGGAGTTGGCCAAAGCCGGTGCCCGTTGCGATTATGCCTTGTATGTGGGAGCCTCGGATGGGAACTATGCACAGGTTAATGAGCTAGCCAGTCAGGCCTGTGGCTTGAAGATGTACCTGAATGATACATTCGGCACATTGAAACTAAGCGACATGACCACCTGGCAGAGGCATCTCTCGCACTGGCCGAAACGTGCTCCAATTGTCTGTCATGCGGAAAAGCAGAGTACGGCGGCTGTGATCTTGCTGGCCCATTTACTGGATCGTCCGGTTCACATTTGCCATGTGGCGCGAAAGGAGGAAATCCAACTGATCCGTGCAGCCAAGGAGAAGGGCATTAAGGTGACCTGTGAGGTGTGTCCGCATCATTTGTTCCTCAGCACTAAGGATGTCGAGCGTCTCGGTCAAGGAATGTCCGAAGTGCGGCCCCTGCTTTGCTCTCCAGAGGATCAGGAGGCTTTGTGGGAGCACATGGATTACATCGATGTCTTTGCCACTGATCATGCACCGCACACACTGGCCGAGAAGCGTTCAGAGCGTCCGCCACCTGGATTTCCGGGCGTGGAAACCATACTGCCGCTTCTCCTTCAGGCCGTCAGTGAAGGTCGGCTGACGCTAGAGGATATCAAACGGAAGTTCCATCGCAATCCGAAAAACATTTTCAACCTGCCAGAGCAGGCGCACACCTATGTAGAGGTGGATCTGGATGAGGAGTGGACCATAACTGGCAGCGAGATGAAGAGCAAGTCAGGTTGGACACCATTCGAGGGCACCAAAGTTAAGGGACGCGTCCACCGCGTGGTTCTTCGCGGTGAGGTGGCCTTTATTGACGGCCAAGTGTTAGTGCAGCCTGGCTTCGGGCTGAATGTGCGTGCCACTCCGGCACAAGTGCAATCGGAGGCAGCACAGGATTTGCTGCCCACCGACAGTGATACAAATGACACCTTTGCCCGTCTTCTTACCGCCGAGGGAGCCGGTGTATCCGCACAAGGATCATCGACTAAGGTTCACTTTGTTGATGGAGCCAACTTCTTGCGTCCAACTTCACCTTCACCACGCATCCGCCTGGACTCCACCAGCAACACTACGCTGCGAGAGTACTTGCAACGCTCTTCCAGTCCCAATCCTGTGGCCCACTCGCTGGTGGGCAAGCATATTCTGGCTGTTGATATGTTTAACAAAGAGCAGCTTAACGATATCTTCAACCTGGCACAGCTGCTCAAGTCCCGGGTCACAAAGGATCGTCCGGTGGACGAGCTACTGCGCGGCAAAATCATGGCCAGTGTGTTCTACGAGGTGAGCACGCGGACGCAGTGCAGCTTTGCTGCTGCTATGCTTCGTTTGGGTGGCCGTGTAATCAGCATGGATCAAATAACGTCATCGGTTAAGAAGGGCGAGACCCTGGAGGACAGTATCAAGGTTATGGCCAGCTATTCGGATGTCATGGTCCTTCGTCATCCCACTCCAGGAGCTGTGGCGGTGAGTAGTATGATAATGGCATATAAATCTATGTATCTATTTGTATCTTATAATTTTTCTATATTTTGTTAACAGCGCGCTGCATCCTTTTCCCGAAAGCCTCTGATCAATGCTGGCGATGGCGTCGGCGAGCATCCCACACAGGCACTCCTGGACATCTTCACCATTCGTGAGGAGATCGGCACAGTCAATGGCCTAACCATCACTATGGTGGGTGACCTGAAGAACGGGCGCACCGTGCATTCTCTAGCCCGCCTGTTGACCCTGTACAACGTGACCCTGCAATATGTGGCACCAAATAGCCTCCAGATGCCCAACGAGATTGTGCAGTTTGTGCACCAACGCGGCATAAAGCAAGTCTTCGCCTCGGGTCTGAAGGATGTCCTACCCAGCACGGATGTGCTCTATATGACCCGCATCCAGCGGGAGCGTTTCGAGAACGAGGAGGATTACCTGAAAGTAAGTGAGAAATCATCGTTTCTTGATCTTGATAAAAATCTCAATGTTTTTCCACAGTGCTGCGGTCAACTGGTGGTAACGCCAGAGCTGATGACGCTAGCTAAGAAGCGCTCTATTGTCCTGCATCCGCTGCCGCGTCTGGACGAGATCAGTCGTGACTTCGATTTGGACCCAAGGGCCGCCTACTTCCGCCAGGCGGAGTATGGCATGTACATCCGAATGGCCTTGCTGGCCATGGTTGTTGGCGGTCGCAATACGGCGCTCTAAAGTTTTTCCAAGCGGAAAACCTACTCTTTGACTCTCCTAACTGTTTTTTTGTATACAATCTTTTATACATCACTTACAAATATATTGATCTATTCTATTGATTTCATCATGTTGTAGCATAACCTTTATAAAGAGGCAAAAGGGTATTTTTGGGATATTCCTTAGCCGACCAAAATTTAATCAGAAAAATCAATTTTCCCTTCCCTTGGTAATTTTGGGATTTCAGTACCAGGCGAACAGAAAATATAGCAGGCAACTTTTTTTCTGGAGGCTTGTGTATTTATTTCAAGATGGCTGCCTTTTCAAGATGGTTGCCATTGCAGACCAAAACATAAACAAGAGATGAGCAACCACGTTGTTTTCTGTGTCGTCTCACGAGCTTTGTACGATAATCACGAAATAATATTAAGGTCCTATGTAATTTATTCGGTCGTGTCGAAAAACAGTGCTCACGTGGCCATCCCTAATTGGAGCTCATAAATTTAGCGATTTCCACCTTCTACTCGATTCTGTTCGCCTGGTATTTTAAAGGCATCAGCTAGCCAAAATGCGTTGAAATTTTGATCAGAAAAATAAATTTTTCTCAGTCAAATCGGTCATTTTGGCAGTTCAGATACCAGGCGAACAGAAACCGCAGCCAGCAGCTACTGTTTTCTGGGAGCCTGTGTTTTTTTTCAAGATGGCCGCCTTTTTAAGATGGTTGCCCTTGTCACTGGATGGAAACCGTTAGTTTGCAGGCCAAAACATAAACAAGAGATGGGCAACCACGTTGTTTTTTGTGTCGTCTCTCGAGTTTGGCACGACAATCACGAAATAATATTAAGGTCCCATGTAATTTCTTCGATCGTGTCGAAAAACAGTGCTCACGTGGCCATCCCCAAGTGGAGCTCATAAATTTAGCGATTTCCACTTACTACTCGATTCTGTTCGCCTGGTATTTTAAAGGCATCAGCTAGCCAAAATGCGTTGAAATTTTGATCAGAAAATAATTTTTTCTCGGTAAAATTGGTAATTTTAGGAGTTCAGATACCAGGCGAACAGAAACGGCAGCAAGCAGCTACTGTTTTCTGGGAGCTTGTGTTTTTTTTCAAGATGGCCGACTTTTCAAGATGGTTGCCGTTGTCACTGGATGGAAACCGTTAGTTTGCAGGCCAAAACATAAACAAGAGATGGGCAACCACGTTGTTTTTTGTGTCGTCTCACGAGTTTGGCACGACAATCACGAAATAATATTAAGGTCCCATGTAATTTATTCGATCGTGTCGAAAAACAGTGCTCACGTGGCCATCAAGTGGAGCCCAAGTGGAGCTCATAAATTTAGCGATTTCCACCTACTACTCGATTCTGTTCGCCTGGTATTTTAAAGGCATCAGCTAGCCAAAATGAATTTTGATCAGAAAAATCAATTCTCAGCCAAATTTGTCATTTTGGGATTTCAGTACCAGGCGAACAGAAACCGCAGCAAGCAGCTACTCTTTCCTGGGAGCTAAAACTTTTTCAAGATGGCTGCCATTGTCGGCCATCGTTGTTATTGGAGAAGAACCGTTGCTTTGAGACTAGGCACAAACTAGAGATGGGCGACCACGTTGTTTTCTGTGTTGAATTAGCACTATTGGCACGAAATAACAATTGAGTCTTTGTATTTCTTACGATCGTGCAGAAAATCAGTACTCACGTGGGCACCCCTAGGTAATTAATCTAATCAGTTAATTGTTTTGTTCTTGCTATTGTTTCAATTCGCATGGGGAAATCAAGAACCTTTTTTTAAAAAATTGAGTAAGGTTTAAATAGTAATTTGATGACGAACTCTACGATGTATAGAATTCCACTTTAGAACAATTTTTGGCTTTGTTATGATCAAAAAATCAGGATAGACCAAATTTCGCTATATGGAATTTTCACCTTTACGTTTTTACTTAATTTAATAATAATATATTTATGTTTTTATATATTTTATAATATTTCAACAAGCAAAAAAAAAAAACCATAAATGATCAAATATGGTAATGGAAATCCTAAGGCTAAGTCTCAGTCTCAAACGTTTACAAAAAACATCACGTGCCCTTCCGCTTCCGTTGTGGGATGTGGTTATAGTCGTATATGTATATATTCCCTGTAAGCTAATACCGCTCCACCACCACCACCGAAGTGGGTCGCCACTGGGCATCCTTGTCCTTATCCTTATCCAAGGTCAGGGTGCTTTCGGCAAAAGCTGCATTTAAATTGCCAGCCAACTGCGGCTGATCCTGCGGAACACTGGTCATGGGTACAACATTCTTAGAGCTGTTGCTGTTACGATTGGATTTGCTTTAAGTGGATAACACGTCATTTGAAACATCATTGATTAGCATTGGGGGGCTGGTGCACTTACCTCCTTTGCTTGCGACAGGACACCATGGACACGAGAACGGCCAAAATGATAATGGCCGCCAAAAGTCCAGACAATCCAGCCACCATGGTCATCATTCCGTGCGGTTCTCCATCGGAAGTCACCTTGGTAACTGCAAAGTTGAGAGAAAGCAAAAGGTGAGTGACTGGGTGATTGACTACTGACGGCAACGTGCTGCTCCACTTTGGCAGGTGTGAAATGTAAATTTAGCCAAGGTCAACTGTAAAGCTAGCCTAACTCTGATTATAGTTTGATTTTAATGTTGACGGCCTTAAATGTCGAGTTTAGAAAGTCGATTGTTTATTAATATTTAAAACAATGCAAATTTTAGGCACTTTTCCAAGAATTTAAAAAAACTTGTAAGCGTTTTAAAGAGTTTTTATATTTTGTAACTAATTAGCATGGATTATTTTTTAGAGTGCATGCCGATGATGCTTTGGCGTTTCAGGGACAACAGCGTAAACTGCCGTTGAACTTAAATTTGACGTCGATCTGATCGGAATCCGATCTGATTCGATTCAAAATGCGTGGAGCGGTATGGAGAGCAGGTTTATTTTACTGCCGATCGAGCAATCCGTCGCCGACGCCAACGCACTTCCGCGCTTTCTAAACCGGAAGAAAGGGTAAGCCCCGGGCGATTACTTACTTGAGTCCTCCACAACGAACCGCTTTGTGTTGGCCAGCTCCATTTTTATGTACGTTTTCTGGAATAATATAGATATAAATATTATAAAATTATAAAAAGTCGAAGTTCGTTAAGTTGTTATGGATTACTTTTTTTTTTCAGTGTTCCAGTTAAGGAAAAACAAGAGGAGGCCGTGAAACATCTGTGTAAATGCAGTTAGCTAACTGCAGTGATCAAACACTAATTAATCAAACGAAATACTGTAAAGCTTTGATAAGTGGACTTGGGAAACTAAGTAATATATGATAATACATCAGTATGATAATATATCTTCAGCAACTCCACACAATTTCATTAATTACAAATTTCATTCTATAGATGTTTGACTGTACTGCCCCAGTTGCAGCAACCGCAGACGCACGCGCAGCGGCAGATGAAAAAGCACAGGCACAGAGCACGCTCGACTTCACCGCATCGACATCGAACTGTTGTTGGCCAATCGCCTCTGCCATCGACGCCGCCGCTGCTGCCTCGGCTACCGCCTCTGCTGCTGTCGCTGCTTCTGCTACCGCCTCTGCTTGCGTGATTATTAATTGACTGAAGCTCTGGCTAAGCGATGCGATGTGATGTCGCGGTTATCAGCAGAGGGCAATAATTCTGCTCGAGTTGAGATGTCAGTGTTTTTTTTGGCCATAATTAATTTGATTTTATTGTTTACAGACACATTTTCGGCGGCGATGCTTTTAAAAGCAGTAATCGTTGGTTAATTGTGAGTGACAAGTCACTAACTAGCTGGCAAAAACAGTAAGACTTCCTTAAGCTTATGAATATATAAACATATCTATATATTTATTTCCCCGAATAATTTAAATTTCTGTTTTGGTACACACTTTTAAAAGGAATACCAAATTAACTAATAAGAGGTACAAAATCAGTAATATATTTTAAAAATACCTTCCTTATTGTTTCTTAATGTTGGAAGTAAGGGAAGTTTCACTGTAGCTGTCTTATCAACATCCATTCGCCATTTAAAAGCTGTGCAAATAAATTTAAAAACTAGTTTCACCTAAAAAAAAAGATTTCTATCTAACCAAGTGCGGAAGTTAAATTTCGTATATTTTTAAAAGTAAGATTTGTAATAGAAAAGTCCCCAAATTGGCTTTAAAGCTAATCTATAACACAATTGTAATAACAATGCCGGGCATATATAACTTGTTTTTTGTTTTTGGACGAACTGATTGTAAACTCTTTAAATGAGCCAGGAATTTTATCTCTCACGTTTACCAATTAGGCGTAGGTTGTATCCAACCAAAAAAAAAATGAAGAAAATCGTGTCAGAGCAAAAGTTTAGAACACTTTTAGAAATAAGATAGGACCATAAAAGCTATTAAATTGGGAATATCTCCATTTGTTACCTATGATTTGGGGGTTTCTTTGTAAGACGGAGGCCCAAAAGGGAAATTGGTTGGTTCATGATTTGAATTTAAAGGCACGTCTGATTAGCACAGAATGTTTGTTTTTTTATTAGGTTCCCACATGATTTGCATGCGAATCAAAACGTCGAATAACTATCGAAAACTAAACGATACAAAGAGAGCTAGAAATGCAAAAATACACTGAAAACCAAAAAGTATGTTTTTAATATATTTTTTTGGTACTTTATTTTAATAATTTCAACCTTTGAACAAATGTTAATAGAATTTTCTTTCTAATCTTTTATAATAAAAGTTTTATTTATAATGAAATTCCCACCTAACATTGAAGCTAAATATTTATTGGCAGTAAATATAATAACACTTCTTTCATTGTCACAGGGTCTTCCCCATTTTTTAAGCGTTCCCAATTTTCAAATTACAATTACTAAGTTCCCACAAATTAAACCAATTTTTGTGATAGTTTTTTTTCTCCGCGCGAGTATGTATTTTTCAGATAGCGATTTTGTGCGATGGACAGAAAGAAATGGCCTGTGGAAACCGGGATTGCATGCAAAATGGCTGGAGAAATGCGAACACGATTTTCAGCTAGCTATAAATACATTTTCTGCGATACTATATAGGATCGGATTTTCTGTAGTTGTTTTTTCTGCCACCGCGCCATAAATAATAATTTGATTAATTTAATCATTCGGTGGTGGCAACAATTTGCAATTTAATGGTACACATTACGGGTCATGAATAGCATGGCTGGCGAAAATGTACGAATTAAAATTTCGGCAATCATAGAAATTTTCACATTAGTCTAAAAACCAAACTTTTTTGTTGACTTTTTTTTTAACTGTTTTTGGCACTGTCACTTAACTAACACCAATCAAATAATTATCAATGATAGTACTTTCAAACGGAAATCTTAAAAGCCAGCAACAACTTGAGTTTGGAGCGTCTAGTTCAAACATATTAGGTAAGAACTTCCCTCCATTCACTTACAATATGGCCAAGGTGCATATATATATATAGATTTGTATATGGATATATGTAGATATCGCTGATGATTTGTTGGTCAAAGCGGGCGATTTGTATTTGGGAATTATGCTCGATTTTTATTTGTATTTAACTCTGAACTAACGTCGCCGACAATCGGCATTCGACTAATGCGCTCTACGTAAAGCCCATACGAGACGTAACTTTCGATTGCGCCAAAAGCGGCGACTGCGCCGTCGACTGCGCAGTCGGCTGATCGCCGAGAAAGGCGACTTAACCCTCTGTAGGCCAAACCTACTTAGCTTAAAAGCCAATCTTCAATTTACTGGTTTAAATGGAGTTTACTTCCATAATTTCCAGATTTTTCATAATAAATATTAAGTAATTGGATTTTCCTTAATATCGGCTTACTCATTGAATAACTTTTAGAGCAATATATCCGCAAGAACTTAAAACAATAACTTGAACAATTTGCATTGCTCATACGCAGTGTTGTCTCTCCACTAGTCGGCTTTAATTTTGTTCAATTTATTAGTATTTCTAATTAATTTTTTTTTGCTTTTGGTTGCACAACACAAACAAAAATATGTATATATATATATATTTACTTAAATGAAGCAAGAAGCGCTTTAAAATTTTATCACTCATACGCACCGTTGTCTTAGCATGCTTAATTTGATTAACATGAATTAAATTTAATTGATTATTATTATTTATATGATTTATATATGATAGCGAAATTATGTAACCTTTTTTGTTGATATTATTTAATCTCAGATTTCAGATAAAGAGTTATTTTTCAGTTAAAAAGAACCAATAAGAGGGTTAAACAGGAGGAGATCGGAAACGCGGGGACGGGATCTCTGTCAAGTTGAGCTGGATCAACTCACTGACGCTACGAAAATGATCTTAAATCTAATTAAAATGTAACGAACGCAATGGAATTGAAATTGAAATTGTAGCCAAATGAAAGCGATGCCAGCGCTTCAATGCCAGCGATCATGTCAGTTACTAATAAAATAGCATTTACAGCAGTAGATCAAGGTGGGGGAAGATCATTGGGCCCCTGGGGACATGATTTGTCGATTTGCCGATATCGTATAGTTGATAAGCAGCATAGAACACGACCCCCGGGAGACATTAGACACGAGAAAAGAATTTGTGGTACATGGCGCCTCCGACAGACACTTAACCGCATCTAAGGGTTGCTCATCACAGTACCGGTTAGGAAAATAGAATATTTGTATACACAAATAGTTTTAAGTGTATATAAATGTTTAAACTATTCAAAGATTCAAAGATTTTTTGAATAATTTTAAGATTAAAATCAAAGTCTGGATCTAGTTTAACTCTAATTTAAGTAGTTTTTACTACTTTCTTGCCAAAACCCCCAAAATCTTGTATATAATTATACCCCCAACTGTTTGTGTGTCAGCACACCTCCGGCCACGCCCCTATTTTGCCAACCTAATGGGCAACAAGTGTTTTCGGAATGACGCAAATGGACGCAGACTGGCATAACTGTTTTTTGTTTTCTCCCACAAATTGCCAATTCAAAGTCGGTTCTATTCTGGTACTTTCGGTACGGGATGAGGGATATTCATCCGCTTTGGAATCATGAAATTATGAATCATCTATTCAGTTGGCTTCCATTGAAGCTATCTCAGATACTTAAGTATCGGGCCCTTAAGATTCGTATCTTTAATCCATCTGGAGGACATTTCAAATATAGCCTAAAAACTCAAAACGCTATTAATAACGAAATCTTCGTATAAATCTTATAATTTTGCAATTAAATAGCAATGACTACGATTATTTTTATGGCACGAACATATATTTAATAATTAAACTTACGAGTGCTGTCAAGTGTTGTTTCTTCAGAGATAAGATTTCACACAAAATGTTGCGGATCGCCTATCAACTGCTTTTAATCGGGGTATTCAAAGGATATCTTTCAAACTGCTTTGTCACTCTACTACGGGTTTTACCAATTTGTTTTTTTTTTTTTTTTTTGAAGATATAGTATAATATATAGACAGACCATGCAATTTTGGACTTTCCAATCAATGGACAATTCGGGCAAAATTTTATTCACATTCTGTCAAATCACTTCCGTTGCGTGGCTGAAGGCAGATAGTAAACAGTGAGAAACTATATATGACAGTAAGATTTTTCTACAGTTTGTAAATCCAAGTTAAAGTTTCAGTAAAAATTATTACCAACTTTTATTTCTTAACTTGGTTACTCTTTATGATCGTAAACTATATTACTTAATTCAATCTCCTTCAGTTTTATTTTCAGTTCAATACCTAAGCAGGGTAGGTATTATCTCTTGATAAAAGTTCAAGTGTACTTGATTTATAGTTTCTGATATTTAAACATAAGCGTGCGTTAAAAACCCCCCATTCCCTCTACTCTTTCTACACTTCCAAGAGTCATGACAATACCAAATGATTGTGACGTCGTTGGGTGGCAAACAAATTGCTATAAATAAATGGCAATCGCTGGCCAACTTCCAGACTAGGATCCCGGCATACATAAGTACAGATATAGTACATATATGTGGCTATATAATGGTCAATCAGTGGGCCAGACTGTCCAACCACTTGGGCATTATCTCTGGCCGATGTTGGCCCAGATAAAGCGTTTTGTTTACGACGGCCCTCCAATACTGCTTTCGCCCCAAGAAATTGCCTTTGCCTTTATGTCTCATCTTGCTGTTGTTGTCCCATGAATTTGCGTTTTAGAAAAGAAATGGAAAAATATATATGGAAATCTAAATAGAAAAAATAAAAACAGAATACAAAAAACATTTGTTGTCGTGTGCTGCTCTCGTCCACTTGTTGTTTATCAACATTTACAATTGTGCTCGTAAAAATCAAACTTTAAGTTGGGGAAATATTTGCCATTTGCCAGCAAGTTGTGACCAATTGACAGCTGCATTTGGCTGCTAATAGCAAAATGCGGTTTATTTGGCTAGCAAATAGAGTTAACGGATGTTAAAGGGTTTCTTACGTAGTGCAAAATTCTGGAAAAACCCATTTATTTATCACTTTTTATTTGATCTCAAAACTATTTGGAGTTAAGGGATTGTTCAACATTTTTAAAGATATTTTCGAAGGAAAATATTAAGAATGAATCTGTTCAATGAAAGTCCACTTAGTTTTATATTTAGATTATAATTTTGCTAATTAAAACACGAAAATTGTGGAAACAAGTTTTGTTTGGTATTTCAAAGAATGTTCCCGATTGTTTGGCCACCTCAAAATGGTATAAAAATTCCTTGAAATTAGTATTTATATTATTGCACACATTTCCGTTGGCAATGTTTTCTTGCCAAGGTTCCCATCATAAATACCAATTTCTCAGACGAATCCAATTGTTTCCTGTTCTGGGTTCTCTCACCAGATAGAATCTATATATTGGTGACTGGAATTAGTCTGATGTTTGCAATTTATTTAATTAGATTCCACTTTTTGTACGGATACGTTTTAAGGGCATTTTTTAGAGAGGCTGACAAGTCGAGCAAAATGTTATCGAAACCAAAAATAAACAAAAATGAAAATTTGTCGCACTTTTAATTTGAGTCAACAATCAGCGCACTGTGTCGACTTTTGGTTATTTGTTTTTTGTCTTTGCGCAATTAATGACACAACAATTTACAAGTGATTTTCAGTGCAACACGACACGATTCCAATTATTTACAGCCGAAAGTGAATTTGTTAATTTATTTGCTCGTTTCTTCTTTAATTTTGTTTGTAAGGTTTTTTTGTTAAAGGTGTTGCTACGTCAGAGGCATTTGCCCCAATGATAGCCGCCCAGAGCTTTCCTCATTCTACAGCCGATCGGTGGATAATATATGTATATATATTTAACAACATATTCTTATATACATATATCCTATTCTCATTCTTGACTTTAAAAATAAACGAGAGCGCCTATACAGATTATCGTTGTCTGTTGGGAAAAAAAAACAACGGAAAAGCTGTCGGAAAATGCCTCCCATCCAAATGGAAGTTAAACGACTAACTTACTCCCTTGATTTATGCACGTGCAAAATTCGTGACGAAATTGGCAAATTCCTAATTGCAGATTGCAAAATTCCCACTCGGCCCAAACAATTTATGTAAATTCTGAACGGTTTCACTGTTACAGCATTTCTGGAGCGTCATTGTTATAGCTTTTTTTAATTTTTTTTAATCTTACACAAAGAATAAATTTTATGGGATTTTAAAATGGGAACGGTAAATAAAAAGTTGCTTCCAAACTAAAATATATTTGTTTAAAACAATAATAATTTAGAATAAAAGTAAAACTAGTTCGGATAAGACTGAAGAAGATTGAATTCCAAAACCAAACCAAAGTGAAAAATAGAGTTTAAAGTACTCAAAAATGTAAAAAGTACTAAAAATGTAATGTAAATGTAATTCTTAATTGCTTAAATTAATTTACTTTGTTTAGTTGTTTTTTCTAGCAGTGTAGCTGCCCATTGACGCAAGCGGCAGTGCCGAACAATAGCGGTAAGAGCAACAATAACAACTGCCGGCAGCAACAATTACTTGTGATAACAGTCACATTAATTTTATTGTCAAAAAGCATCCACCCCGCAACATACATATATATATATATATATATATATATATATATATATATATACCACCGATCGCGCTTAGCCTTATAAATTGCCTTTGCGACTGATAAATTACACTAATCGCCGGCGGTGCCGACGTTTGAGCTTTGTTTGCCATCTAGCCCCTGCCACGCCCCCTTCACAAACACGACACGATCTGCTATAGCAGCGGTCGATCCGAGTATATATGCTAAAAAAATCAGAGAATAAAGCAATCACAATGAAAGCTTGCGGGCGAAAATAGCTGCAGGGAAAGTGAAAGTACTTAGATGTAACTCCTCTGAATTATTACCTAATCTCATTGTCTAATTATATTACGGTTTATCTCATTCACTGACTTATTAAACATTCAAAAGAGATCCTAAGGATGGGATCTTATAATAAACTAACATCTCAGAATCGAAGAAGCCGAATTTATTCATGTTTTAGGTTTATGCCAGCAAGTTTCAGCCCAAAATCTATGCTTGATCTATGTCTGATCATGTCAAAGCGGTCTTCTTTGCTAGCCCGTTTCAATCCGATATCGATATATCTTTAAAGATCCAGAACACCTAGAGCGACTCGATGCTGGGCTTCTTGTTCTTGTTCATGCCAAAGTATCCCCACCAGGATCTGCGCATCCTCGATTCATCGTCAGGTGCAACATTTGGGGCCGCCGAGGCGGCTGTATTGCGAACAGCCCCTGGAGAGGCGGCCGCCAAAGATTGCTCCGCATTAGACTCTAGGCTACTATCACTAGACTTAGCTTGGGGTCCATTGTTTTTAGTGGTGCTTCTTCGGCTAGCCGATTTACCAGATTTTCCAGACTTAGCTGATTTTGCTGATTTTCCAGACTTAACCGTGCGCACAGTATCCGCCGAGACCTGGGTAGCATTGACCAGACTGGGCAATGGGGTAATGCCACCATTCCGGGTGCGACGCTCTCGACGATCACCGCTGCTAAAGAGTTTATTCAGATACGGCATGCACATCCTGGCACGGAAACTTTGGATGCAGAATCACTTGCGATCGCCTAACGTTTAATTTTTTTTTTCGGAAAATATGATTTATGTTTTTGTAAATATTTAAAATTTTGATATTACTATTCGGCAAGTATCGAAAAAGAAACTGAAGTTTTGACAGTCATGGCATACGGTAAATAAATATGAAATTAATGTAATATTGTAAAATATTAAAATTTTATACTCATGAGTTGCAAAGATTTCCCCCGTATGAATCACAAGTTCTTCACAGCCATACCATAGCATATTTTCTAAGAACTCGCTGTAATTTCCTAATCGTTTATTCGCAATAACTGAGTTCAACCTCTATAATGATTCCATGGCCTGTAATCTTTTGACCCACATTTATAATCACTCAATTCTTCATAAAAGTTATTGAAATCAGGCTAAAGGTAACATAAGAGTTAACTAGGCACTCATTAACAGATAAACTATCGTAAAAGATTTTGAAATAAATTGTAATCAGTGAAAAAGATATTTTCAAAGCAGAGATTAAGAAGAGGGACATTTCACAAAGACAAAACGAAACACAGTCTCAGCTATTCTAAATTTAACTACAGATTCGTGAGGATATAATGAAAACACCACTCGAAATGCAAGGAAATGCATCGCTTGGGGCCCACATGTCTTGGGAGTTATTTATAGATTGGCTGGCACTACCTACCTTTTATCCATCCGGCAGACAACAAAGCAGAGTCGCAGAATTCCGAGATCAGTTGCAATCAGACCATGGCCTCGTTTGGAGTTCGAGGAATGAGCCAGCCCCTGGGCATACGCATCTGCTGTTGTCGCGTATGCACTTGCATCAATTTTGGATTTGTTCTATCACGGATTGGCCTGCTGAAGCTGATGCAATTGGGTCTGGCCATGCTCTGCGAAGGTCTACTTATCCGTTATGGTGTGCCATATGCCGATTCCATTGGTCAGGCGTTAACCAGCTTTCTGGCCACAACTGGTCACTGCTTCACCACCACGGGCATTCTACTGCTCTGCTACGCCTTCTCCGACAAATCCTACAGCCTTATCCGACAGTCCCTATTTGTAAGAAGCCCACTAAAATCTAGTATGACTTGATGAGGATGGTTCAAATTGCCAATTCAAGGATTTAGTCAAGTCTGATGACGGGGATGTATCTATAATTCCAGGAAACTTTGTTTAACGGACTCGCCAGCTGCATGTATTTTAGTTCAGCGAGTTACATGGGTTTCGCCTGCGTGGTGTGGCTGCATCCACAGTTCCTCGTACGACCAGGATTCTGGGCATATCCGGCAATGACAGCCTGCTACGTGAGTGATAATAATTTAATCTAAATAATTTGAACCTCAAGCAATAGTTTCTTTTCCATAAACTTTCAGTACATGGGCTATGCCGCTGGCATTTTGCATGCCCTCGATGCTTACCTGGCATTTCGGCACTTTCGTGGGGCACGCTAATCCCCGCCAGATAAAAGCAGTATCTTAGTTACATATTAGTATTTTGCGGACATATTTATATGTGTTTTAGGTTTAAGGCACCTTTCTTCCGATGGTCTCGAGCATTCACATTAAAAGCGCTTAGTCGTATTTTTATAAATAATAAGCTTTAAAATGGACTGATTTGATTAGCACCAAAAGGAGTGGGAGATCCGGTCATTCATTGGCCCATCAGGCCATCTTGTTTGCCTCCGCCTTGAATTTTCTGTAAAAACAAATTCATTTAGGTATATTTTTCTCTTCAATGAAACGTAACTAAACCTACTTGAGTTGCTTTAGAGCCTGGCTTGTTTCGTAATCGGCCTTAAGCAGACCGATGCGCACCCAACGCGGCCTCTCGTGGATAACCTTGTGGATGAGAAACTTCAAGCCCAGCAGCAGGTGCTCAAATATCACGAACGAGAGATCCGGAACCGATGGCAGCCAGTGGGAAAAGAAGTCCCTAAGACGATGTGAATGGAGGATTATTAATACCAAAGCTGTAAGAGGGTATAACTCACTTGACATTTGGCTGGAGAAACAGCAACCCGCAATTGCTAAGTAGTGACATAACCGAGAGCAGCTCAAATGCCAGCTGCCAAGCACCAATATTTTTGGCGCGCCTCGCAAACGGTCTCTTAAAGATGTTGCACAACTTCCACATATCTATATGCACGGCAAAGACGTTGTTCAACAAAGCTCCAATCGCGGCAAAAGGGGCAACAGCGGCAAAGAGTACCACGAATCCAAACTGAATACACACTTGCAGGTAGTCCTCGTAAGTGGAATGGTATTCATCTAGCCCGGACTCATAAAACGATTGCTCATAGCGTGGCAGATCGCTAATGGATCGCAGCTTCTCCTCGGCTACCTCGCGATGTCGAAACTCGACGTACTTTTGACGCAGCACCGCCATCAGCGGTATTCCAATCTCTTGGGCGATGCACAGCAACTGGAAGACCAACAGCTGCATCATCAGCTGATACTTTAGCTGGCGCAGATCCTGCAGCACGAAGGCAATATAGAACTGTGAGAAGAAGTTATTGACGATCTCAAAGAGCATTAGTTTGTTGACTCGATGACGATCGTATTGCGATCGTGTTCGATGGTTTTCCAAATTGGTAAGGAATGTGGCCAGTTTCTCGTACGCCCACGAAAAGATTGCAATCAGCACCGACTGTACAATGACCGGCACGTACAGCAGCCATGAGTCTGGTCCAAAATCCGCGAGCACCTCGGCCTCGATCTGGAACTGATAGAGGGCAAACCATCCAGCGGCCACCACACAACCCAGTACCACCGGATACGATATGCAGTACATCTGCAGGTACGTGTAGCGCATCGGGTAATGGAGTGTCATTTTTCCAGTAATGGGATCTGGTTTCATTTTGCCCGTATAGGCTGAACGCGGTTTATCCAGGCTGCTCATTTCGATGGTACCCCATCGGTACGAATAGCCAGCGCACTTCCGCTTCCACAGCTCCAAGAAAATCTGCAAGTATTTTAAAATATAAATATTATTTACCCGATTATGATAAGTTAGAGTATAATATTTAAGAGCAATTAGAAATAAAATTAAAAAAAGAGTTTTCTATTTCTTAAACTATAATTATACATATATGTATGTATATCTCAAGATATAACAAAATTGTGAAATTCTTAGAGCTGCAAGAAAGAAATACACAATGGCTATTTTTATTGACGCACTTAAAAGATTCCTTGAGAGCACTTAAATATTATATATTTAGTAACTGCAATTTATTTTCAATGTCTTTAATAAATGAAAACAATAACTCACCGTGGTCCATACAACATAAAAGCTGCACACTAGCGAGATGTTCAGATCGAATACATATTGAATTATACCAAAAACAGAGGGGAAGATCAAAGCTTTCGTGTAGAACTCGATAAAACCGAAATAAAGACCTATGCTTGAACCAAAGTAGTTTCGGATGTCCTCGATGGGCAGCCTGGTGCGCTTTAGGTTCCAGTTAAAACGTTCCAGATATAGCTGAAAAAAAAAATATCTTTAAATTATAACACATTTTTCCAAACATTTTGGAAAAACTTACGATATCATGTAGGGGAAACATATCCTCAATGTAGCCCTTTTGCACATACGACTTAATGCCGTCCTGAATCACGTCCTTGATGAGGACAGGTATCTCGCAGTAGCGCAGGATCTGTTCCTTGCCCATTCCGGGCAAAAGGAAGTCCGAGATGCAGCCGTTGTTGAACTTCTGCATGCTGTTCGTCGTGGTCATCTTCTCCAGCTCGGCAGCATCTGCTAAACGGAGCAAGGTATCAACGCTGGCCGACAAGTATAGGTACTTTTCGGTTTTTCTAAATTAAATTTATAAAAAGATAAAGTAATTAGTAGAGATTTATACAAAGTATTTTTGCTTAATTTACCTAAATTCTCTCTCTTTTCTTCACTTTAATTCAATAATGAAATAGCTATAAAAATATGGTTTACATTGTATGCTTTAAAAGCAATGAACTCATTTCTTGCTAATTAAATTTGATTTACTGACGTGTCCTAGATCTGAAAGAGCTATAAATGTTGTTTGGAATAGAAAAGATGCTAAAACTTTGTTTGGATCAACACACTAATGATTTTTTAGCATATCTGGAAAACACTTTGAACACTTTGTGGTGTCTTGTTTACATTTGTTGGACAATAAACATAATAAAAATAAAGCTGTTATTTTAGTTGAGACATAAAATTTCCATATTGGCTGAAAATGTCTTATTTTATGTTATATAAAGCTCTTTGAAGTTATATTTTATTATCGAAGTTATATTTTATTATTGAAATTTAAAATTTTTACTGTAAAATGGCAGTTTTTCTGTTGTTATAAAAAATATTTCCCATTGGATTACAAAAATGGCGATTAAGATCCTCGAGAAGAGTTTACGTATTTTTCAATTACATAAAGTACTTTTAGACACGTTGATTAATTTGGATATAAAAATGACGAATTTGTAGTATTTCAGCAATAAGTTTAATCGATGCTTACCCTACGATCTCCAACGTGGTCTGTATGCCGAACTCCTGGATGATCTTCTCCACATCCTGGCAGTGCCTAAGCTTGGCCTTCTCCGTGAAGATGATGACGATGTGGGTCTGTTTGGATCAGAAAGAGATATTTTGGTTAAATCCCGATATGTTTCATTGGTATGCCAATTGAATGACCTTGTCGAAGGGTTCCTGATCTGGACCCAAACCATCTACACCTTCGCCAGAATCCAAGGTCCGCTGGCGTTGAAGAGCCTCTAGTTTCAAGCTGCGCTGCCGGCGGAACAGCTGGTTCTCGATGATGTTCCGTGTACGTGGTCCTGGACCTAGAATGTATTGTTATATTATTAAATATTATATTTGATTTACCCTGCTAGCATTATTATGCTGTACTCACTCTTGGCATCTTCGGACATCGTTTACGGGTTGACGGCTGATGACGAGTGGCGTCGCTGAACTAATAACAAAATATAACAATCACATCCACATCGAGTAGCCGAATATGAGATCTCAGAACTCTCTCTGAATTTTCTTATTTTCTTGTTGTTGTTGCTGCTCAGCACATGAGTAAGTACTTGCTATCTCACTCGCTCTCGTACCGTGCGTGCGAGTGTTAATTGCGTGTATTTTGGCCCGTGCCAATGCCAAAATACTGAATTTTTAATAATAATGCCAAAATATTTCGCCTTTAGCAGTTCTTGCCGGTTCGAAGTGCTTTTGTTGTTGTCCGAGCTTCGTGGCGCGTGACGTCATAAGCGTGATGTTATCGAAACGGCACAATTCGTTGGCTTGTCATCAAGAATAATTACAAAAAAAAATGCATTAAAGTCATAATTGATTTGGTTTTAATTGTTTAAATTAATAAGAAATTCCCCTTTCCCGCCATTTCAGCATTGCAGCAAATCAATCACTTATCGATTAACAAGTGCAACTCTACCAGAGATGCGCAATTATTGCACTTAGTAATTTCTAGTCACGGTAAGTAGTGACCAACAAACTGTAGTGGACTGTCAATCCCCAGTTAACTGTGTTCACCAGTCCGATAGACAATTGTTTATATGGGTAATAAATAAAAAAAATAATTAACAATGATTATAATCGCATTTTAGTTGGGAGGAAACTCTTTCATATATGAAAGAATCAGAATTCAGTTTTTTAAAAGTAATTTTTAAGCTCGTGCTAACAATATACAAAATTCATACTCCTTTAAGAATATTTTATAAAGCAGTGTTTAGCTTAGATTAACTATTTTCAAGATATTTCTATACCGCTTATCAGTAATACAGTTTTATACTTAGAATCTCTAGATTTTGTTTGTTGGTATTCAAGAATGCTGTTTGAATTGAAAAATATTGGGAAGAAATTCTTTCATATGTGAAATAATCAGTATGTTCTTAAAAATCATTTTTAAGCTAATTATATTCAAAATATCTAAAATATTTTAAAAAGCGGTGTTAAGCTTGGGTTAACTATTTTTATGGTATTTCTATACCGTCAGTTATATTGTTTTCTACTTATAAACTCAATAGAATTTATTTTTTCATATTATTATAAGTATTGAAGAATATTGGCTTACACTCAAGAACTTACAGATAGCTTGATTATCTGCATATATAAGTATTTTTAAACATTTCTTAACTAATTATAAATAGTGTCTTTTTCCGTATGGTCACAGTTTTAGCAGTATGTCTGGCAACGCTTTTGAAAGTAGGCCTATCTTTTAAGTGGCAGCGTTCCAATCAGCTGGATCTTTTGCCGCCGCGCTCTCCTTGAAACGTTGTGATGCAATTTTGTTGTTTTCAGGCCTAAAAGTGAAAGTTTCCACTGATAAGCAGCCGTGGATTTAAAACCCCGCCTAGTAGCTGACCTCTGGAGACCCCTATCCGTTTCAGTCGGACGAGAAATCCATCGTTTGTGTTACCAGAAGCAGTCGTTTAAGTCCCATTCCAAAGGGCGGCCGCACATGGAGCGCAGGGTCAAAGCCGCGCCAGAAACCAAGAAAGATATCGTTAGCCGATGAGCGGGCATCGAGGAGTAGGCGCAGAGGCCTAACCTCAAAGCACGAGCACAATCCGCAATCGGCACATCAAATTATTCCAGAAATCCTTTCCATTCCCACTCCCATAGGACTATAAGAATCCACCAAGGAGTTTACTCCGCCCCAGGATGCAGCGCCTCATGCCGGCATCTTGGACAAGTGGCGGCAGTCTACTGCCCTTTCGCGTCTCCACCACCACAAAGGTGTGTTCTTAAGCGCAGTTTATAACACTAAGCTATAGTATAAAGTGAAGAGAGAACTGTGGTTCAGTCCAAATATCATTTAAACTATTACTCAGCAAACTAAAATCTAATTACCCTCTGAATCCTAACCAGGTTGTCCTCTTCTCCCTGACTGCTGGCGTGGCTCTGATGAGTGTCCTCTCCCGCTTTTTGCGGCGTCGCAAGCCACCGCGACCGCCACGCCGAGCCAGGAAATATACGGGCAGGCGGAACCGCAACAGCATGCGCAGTCCAAATGACCTTATCTCGATAGCCGGATCCAAGGCCTCGGCAAGATCGGGCAGTCCCGTGGGCTCCACTTTGGCCTACTCGGACCGCCTATCCATGGCATCTGGTTCGATTGGCGTCGGTGTCATGGGCGTACAGAATGCTGGTCCTGGTGGTTCGGTAGTCACCCAACTGACAGCTCAACAGTTGGGAATGATGGGCATGGAAGCGCTGGACACAGTGATTAACTTTTGGGAAGATGCCCTGGCGGCACACTATTCGCCCGGTGGACTGCCCGCCTTGTTGACCACGGCGGAGGACTCGGAGTTCTGTCGCGAGATCCAGAATTTGCTGGAGATGGCCTACACGCTGCAGGAGCAGAGTGAATTGCTTTTCCTGGACCAACGATCGGTGCTGTTCCGCGAGGAGCATTCCATTGACGAGGCCGAGGAGGAGGCAGGCGAGACGGACGACGATCGGCGGTCGCGTAAGTCTGGCAGCGTCCTAAGTCGTGCTGGCTCCGATCCAAACTTTGATTCCGCGGAGAGTTTTGCCTCTGCATTAGACCAGGTGGCGGATTTGCGTGAGTTTGACGGCTTTATCGAGACCTCGTACGAGGAATATCCGCTTTTCCAGACAGCCCTGAAGCACCATGATGAGTACACAGTGCCGTGTCGCACTATTCGGGCAGAGCTAATGCACTGCAGCACCGATACCGAATATCTCGCCAAACTGCACTGCGTTCGGCTGGCGTTTCAGTTCCTGTTTAAGGATCCAGCAGTTGGGCAGTGGATCTGCGATTCCGGCCGGCAGATCCTTACCGATCTACTTTGTCTAGGCGATAAGGATACCAAGGAGTTTCTTGTGGGCTACGAGGACATGGTGAACTATTTGCACGATAGCAGCAACTGGCCGTGCATCCAAATGGAACTGGAGCAGCGAAATGTCAAGGCGATGACCTTTTACGACATTTGTCTGGACTTTATCATCCTGGATTCGTTTAAAGACCTTGATGCCCCGCCCGCCAGTGTCACGGCTGTGGTGCAAAACCGCTGGCTATCCAACGGTTTTAAGGAGACGGTAAGTGGACTCAAAACTAGTCAAGATCAAAACACTTACTAACTGATCCGTTTGGTGCCTTTTTTTCAGGCTTTAACCACAGCCGTGTGGTCGGTGCTGAAGGCAAAGAAGCGGATGCTTAAGTTTCCCAATGGCTTCATGTCGCACTTTTACGTGATATCCGAGCAGATATCACCGCTAATGGCCTGGGGCTTCTTTGGACCCAACGAAAACCTACGCGATATCTGCCACTACTTCCGAGAGCAGCTGCTTGCCTTTCTGGGAGACATCTTTAGCTTCCAGAAAAGCCGATTTACCACCATCGAAGAGTTCTCGCAAGATGTGCTGCAGCATATGCAGACGCGCGTCAACAATATTGGCGTGAAATTTAGCCAGTAATTGGTCTTCACTTCAGCCTTCTCCTACATACTTCTTGGACTCCTATTTTTTAATTTTTACAAAACCGTTTGATTCGGTAGTTTCCCTAAGAAATGCTCCACAAGTTGACTAATTTTAATGCCACATACATCCAACCACACGACACCAAATCCACGCATCGTCATTGTATGATTAAGCTGCATTTAAGTCGCCAAAACCAAACAAAAACATTTGTAAAATAAAACTGTTTACCGCCCGCTTCGAGCGAAAATCCAACTGCTATGCCTCCAATTGCATGGGAGAAGTGGGGCACTTCGCATACCCTGTTACTATATATAGTACATACACTGACATTATTACGCACAAACGAAGGTACTTAAGTCAAGAATTAAACATGAATTAGTTTATTTAGAAATATTAAGATTATTAAAAGCAATTGGCTGAGTTGTTAAAATTTTGCTGAACTGTAGAAAATTTACGTTGATGAAAAAAGTTTGAAGCTTTATATTGATCTTTTAAGGTTTATGTGTAAAAATACATTTATCCAAAACTTATCTAATTTTTTTTTAAAACAAACAAACTAAATAATTTTAGAGATTAACAACGCACCTTATATAAAATTTGCAATAATACGAGTTTTTGTAAAAGTAGGCTCACTATAAAAGTTGAACGCCAATCTTCAAGTAATTTCAAATATTCTATTTGCGTAACTAACGAACAATCGTTCCTTTAAGTGATAAATCATAAATTTTATATAAAATCCCCTAACAGATATGATTTTTGTAAACCTTTTCTGAATTATGTGAAATATAGTGATCCGATTATGAAAAATCAATATGCATTAATAAGTAACCCAAGTTATGTAGGGTATTAACATTGAGGGAAATGGAATATCAAAAGTAATATCCATCAGTACTTGCCTTCGGTTGTTCGTAACAAGATGTACAAGGGTCTGGGACTCTGTTGCGGCCTTCTGTCCTTTAGCGCCTTCGTGAGTATAGAACATTAGCTCCATTTGCTTTCCAATCCGATTCTTTTCCCGTATACCCCACAAAGATCTCCTGTTTTGTGGCTTTGCACACGCTTAATAAGATTATCCACATCAATTTGGACGCCGCTGTTCATGAGAACATTAAATTGGACTCCACCCAGGGACACTCAGATATGCGTTGCCAAAAAACTCTGATCGTGGAGAATCTGGATGAACCGCATCTTAGCTGGCTGGAGCTCTTTTACATGCGCTGGACAGTGGTATTCACGTTGCTCTACTCATTTGCCGCCACCCTTCTTATCCGGGCTAAGTATTTGGGCAACTTCGAAATAAACCTGGCCACCTCCAATACGGTAATAATCATTACCATGCTAACCAGAATCTAATGAATAATGCGATCTATTTCTTTTACCAGATGATACTGATGGGATCCCTGCTTTCGATGGTCTTGTTGCTAGCCACGTTTGTTCTCCAACAGCGTGAACCTTTCATGGAATTGTGGTGCAATAACTTTATTGTCTATCACATGTACTACATCGCCATGACCACCGGCATGTCAGTGGCTTTCTTTCTTGTTCACTCCTGCAAGGAATTCCTGATGACGCGTCGTTTACAACCAGCCATGAAGTAACAGGACATAATAAAGGAATATAACCCCGAATTTAGTCGGTTGCCATTATATCGATATAAAAATGCTAATACGATTTATGTAATTTGATTTTTATTCAAACAATTTGCTTTCATTTGGTTGGTTGGTTTGTTTCTTTTCTCATTTTTGTTTGTTTTTCGTATATTTGAGTGTTGACTGCAGTTCAGGAAAGGCATTTTCACATTTCTCGAATTTTGCTTTAAATAGTTTCTTGTGTGAGATTTGGAATCTAGGGGCTAAACGTTAAACTAAATACATCAAATGAGTGGTTTTCGTTTATGTTTTGTGTGGCTTTTGTTTGGCTCGTTATGAATTCATAACCAATAGTATTTTCACGAAACGTCGTTCGATGTTTCAAATAACCTGTTCTGATTGATGGTTAAAAACTAGGGTTTTAAAAAATCATAAGAGCTTCAGAATAACCCTGGTATACAATTTATTGCTTGAGATGTGAAAGATGCGGCAATCTCAAAACCAAAAAAAAAACCTTCCTTTTTCTCCAATCCTCATATATATATATATTTATATATTGGTATATATATATATATATCCTTTTGTGTATAAATCTAATTTTTAGTTTTCTTTTTTTGCTTGCAACTTATGTACTTACACACTAGGTTCAGGGGTTAGGGGGAACTACAAATCTTAGTGGGTATAAGTTAGCCAGCTAGTTGGTAATTGATTTATCGTACGATAGTTCTAATTACTCCGATTTCGTCTTATTTTTATAGACTTTTGTAGACTTGCCCACCGAACTACCATACGGACAATGGCGGATTGCGGGGGCTAGCACGTTTTGGTAAGGTAATTTCATCTTGCTTTTCGTATTGGATGCGGTACCTTAGAGGTCCGCTCTGGCCTGACTCGATCATCTCCGCTAGCGAAACTTCAATCTTAGAATCTAATAAATAAATGTTTCTTGGTTTTGTTTTCCATTTTCCATATTTTTTTTTTTTCATTTTTTTTCATGTGTTTAGAATTGTTTTCTTGTTGATTTAATATTTATTCATCCGTTTTGTTCCTCTGCATAATGCAAAGCTTACTCGCCATTTATCAGTTGTTTATTTATTATTATTATTTTGTATATAATTAATTGTTGGTATAATGCAGTCTTTACGGCAAAACAAAAACAGAATTATGCTATTTGATTTCTCAATTTGTTTTTTTGTTTTCTCATTTCTTAGTTATCATCGATACTTGCATCATTTTCATTGTTCTCATTAAATACATAATAATCAAAAATATATCTGTATACTATATTAATATTTAGTTTTGCTTTTTTAAAGTTCATGAAACCAAATACACTTATTTAGGCCTTTGGATCTATCTGTCTGTTGTGGTTGTTGTTTGTAGCTCGTTGTTGTGCTGCTCTAACAAAAATGTGGTGAAAAATGACAAGGTTAAATTTAAGCAATTTACAGTCATGTTTTTTTTAATAGAATACTTTGCATTCAAATCGATTTTCTTTAGATACGTTTATTATTTTTTTTTTATCTCAAAGGCAGTTAAACGTGAAGACTTTACTCTATTGTTGGTTTCTTGCTTTCATATTTGTTTTTGTTTTTTTTTTTTTTTTTGTTTGTGATTTGTTAACAACTATTTTATGTACATTTAGATTACATTTAGGTTCTCATTAGGTTTCATTAGAATTTTAGATTGCTATATGCATTTTGGATTAAAATTTAGTATTCCGTTTCTCAACTAACTTAGGGTCTAATCTTAGTGGCTAGCTAATTTTGCAATTGTAACACGTTCGGATCAACCTCTGTGACCTATCCACATTCGCATACACAAAAAAATACATTTCGGCTCCGATCTGTTCAATATCCTTCGCTTTCTCTATACCTAAACCTATCTCTTTCCTTTCCGCGCTAGTTATTTGTTCCCTAAAGGCATTTTCATTTCTTGATTTTGTTTATGCAAATAAAAAAAAAAAAAAAAAAAAAAAAAAGAAGAAATATTAAGACTGGATTAAAAAGCTTAGAAATTATTAAAGACAAATTAAAAGTTGATATTTTTCGTTCTAATATATCTCCTTTTTAGCTATTTTGATTATGCATAAAGTTGAACGATATGAAAGTCGGTTCTATGTTAAGCAGAAATTAAAATTTCAAGTTGATGTACGACGAATGAGGCAATATTCACGTTTAATTGGAAAACATCAATTTAGATTTTTGTACAAAGAGTTTGGGTTGTGGTCTGGAAGTACTATTTCAATGATTGTACAATTGGCTGTCGTATCTCATTTTTGGTTTTTCCTTTTTATGGGTGAAGGCACGCCAAAACATCTAGTTTATTTTATATTTAACGTGAGTATTTGTTTGTTTAATTTTTACCTCTTTTACAACGAAAACATTCTATTATTGCTTATTATTCGTTTGTTGCTTTGTTTGGATGCCTTAATATTATGTATATATGTATACGTATGCTTGTGTTAATGTGTGTGTGTCTGTGTGTCTGTGTGTGAGTGTTTTTGTGTATGCGTATGCTTCGTTCAAGTTTCAACTAAAATATGTTTTTACTTTCTGATTTTAACAACACAGGAACAAGTTTGTAAGTCTACGCTTAAAGTTTCTTTCTCTATTTTGTTTTCATAAAATTAATACGAAATACGAAAAAAAAATTAACACTACTATATACGAACATACATATGTGTTAGGTATACATCTGATAAAAGTTTATAAGTCGCGCATAAACCATTTTCATTAAAAATAAACCCTTTTTTTGTTTCTAGTCTACTACATTGTTGCTTGTCATCATCATCAAAGTTTCTATTCTTAATTTGCAGAGTTTCTGCGCAACTCAAAAACTAATAATATAAATTAAAACATAATTACTTGCTGTAGTTTCAGTTTTGTTATAATTGGTTAGAAGTGACCAGATATAGGTTTTTGTGTTTTATAATTATAATCGTATTAAAATGTTTTGTTTCGATTAGTTTTGCTTCACACGAAGCGCTTATAGCATCTAAAACTTAGAGCGAAAACAAAAAAAAAAATGGTGTGAAAATACATCGAAATTGTGTTGTGTTTATCAGTTAATCTATTAATCTGTTATTAACCTAGATTTTTCTCTGGTCTTCCTTGTGTTTTCTTGAGAATTTGGTTTGCCTGGGAAGTACATCGAAAACAAAAAAAAAGTTACAAGAAAGCATGCGATCCAAACTATTTTGGTCGTCTCGTCTGCTTCCTAGTGATAAGTCGTATGTGTTGATCCATTATTATGCGATCCATTTGGGTTTACAGTATTTGCTTAGGCGGTGGTCTTGCTCACATAAATTAACTAGTTAAACCAAGGAAAGTCACTCCAAGCAATCCTCAGATTTTGGTTTTATACGTAAAACGCTGGCATACGTATTCAAAACGCGTATTTGCTGTCGGTTTTCTGTATTAAGTCTAAACTTAATTTTACGTTGTGGTAAGCTCTCTGTTTACCATCTGGATGTTCTTGAGGTTGCTGGGATCCTTCGGGGTTAGAAATCATCTATTTGCTATATCTGCTAGTTTGTTTCAGATGTGCTCGCTTAAGTTTTAAGTCGTTTTAACGTAAACCTACAGAAAAATAACAAAATTATAGGCATTTCTAAATGTAGAAATGTATATATTAGTTACCTTAAAAATTAAATTTTTGGCTCTCTATTTTGTTGTTGCTGCTGCTGTTTTGTTGGTGTTGCTTTCTGGGAATATTTGTTTCGCTTTGGATTTAAGTGTCTTGATTGCTCTTCATTCTTCCTTTCTTTTTGCTTTCGCTCATGCGTCTGGTTTTCCTCGAGTTTTTTAAATGCGGCGAACACAAACAAATGTGTGATGAAAATGGATTAAACAAAGGAACCAACAAATTCAGGGAAAAGTTTTCGGAGCTTTGTAGGCTGAAGTTCCTTTTGTTTGTGTGGCGTGTTTTGTTTGTTTGGTTTTTCATCGATTTACCATTTAAGCTTTAAATGTTTAGGCATGTCCATCGATAGCTCAATACTGAAGGTCCATCTCGTTGCTCTCCTCCTCCTCGATCAAGTCATCCACATCGAATTCGCTGGGCGAGAAACTGGTCTGTTGCACCTTCTGTTGCTGCTGCTGGTGTAGATAGCTGGTGGGTGTAATGCGTGTGCCCGGTTTGAGCACCATACACGTTGGCGCCTTGGCGCCACGCATACGTGCGTTGGCCAAAGCGGCTGCCTTGAGTGGATTACGCAGGTTTGTCGCCTGAGAAGCCAATGAAGATGAGGCAACATTGGACGTAGTTGAGGTCGACGAGGCATTCATAGTGCCCGTGGTGCCGGGATCATTGTAACGCGGGCGCTTGTTCTGAAATTTGGTAGCCCAACATTCGGTCGCACGGCGACGGGCATTGGCACATATATTATCCCCCGAGGAGGATGAGGTGGAGGAGGTCGAGGCAGCTGCTGCAGCCGACGAGGTTGAGGCCGAGTTCACCTTTTCGCCCTGGAAGGGTATGTGACGACGCTCCTCCTGTGTAAGCTTCATCATCTGATGGTAGTTATCCATCTGTTTTAAGCGTTGCATGCTATCAATGGTACTGGATATAACGCCCGAGGTGGCTGACGTATGGTCATTCGCCTTGTTATCCGAAACAACTTGCTTCTCCAGTTCGTTGGGATCAACACCAGATTGTTGGCGCTGCTTTTGACGCAGATGCTGCATTTCCTCTAGAGACCGTTGCTTACGGAACTCAAAGACCAGCGGATAAATGTGTTGGATAGCAGATTCTACGTGACTGACGCTGGCCGCTAAATGATTGTCAATAGAATGAAAATTAGAACTTTTATTTGGACAATATACAATTCCCAAAGGGTCACTACTCACCCGTGACAGTAACACTACCGGTGGAGAAGATCTTGAGTGTGGCTTTTGGGTCGGGGTCGCGCATTTTGTAGGTCACACCCGGGTGCAGCTCTGGTTCATAGCTGGCATTCTCGCGATGTCGCTCTGAGAAATTGACGATCTTGATGGCCCACGGCATGCTACAGGTGCCCAGCACGTTGACGATGCGAAAATTGAGAAAACGAGTGGGAAATCCAAGCTTGCCCAGGCATCTAGCATAGCGACGAGCTGCAACCTTAGCCTAAAAGATGATCAAATATCAAACAAAGAGCTAACTAAGATTTTTTAAAAAAAAGACATACCATTGCCTCTGAGGTAGCACCAGTACAGGTAATCCTTCCGGAAGACCAGATCGAAGCCGTGGTATAGGGATGACGCAGCTTCATTGTTACCATTCCATTCTCGCGTCGATATTCTACATTCGAGCCCTGCAGAGCAATTTCTCGAAGCTTCAAATGGCAGCCTACACTAAAAGAGCAGACCACGTTGTTAATCACAATATCCAGTTCGGGCTCATCATCAGAGGCGTTGCCTTCGTTGGTCGCATTGCTAAGTGCCAAAGGTTGTTGATCACCACTGGATTTGGCAGTTTGATTGCTCTCCTCCTCTTCTTCATCCTCGTCATTGATCACAGTTCCTTGCTGCATGCTCTCCTCCTCCAAAAGCTCAGTTTTAGCCGTGTGCAAACTATTGCTATTGCCATTGATAGCGACGGCCGACACTGCACACTTGTCGCTACTGGTGAGGAACAGACTCTTGTTGCCGTTCGCCAGAACAATGGTGTCCCCGTTAGCAAGTTTTCTTTGCAGACTTGGTCCGCCGGCCGTTTGCACTTTGCCGAATTGCGAAAAGTAACGAACGGTACCGGCGGCTGTAGAAGTAGCAGATGAACCGCCGACCACAGATCCGCTAATTTTACCGGTGGTCGCCAAGCCTGCCGAAACCTGCCGATTAGCCATGAATGTAGAGGAGGGCGTTAAATATACACGGGGGGCGTTGGCCAGCACCGCTGAGGAAACGACGCCTCCGGATGCCACCACACCCACTCCGGATCCGCTGCTGGCCGCCTTAAGACCGCCGTTCAAGTTGGCCACCGGTATGCTGACCATTTCGTTTTGCATCAGCGCGTACTTCTGCTCCTGCTGGTGCTTGAATTCTTTCTCCTGCTGGTGCCTTGACAGCTCTCGTTCCTGCTGTTTCAGTTCCTCCTGCACCTGCTGCTGCTTTAAATCCTGTTCCTGTTCCTTTAATTTCTTTTGGTTGGTCACAACAGTCTCGTTCTTTACGCGCAACTGGCTATAGAAGTCTTCTTGTTCCTTCTCCAAGACACGTCGCAAATCGCAGTAAGTTTGCTGGTTATTCTGGTGCAACTCACACTCGAGCTGTACCTCTTCCTTTTGTAAGCGGTGCAACTCCTTCTGTTGACGCACCTTTTCTAACACAAATTTTCTCCGTTGCTTGAGCCGCTCTACCTGTCGTCGCCGATGTAGCTGTTCTTGTTGGTGGAGTAGGTGCAGTTGCTGTTGTTGGTGTTGCTGCTGCTGGAATTGGAATTGGAATTGCTCTTGCCGTTGTTTCTCCGGGAGTAGTTTCTCCGATTGTTGCTGTTCTTGCAGCAACTGCTCCTCTTGTTTATGCTGTTGCTGCAAAGATTTTAGCCGTTCCTTTTGATGCAGTTCATGCAGTAACTTTTGCTGCTGTAGTACCTTTTGCTGATGCTTTAGTTGATGGTCTTGTACTAACTTTTCTAGATGCTTTTCCACTTCTTTTTTTAGCTTCTTCTGCTGTTCTCTATGATGCTTGTGTTGAAATACGATCTTTTCCTGGTGTGTAAAGGAGGAGAAACCACTTTTTATTGAGGTAGTCTCGACTTCCTTAAACACTGATAATGCGAGATCGTGCACGTTGTGGCTATCGTTGCGAACAATAATATTATCGATTCCTGTTTGCCGTACTGACGGCAATATTAAAGGGTGTGTAAGAAGTAATTTATAAAATTTACGGGTCTTAATCCTTTCCTTTTCCCAATCTGTAACTCTCTTTTGGGACTCTAACTCAATACACACATCCCTGATTCTTGCCAAGAGGGCGAAAAACTTTTCGTTTTCAAGAAGAGATGAGGACTTGATCACTTTATTGATATCTTTGTGAAGTATTCCAAGGAACTTTCCTTTATCCAAGGTGTTTGGGATAAATAATAATGATGGATCCAAATTCGATTGAAAAGCTTTCACTACTTCTACTGTTTCAGAAGGAAGGTTTGCTTCGTGATCCTGCTTAGAATCTGGACCGTATTCGTCAGGTGCCGAGTCTCTGTCGTTTTCGCCTTCAGGAGTTTGGTGTTCCTGCTCAGGTTGTTTGTCAGAATTAGATGCTCCGGGAGGATCCTCTGAGTCCGTGTCAGTATCAGTATCGGTGTCCGAGAAACCTGGCGGATTTTCGAGTTCCTCCTCAGAATCCTCGCTCTCTGTGGTTTCGAGTTCCTCTTCCGATTTCTCTACTTCTTCCTCGATTCGCGATCCAAATAAAAATTCTTGTATATTTCTGGCAACCGAATTCGCTTCGCCGTTTATATATGGGCGCTCGTTATCTAAATAGTATTCGTTGTTATTTCTTGTTTGCTCTTCGGCCTCAGAATTGCATCTCAAGGAAGCCGCAGATGAGTCAGAAGAGAAATAATCTGACCTAACGAATTCCTCGGTAGTATCCGAATCTTCATCCACCGCCCTTTCGCGACGTGGATAGTTGTATAAGTCGCGTGAATAATATGGCAAATTATATCCTACCGGCGAAGAAAACTGTTGATTTGAAAATGAAGGTGAAGCTTCATATGAAGTTGAGGGTAGATACCGTGAATCGTTGTCTTTCCTATCTGAAGAGTTACTACTATTTGATTTTGTTTCTTTGTGTTTATTCTTGTAGGTTTGTTCGCGACGCCCTTTTTTCCTATATCCTTTGATTTTTTCCCCGTGATCAGATTCGGGGTAGCAAGAATTTTCAGATTTTAATTCACAGCCTAAACCTTGTGGCTGTTGCTTTACTGTCGGTTCCTCTTCCTCCGAAGAACTAGAAGATGAATATACAGTAGAGTAGAAACGTGACTTCTTTTTGACTGTGCTATCGCTATTCGATATTGGCCCTTTGCGTTTAGATTTGTATTGACTTCTGCCAAATCGACAAACCGCTAAACCGTCATAGGGATTTAGGTATGAATTTAGTGTTCGTGTTTCTCTAGAAAAAGCTGATGTCGACGTTGATGGCTGCTCGTCTTCGCTAGTAGAATCACTTGAAGTACCTACGTGTAATAGGCAAAACATGTTTTATTAAATATAAATTTATTTATGTAAAGTTTACTTACTGAGTTCGAAATTCTTGGTCTTTGGAATATCCTTATCCGACTCCCTATTGCCGATACTAGCAGCTGCAATCTGGTTTACTTCTGATGTATTATTAGATAGAGAAACTACTCTCTCTTCTTGCTCAGGTCCTTTTATGTCAGCTTCTACAGGATGGCTTTCTTTCAGAGGATCGACTGGTAATGGAAACAAAGCTCGTATTTCCTGTTTGTCTTGGTCCCTGCCTACGAAATCCTCTGCAGTTTCAGTTAGAAAACCGTTTTTGATCGGGTTCAAAAATTTGTTTTTCTTGCGTTTTTTGGCGGCTTTTTCAGAACTCGAGGACTGTTTCGGCGTTCGATTCGGGAAGTTGTTTTCCTTATCAGAATCTTCTTGGAAGTTTATAACCTCAGAGCAGAGAAGTTCATCGGTATATTCTTCTTTTTTGCATTCCTCGCCAGTTGCAAATAAGTTTTGAGAAAGGGAAATTAAATCCTCTTTCTTGACCTCCTCCTCCTTGCCTCTTTCTTGAGAAGAATCTGCGTTTACTTCATTCAAGAGAGGAGTCCCGTGTTCGGGGCTTCTACAGTAGTTTTTAGGGAAATTATGGTAAATTATTGTTTATGGTGTTAGTTTACAGATTGGTGTGTAGGTGTGAGTTTACTTGTGTATGTGAATGTGTGTGTTCTTTTGTGTGTGTGTGTGTTCACTATAAACTTCTTTATACTAAATACAATTAGTATATTAGCCTACTTACACACTGCCCACGATATTAATATTACTTGCTATGTTTCCGTTCATTTTTCATAGGATTCTTGGTTTGTCTTCTCTTTCTAGCGTCTAAACTTAAACTAATTTTTTTTTAGTTGTATATAAGGCTAAAAGTGATTCTTGCTTGATGTTCTTTTCCAAAGTCTTCCCTTTGTTTCGTTCTGTGTGTGTGAGTTTGTGTGTTTGCTCTTAAGGCCAAAAAATACTTTTTTATGTGTAATTTTACAATTAGAATTAGTGTTAGCAGTGTTTTTCTTGTTTGTGGGTTCCCCTAAATCCTAACTACTCTGTATTATGTTTATTTCTATTCTAGTCTTCCGTTCTTCTCTCCTGTTTAAATTAGCTTGTAGTTTTTGTTGTTCCTTTGTAGCAGTCTGAAAAAAAAAAAAAATTAATTCATAAATGAAAAGTTGACATTAATGGGGAATATTTGTAAAGACAACATGTAAACATAAACTATAGGTATTCTATTAAATTGTTTGTACAATAGTCCTTTTATTTCATCGAAATCACTTTAAAGACACCTTTTTAATTTATACCTCTATCCGATCATCGACCATTTGACACGGAAAAATTTAAAGGATAAATTGACAAGTTCACACAATTCTGACATTTCATTAGAGATGATTTTTTTTAACACTCACGACGAGAAACAAAAACTCACGAAAGGGTTTACACCAACAGTCACACTTTCTCATACGAAAATGGTTCCCTCACGAAATACATCGGAAAAAGGGTTTCCTTCGAAATACATCGAAAAAAAAGGGTTCCCTCAATGAGTGGTGGAAAAAATGATCGATTGTTACAAAATTGTAATGATATAAACATTTTTTATGTAGCTATTGATTTGCTGTATTTTCTTGCAATCATGTAGAACTGAAATTTTACAACCAAAAATTTTCATTAACTGCGTTAATACTTTATAAGTAATATGCCAAAGAAAAAGGACACTCTTTTCACCTGACCCTAGTAACAGGAGTTGCAACTAACAGAGCTCGATAACAGTTTTATTAGGATCGCCGAAGTGCGCTGACCTTAACATAGATTTTCGCATGCCTGAGAAAAAGGTGGACGAAAGAGGGGCAGAGGAGAACGAAAAGGAGGTAGATAGAGAGAGGAAGACGGGTGTGTATATATGTCTGTGCATTACTTCTGGGTCAAGGACGCGCTCGCAAAAGTGGAACAATCTGTCAATTGAGCGCGACGTCGCCGCAGCAACAGCAACAAATGCAAAAACAACGACATAGCAGTGAGGAAAATAATAGAAGCAACAAGAAAATCCCACAATAACAAAAGTTATGCACCATCGATTGTTTCATTCCCGCTCGCACCGGCAAGCTGCCAAATGCAACGCTGCTACATTTTTGGGGCAAAGTGCAATGAAATTTGTTTTTGTAAATAAAGATACAAATGTGTGTTTAGCAAAATAGCTGGATGCTTAGTTTTATTCAGTTAAAGATTCGACGGAAAATGTTTTTTATGCCGGGTGCCGGATGTAGATAATGTCCCAAGCTCCCCCTTTCTTCAACCACTCAATTACATTCATACGTACATATATGTATGTATGCATGTATGTGTGTATTGTGAATCATTTACGAAAAAGGGCAGATATACTTGGACTTGCATTCCAACAAAATGAAATGAAATAATAAAAAGAAAAAACAAAACGAAACAAGCAAAATGTGTGGGTGAATGTGGGTGTTTTGGTTTCTTTTTCGGGTGACCCAAAAAAAAAAGAATTGAAGCTATTTAAAAACCACATTTTTCCATGGATGATCAGTTTTGCTTTTCTTTTCTGTTTACCCTAACAGAACTAAGTAACATATGCAGATATACTTAAATTACTATACTTTACTAAATTTTATAAGCATAGCAACTATTAACCACTATTGGCGATACATAATTATTATTAATGTTTTTAAATGTAAAACCATGTTTTTTTAACAATCACTACACATTAAAAACGCACTGCTTTTGTATATTGCTGAATATGCCTTAAATAAGGTCACTGTTGTAGCGCGCACATACATGTATACATGTCCTTATTTATGTTATAAAAAAGGATCGTGAATAACTCATGCATTTACATCTATGAATTCACTTGTTTGAATGGCATTTATACCTTTATGCAAAGGATCACAGTTATTTCGCGGAGATACTCGCCGTTATTTACTGTAAATGGTAATCAGCAAACAAATCCAAACAAAACAAAACTAAATGAAACGTCACTACCACAAACACAATTGGTCAGTGCGTGCGCGCGTGCGTGCGTGTGTTGCCGCACTCACATGACGTCGACATTTGACAGTTGGTTTTGCTTTGTTTGCCAGTTCTCTCGATTGCTAGCTCTTTGCTCTCTCCTCGCTTTGCTCTCTAACACCCAATTTTCTCTTCTCTTTGACGACTATTTTTAACAGCCCGGCAACAGAGCCGCAAGAACAAGAGCAACAAGAAAGAGGGTCAAAAATAGGAAGCAATAAAAGCGAAAACAAAATGCACAATGCAAATGCCGCTCATTGCTTGAATTTCAATAAAGAACAAATAGAAAAATAGCAGCCCAGCCAGCAGAAAATGCGAAAAATGTACAAAAATATTTGATGAAAATCAATTTTGAAACACTAACACACACAAGCATGCGCTAAAATAAGTCAAAAGAAATGAAAATTTAAATTTACGCAAAAGTACCCCTAGATATAAGCAAAAACAAAATATAAAATGGTAAAATTTCAGTTCATTAACCCAAAACGAAAATGAAAACGAGAACAACAGAATGCAAAATGAGAGAAATGGAAGGAAGAAGTGGTGATGCAGGTTGGAGAGGGAAAGAAGGGCAGAAGGAGAGACAGATAAAACAAAAGGCATTATACTAACAATAATAACCAACAAAAACACAAAAACAAAAACAGTAATCACACGGTAAACAGAAACAAAATAAATGTGAACTGCTAAATTCAGGTTCAAGGCCACCAAGCGACAATTCGCAATTCACAATTGACGAGCTGCCATTTTGGGTTGATTTTTATTGCTCCTCCTTATTATTTCATAAATCTATGATTTTTTGACACAGAAATACAGTGGCTCAATTAACTGGCAATTTTAGTAACAGCCAACATATTCAAATATTTTCAAATATTAAAATAATTCAACAATTACATATTTTCAACATTTCGATAACGGTTTTCTTTCCACATGACATACATATTTATGTACATATGTACATACATTCATAAGTATACATAAAATGTATATGCACAATTTCGGCATACATAGGATTAAAAACCGATTAAGAACTCTGGCTGCTTTATCTACATATAAGACTACGTTTTGAAACTGTTTCGATTGATTTACAAGCACAGTTTCCCACGATGCGGGTTAAGTATTCGCCCCCTTTTCACCCACAATTTTAGGATATCTCAAATTTCATTGGAACTCGCCTCATTCATTTTGTAGGGGAATGGAAGGGTTTTGAAATGTGAGCTATGTACATACATATGTACGTGTCTGACAAGAGGAATCATAAACTGTAATAAAATATGCAAACGAGCGCGCTCACATAAACCACAATTCCCCATTTATTGTAAGTATTTATTTATTTCCGTTCCACATGTAAAGGGTGTATCAGTTAAAGAAACAAAAAAGGGGGAGTACATTGTTTATATCTTTAATTTCGTTTGACCTCTGTTACAAGTCATTTTTATTTTTCGAAAGCACATTTGTAATAAAAATGTAAATTTCGCAATAAAATACATAAATCATTTTGATAAAAGTGCAACGATCATATATTTTTTGAATACTATATAAACATATCTTTAACAGGTAAAACAAAATAACGTAGTCCACTTCTAATGTGACCGCATATCAATCACAATCATCCGGCGGATATAACAAGTGCAGCCACACATCCGCGCAACATGTTTTTTCGTGCTACTGCTCACGTTCGTTTTCATGCCCCAGTGGAGAAGAGGGTGAGGGAAAGCGTGGAGGGGTGTGCCAGTACCTGTGTTTCGCTCCCTCTCCAGACTTCTCAGAGCGAAGCGGTACGTGAATCACATTAGCAACAACAATAATAATGCATTTCACCATCACTGCAAGTGACAGCTCATCTTTACAGTTACAGATTGAGCAGTGCTATAAGAGCTAACAGTTCCTTTTTTTTCTGTTATGCAAAATGGAAATACATTTTGCAAACAAGACGATAATTTCAAATTTAAATTGAAATTTGTAAATTCTGCCATTTAAAATATTAATTGTATTTTACAGAAATTCACAAAATAAAATTCAGATTTTTAAATATCACTGCCACTGGATCCACTTAAATAAGTACGAGTATATTATCACTCAGCAAAACTCTGTTACGGTGACCCAAATTTGTTATTACAATGGCTACGTAAAAAAAATAACAAAATAAGGCCAATCGACGAGAAATGACCCTGTTCATTAAACGTACAACCAAATAAGGCAGCAACAATCTTTTTTGCCAAGATAATGTAGATACCATATTTATTGATTTAATACAATACTTAGTCCACACATTTTTATGACATCTTGGATGTAACATGGCAATAGATAAAGAAAAGGGGGACAAGGAAACATGTGTCAGAAGCAAACATGCAAAATGTCCAAAATAAAAATGGTATGAAATAATCAAAAAGGAAAACCAGGAAGTTGATTGAAGTAAAGTGCAGGTATTTGGATGAAAAATATAACATTTACTATATTTCTCTTTAGCTTTTTTAAAGTCCATTGTAATTTTTTAAATCGTGTTAAACGACGAATGTGATTCATTAATTTTTTTTTTAAATGCTTGTTTAACAATCAAGCTTAAGAATTACTCATAGTCTTTTAAAGTTACCCCATAAATAAGGATAAGTCATACACAGAAAACTGTAGATTACAAAGCACATGGCACATGACGTTTCAAAATTTGAAAAATTTTGAAATCAAAGATATTTTTAATCCCAAATACAAAATAGTCTAAACGTGAATGATTGAAGTGAGCTGATAATATTTATACAAAATTGTACATTTAATTGCATATGGAATGTTTTAAATGGAACTAGAGGAGATTCTTTATCACCATTATTGATTTAACATATGGTTGGGAAGGAACTTCTAGGTTTACAGAGTTGCATATCTGTAACAATTTTCGCACTGCTAATTTACCAGTCACGTTCCTCAATTACAGCATCTATTTTACCAGGCACTTTTGGTGCACATGGTAAATGACTGAATAAGTCATGCAAGAAAAACCAGTTAGGAAACAGAGAAGACAAGGAGGCGAGGAAGAAGAGAGAAGAATACGACGACCGGCTTTGAGGCTTCGTCATCAATTCTTCGCATTACTCAGAGAAAAACTTTTTGCACGTGCTAGCGGTCGAGTGGTTAGCAGTTGCGATTAACCAGTCAACATACGCGATTAACAGTGTACTTGACATTGATCACTCACCTCTTAAAAGTTCTTAATTATTTGAATGGTTCTTCTCTTGCTTTTTCTTGGTTGTAGATGGATGAAATCTTGACCAGCTGAGAGCCTGTAAAAAAAAAAAAAAAGGGAAACGTTTAGTAGGCGTGGCAATAGACAACAAAAGCAAAACAGCTGGTCAGAGACAAAGGAAAAAGAGAAGCCGAAAGTAAGGGGCATACATGAAAAATCTGCCCAGGTGTGCTGAAGATAGAATTTAACATTCGCATGTGTATACAGCGTACATATGCGGTAGAAATATTAGCACCAACTGACGTTTTATTCCTCGCGAAAAACACTATTTGTTTTTTTTTCCTCCGTTTAACTAACTTTTGTACAACTAGGTCACTAGCTCCTAAAGTAACATATGCTAGAAAATGTAATAAGATTGCATTTTTTTTGAGTAAATTGATATTTTTAATTTTTTGATAATTTAAATTGCTTAAGATCCGCCCTAAACCCGGTTTGGACATATAGTCTCTATAGTATTATTCTTCTGACCGCTGCTGTGCTGCTGCTGTGACACAATTTAAGATTCGCCTGTGTATATAACGTACATCCGTGGTCAAAATATTAGCACCAACCAGCACACAACGTTTTTATTCTGAACTAAAAACACTTTATTTTTTTTTTTTTTTGTTTTTTCGAGAAATATTTTCCGTGCGAACAGTTTAAGAAGCTTCGTTCAACTAACTTTTCTACAACTAAGTCTCCAGCTCCTAAAGTGACATATGATAAAAAAGGTAACTAGATTGAATTTTTTGTGGAGTGCAAGTTGATAAATAATTTAAATTGCTTCAGATTCGCTTTAAAGACGAATTGGATATATGGTCTATAGTATTATTTTTGTGACCGCTAAAAAAAACAAATGAAAATTAGCATATGTATGCATCGGCGGTCAAAATATAAGCACCAACCAGTACCCAAGGTTCAATTAACTTTTCTAGGGGCCTAGCTCCCAAAGTGACATATGTATGATAGAAAAGGTCCCTAGATTGAATTTTATGTGGAGTGCAAGTTTATAAATAATTTAAATTGCTTAAGATTTGGGTTATAACCGGTTTAAATTTGTGGTATATGGTATTATTCGTGTGGCCGCTGTTGTTTATGTATCTGAAACCCGAGGGGAGCTACAAAATGGGTTGACAATTGCCTGGGACAGCGAAACATTCACATCCAAAGAACCGAAGAGCGGAAATGCTGCATGCACGAGAAATCAACGAGCACTACAAAAATCCCATTAACAAGATAGAAAAACAAACACCCCAGATATACATACACATTTATGTACATACATATATATATATATATACATATGTACTTTTGTATGCTTAACTGCATGAATACATAATTTGTTTAGTGCACTCACAGTCGAGTATGTATGGGTCAATATTTGTTGAATATGATAAAAACAGAAATCATACTTATAATTCTTAGAGAGTACGTGCCAGTGTTGAACAACAATATGTACTCCAAATGAAATTCAAGTATACATATGTATGTACATATATCCTGTAGGCAAAAAACCGTAATAACGATAAATATAAAAGACAACCCCAAAAAATGTTTGGTCGCCCTTAAGTCAATGAACTGGTATATCTTGCCAACTCCTTTAACCCTCACCCTGTTTTTTTTTAGGTGGTAACCACTCCTTCGCAGAAGAACGAAAAACAGAAGACGCCAAGAAGAAGAAAGCAAGGAAAAGTAACAAAAACAAGTCGTTGACATGTCCTCCACAAAAAGAAGCAAGCAAACCATGGGATAAAGCCAGAGACAGCTGTCGATTTGTTATGATTAACCGTTATTTGCCGGGGGAAGAAATGCTGAAATCGAGAGAATCGTCGAGAAGAGACCCAACTTCAAGGCCCCCAGACAAAGGTAATGCAGTTTGGTTGGGTATATTTGTTTCCTTACTTTGAAAAAGTTAAGAATCTTAACAATTTTATTATTGCTAAAGGTCTTTTTAAAATATCTAAATTATATTGCTTTCAAATTAATAAGGAAAAATAATTTCCAAGCAAGTACATATGTACATATGTATTTTGTATTTTAACCTTAAAGTTAAAAATATTTTTAAATTGTCTTCTACGTATTATTTAAACAACTTCGACGAATGCAGGATAATGAAATCAATACATCCACCCAACGCAAATGTTCAAGTGACCCAAGGGAAAAGTTCGGAGCGTCGTGGGGAGGGATTTATTGGAAGGCGGAGGGATTACGGTCTGGCGAGACAGGATAAAAAGTCAGACGGAAATTAGCTTTTATCGTTGACCTTGGGGCTGTTCGTTGTTCGTGCCATGAAAAGCGAAGTACATACACGTGTATGTATTATACATACACTTACATACATATATACAAATACGTTAAATGGCAATGATGTTGGCATAAACCATGTGCTAATTGATTGCGTTTTGGCTTAAACTGCTAACTCGCTGTAACCACAATGCGTGTATTGGACTATCAAATATAAAAAATACATAATAATCAAAAAAACGAGCTCCTTGGCAATGAGTTTCTTCATAAAACAGTGTTATAAAAGTCTATAGTTTTGTAATATACTCATATTGAATTATTATAGTAAATGTATTTGGCTTTACGAAAAAGTACTTTATGTATGAATGAACATGTGGTCTTATGACTTTCTTAGTGTATTCACTTTATAAAAGTGCCTAAAAAGTTTACTATTTTAATCCACTGTGACTGAGCTATGAGAGCCTCCTTGTAAATTTTTGATTACGCTTCATTTAATATATATGTATGTATGTATTTACATACATATTTGCAAATGCATATGTATGTAAATGTACGTACATATGTATGTATGCACATACAAATAAATTTTTTTGCGTGTTAATCAATTAGAGCAACATATTTACTACATTTACATGCTACAAAAGCTTGTTCTAGCGAGAACACTCTTTTAATATTTCATTTTTCCCATAGGTTAAGAAAATGAAAAAAAAAAAGAAAATATTTTTTTCGGCGTTTACGCACTTCTTTTCGGAAAGGGGTCACACTGAATAAAAAGCATGAGCATGACCGACTTACATATTTCTCTCTCTGTTGAAGATTTCGGTTGCCTTTTGTGCCTGTGTTCTGCTTTGAAAGAAGACGTCGCAAAGAAAGCGACCAAAACGAAGACGCAAAACATTTACAGTTATGTGGAGGAAAGTAAAAGTCAAAATCAATGAATTTGTATTGTTTGTTTTGGAATTTACAAAACGCGAATTGGTTTAAAAACATTGGCAAAAAATAAAACAGCAGAAGGCAAAAAATAACGAGGTTGTGTTTGTACAGTAATAACAACACTTGCATTTACATTTGATATGAATATTTAAAAGTCATATTTGCTATCCGTAACAAGTCTATTACATTGTTACAGGTAATTTTCCTGGATTATTTTTAGTTCTCTAACTTATGTAGGTAATTATCGTAGTTTCTTTCAATATATTAAAATAAATGAAATAAACAAATCTTTTATGAATTTGCACATTGTTCCGGTCTTTACTGTGACTGCTTTTTTCAGCTTTGTTTTCATATGTACATACATACATACATTCATATGTACATATAGATGTACATAGTTGACTTAAATCTTTCACGACAGACATTTGCCATCTCACTTGCACGTCGCAAACAAGTTGAATTTACCGTTGCGTATTTTCTTCTTAGTTTTTATTTTGTTGTTTTTTCCGCTGATTTCAATTGCCCACAAAAAAGAAGCAACAATGACAACAGGTTGAAGACGATGAGTAATGAAAGAGTGACAAAAAACAAAATGAGAGCGAGGGAGCTAGGCAGAAGTAGCAAGTAAACAAAATCGAATTTTTCCCAATAAAACAAACGGTTTGAGTTTAAATTCAATTATCAAGCTGAAAATTTTCTGTTGGCTTATCGCCTTATCACTAATACCTTAAGAGCACTCTGTGTGTGGAAACACTCCCCCTCTTTCTGTGATTCGCTCTCTACAGAGAATTAACAATAAAGAGGGAACATTAGAATATAATTTACATTTAACGCAATTACTGCCAATTATTAACTTTTTATTCTAGTTTTCCAAAAAAAAACAAACACAACAAGCTCATCTAAATGACGTCACGTGGTTCATAATGTACATACATGTGTACATATGTATGTAAAAAAATGTCAGGCACTTACAAAAAAATTTTTTTTACGTACATACACACATGTGTGTGTATTTGTGTTGTGCATTTTTCCGACGGCTGCCAGCGCGAAGTGGGTCAATATCTTAATTAATTTTAATGGGCTTAATTTAAAGACAAAGGAAGCAAGCACTAACAAAGTTACCTCAATCATTTGCGTATTATTATTGGCTGAAAAATAAAGGGGAAAAAGGAAAAGCCATGTTTTCTGCTCTACATTAAAAAACCGACCTCGGACAAAGAAAGAGTATTCTTGCTCTTTACAGTGTGGTTTTAGAACAGCTTTAAAATGTATGGATTAAAATGGGTTCAAATCAGGCCAAAGATGACATGATGTACGTTATGTACATATGTATGTACATATAACTATCGTTTATAGGGGTAACGGCATCAAAGTCTTCGGATCGCCGCACATTCTTCAGATAATTTAATAAAAAAAAGGGCGTGAAAACAAAACAAGGCTTAGTAATACTACAAACAGTTATGTATGTACTACACACATATATTTATACTCAAATCAACACACACATACAGATGAAAATGCCATAGAATTTAGCGATAACAACAAAATGCGGGCATCTGATTTATGCAGAAAGTGTCGAGGGAGAGAAAAAAGAGGAGAGAGAGAAGAGCAGATCAAGCCGGAAGTAACGTTTTAAAGAAAAAGAGTGTAACAGATGCATTTAACAGTAACAAAAACAACGATCGTTGACAGGTAGGGCTTACACACAAACGTACACAAGTATGTACATATGTATATACAATGTACATCTAAAAGGGAGACGATGCGAAGCACGGTCAACAAGAGAGAAAGAGGGGCAGAGGAGAACTGCAAACTGCGATTTATTTAGGATTGTGTGTGTGTATTTGTGTACGTGTGTAGATATGTATGTATGTGCGCTCATAATGCACGTGCATGTGTATGATTGCCAGTCTGACCTCGTTGGCAAGCTAAAAAAAATATAATAATAAAGAGCATGAAAAGTGAGGAATATGGCAGAGCGAACGAAGGCGGAAAAAGAAGCCGCACCTAAAAAAAATCTATTACATCACTAGGAAAATTGACACAAGTATAAGGCATTTACATACATACACACACACACACACACAATCTCGCACTCACAAAAAGCATAAAAGTGTGCGTGAGCGAGCACGTCTAAAACGGAAGCAAATTAAGCATTGAAAAATACAGTCATTTTGACCCCACAAACATGTGAAAAAATCCAATAAACAAAGATAAGATAGTGGGGAAAACGAATAACAGAATCACCATTGTGATCTAAAAATGTTTAATTGTAATAAGAAGTTCTGAAAAAGGGAATTAAATGAATACGTACAATTTATCTTCATTGTATGTATGTACATATGTATATAAATTTAAATAATTCCATTTCATTTGATCATTCTAGTTTATACCCTTTCAATAACAATTATTGCAACTTTTTCATTTCATCGTTCATTTTTAAACAAATACAGTTGTGAATATTGACATTCATACATATGTCGGTATTAAAAATATCACATAAATTTTGCTTTTACAAAAATAACCGATAGTAAATACATTCATATGTATGTAAATTGTTGGATATCTTGAAGAAATCGTATAAAAACCACCGAAAGTTTAATATTCTAGAAACCTGTCATAATCGCAATGGTAAGTTCAGCAAAAACCACAATTTTTGTAAAACTATAAATGAAAAAATGCTTAAATACATATGCGAATTCCAACAGATTAAGGCCCCAATAAAATGATAAAATATCTAATGGACTAACATTTACGAACGAGGAGCGAAATAAAAAAAATACAATCTAAGCCTACGGGTGACTACAACTACAACTGCTAGAAACTTCTTTTCAAAGAAAAATCATTGAAAATATTCCCCCAAATGAGAGCAAGAGCTAACGGACGGGCGACAAAGCGACAACTGAGCGCGCGGCGAATTCGAAATCAACTCGCTTTATTTAGTTTAGCATGGAGACGTCGACGTCGGCAGCAAAGCGAAGTTCGTTGAAATTTTGAATGTGTGACAACGCGGTTCAGTCTGCCGCCAGCGCGGTCCGAAGCAGTGGTATTTGTTATAAAAATATTTTACGATTTACTTGAACACTCAGCCGCTGACTCGCTCCCTCTTTTGCGCCCACTCTCTGACTGTCCCTGTCGCTTCATTGCTGTTAGCACTTTCTAACAGCATGTTAATGCCGAATGGCGAATTGTAATGCCAAAGGACAAAGGAAAATTTACCGTCAGGGCAGCCGAAAGAGGGACACAGTGGGGAAATATGAAAAGCGATCCCGCTGTAAACCGTTGATTTCGTGCAGTGTTGTAATAAATATATATGAATATATTTACATAAATGCTTGCGAAAAAACGATTTTACTATGATTTTCTTTCACAGCTTTAGCCCATCAAAAGTAACTAAGAGAATAAGCAGCAGCCCCTCGTGACGTCAGCCCGCCCACAAAACACACTCGAAAGTATTGAAAAATGCAGACATTGTTTGGTTTTTAGCAACTCTCGTTTTTTGGTTATTGTTTATTGGATTTTTTACGCACCGCTGCAATGTTATTAACAGCCTTCGTTACTGTTAAGTCGTCACACTCTCTCAATATTTCTTTGTGGTTTCAATGAAAGTGAGCTACAAAGCTGCAAATTGAAATTCGTAATGATTTGATTTCATTGGAATTTTGTACGGAAACAAACAAAACTTTTGATTCTTAATGAAGCGAAAGAAAAAGAAAGGAATATATGTAAATCATAAATGGAAGATGAAATTTATGCAAAACAATTTATGAAATGAGTATGAGAGGGCTAGAGGGAGTGTGCGAGGGAGAGAGAAAGAGAGCAAGTTACATTATTTGCATTTGAGTATTTTTCGTACTGTTTTTACTTAAACTAAACTAGGCGTACAATAGATGTATTAACTATAGATACCACAAAATACAACTAAAACGAAAATTCAAGGGGGTAAAAAAGAAAAATCAAAAAGTAAAAAGAAGGAAATGAAAAAAATATCACCTTTTTATGTGTAGTAGGTCGTCGTAGTTCTCTCCCCAGCTGTAGCTCTCGTATGTGGCTTTGTTGCTGTCGCCGCCGCCGCTGCTGTTTGCTCTCCGAATCTCACTTTTGCCCCTGCTCTCTTCGTTGGTCTGCGCTGTCCCTTTCTTTCCCGTTGCCTTGCAGCGGAGCTTTGCTGCCGTCTCGCTTGCACTTGCGCTCCGCTGCTCTGCTACTGCCGCTGAATTCGCTGTTAACTTTATGCTGCTCTCTTTGCTGGTTTTTGTTGCTTGTTGTTATTTTAGATTCAGAATTTTTTTTAACCGCTTTTGTACACTTTGTATTTGATATTTCCTTAAGTTATTTACTTGTGGTTTGTTCTTTTTCGTTTTACTCCAAACTGAGATAACAATAAGAAAATAAGGGGGTCGTCTAAATTTGGAGCAAGCAAGCAGCAAAATGACTCGCGGCGAATTGTGTGTCAGGGCGAGAGCGAAAAACGCGGCGAAAACGAAACACTGGCATTGGCAATGGCAGCGGTTGTCGCCCGCCTGCACTTCAGTGTGTGAGTCGCGATAAACGCGAGTGAAACGGGCGACGCGGCGCAACTAAACCGCGTACCGACAAACACACACCACCACATACCGTCCATATACATATACGGGCGGGAGAGCGCATGCTCTCCGCCGCACACTCACGCTGTTTCGTTTTCTCCGCTTTGTGGCGCCGCGCGCGAGTTTTGTCGCAGCAGCAAACACGCAATAAAAGTTCAAAAACAGTTGAAGTATACCGCGACGCGAGTAAAAATCTTTCCTTCGACGTCGTCGCTGTTCGTTGTAGTAGTTGTTGTTGTTTCTATAGTGTGCTCTGTTCCGCGAATTTCATGTGCATTTATGTACATATATGTATTTATATATGCGTATATATTTATGACTAGTCAAAGGTAAAACAAAAAAAAAATAAGAACATGAAAAAGTTAAGAAAAATGTGCTAAATGTCTTGGAAACCCCCAGTATTTTTTCTTTTTGTTTAAATTAATCTGCATATCATGGTGTGCGGCGGCAGCAATTCATTTATTTTTGCTTGCTGAAGATCTTGCTTGCTCCAAATTTAAAAAAAATGTTGCTTATTGCGTTGCGTCGTCGGCTGCATTGTTATTATTAATAATAATGTAAGTAGAATCGGTACCAGAGAGGTGAATGTAGATGACCAAAATTCTGAGAGCACAAGTCTGAGCACACACGATACGTCTTCTTCGTTTGGCCGTTTCACTTTGAGCAGCGTGACCGTGGCGCGTCGTTAAAATATACCTCTGAACCCGCACTAAAATTGCCATAACGCGTTGCTGAATATACTACAAAAAAATACTGGAAAATGTCAGACAGAAAGCCATGTGGGGAAAACTCGATTGACGTGATTTGCCTTAATTTCTGTGTTCTATTTACTGCTTTATGTATAAATTTAGCTTCCGTATTTAAAGTAATTTAATAAATTGTTACTAACTTGCCACAAATAATATAACTAAATAATAAATAGAATGAAACCACAAAGTGAACATTGAGAAATGCAGTATTTCTGAAATACCAGATTTCGCTTTGTCGTGGACTCAAACCAAATCATCAGCTAAACAGCTGTGCTGTTATTGTACTTTCAATTAATCAACAGTTATGAATCTCATATTTAAATATTAGATTCGTTAAATTGGAGCTCTTAACAATTAAAAGCCTATTTAAATTATAACCGTCAGAGTCCACATGACGCATTAGCACAGATACAAACCCATGTGACAAAACAGCTGAGTGTATATATATTTAATACATATATTTATTTAAATTGCAGGATTTCCACGCCAACATTTTATTTATTCAAATACCCGCTCGATCCTATTTATATGACAATACATCTACAAAAATCAACTACAGTGATATAAAGTTGGTTAAACAAGGTTCAAGATATTGCATAAATATGATAATAAATGGGCACAAACTAACGGGCAGCATTAAAGGACGAAATTCGCTTTTTCTTCTGCAAAGATCACCTACAAACATAGCTGCCATGGTACAAGAAACTGAGATAAAAAGGTCAATGCCGTCAAAGAAATTTGAAACAGGTTTGAGCTTCCGGCAGAAGCACAGATTTAAAACAAATTATCTACAAACTAATAGCTGAGTAAGTGGAAAATTCGAACTGTTTTATTCCAATATTCTTGTGATTTATAGATACACCAGCATACGATATTTTCAAAAAATGGAGTGGAAGGGCAGTGAAACACGAAGTTTTTCTATAACTTATAAACTATGAAACTCACAAAAATTTAAAGTTATGCAAATGTACAAATTGAAATAAATTTTTTTTGAACTTTTTAACTATTTGTAAGCTTGAAACGTAATAAATATAAAATATATAATATTGAAATGTTTTTCACGTCTATTGGTTATTATTTTCAGCGTGGTTTTAAACCTTTGAATATTTAAGTATATTTGGCATATAGACGGTCCCACTTTTGTCGATGCTCTTAGAGATGGACAATAGTATCGATAGTATCGCATATAACCAAGCTTATCTTTAACGTATATCGATTTTATTTGTCAGTCGTTAATAGTTCTATCGGTGGAAACAGCTGTTTGTTTTTAATATCGGGGTAATTTAATATTATTTTAACAAGAGTATTTATACTAATTGGTAAACAAAAATAAACAAGTAGGTAATCAAATTATTCTGATGGCTTATAATATGTTGTACATACGTTTAGTTTCTTTTCTTAATTTGAATGTTATCGATAGACGAAGCCTAAGCATAAAATTTTATTTTGATATTTAAATTACATACTTTAAAAATCCAGGAGGCCTTCAGATACTGCACCGATATCCGAACCAAATCGAATAAGAGGCGAAAGAACTTGAACTGAACCGGTGGGAAATGATGTTTCCGGAGGTGTTTGTCTTGCTGCTGCTGGTAGCATTTAATGCCGGTTCGCCTTTGGGCAGGGATGACGAACTATTCCACGAAGAGCTGGTGGTTCGTCCATTGTCCGGCGATCATGTCAACACATATTTCCAGTTCACCACGCGTTGGCATTATGGGCAAAAGGAGAATCGTAAGTTACCCATGGGCAGCACCCAAGGCATCGTTTTATTCCAAATGGCGGGGATGCGGAGCACCTACATATAGTTCACATACATATGTAGTTTGCAAATTGCTTGGAAAATATTTAATTTCTGTAGTCTATAACTTTATCAACATGAATCCGATTTTAATGTGGCTTAAACCCTGCAATAAAATTTTTATTGTATGGTTTTTCATGGTGATCAAATTTTTGACCTCTTATTTAATTAACTTTCCAAATTTCCACTGACCTGCATTCATTTCCGAGTAGTAATCATCAAGAAGTTTGGAAGCTATATGATAATTAACCTTGTTAAAATTTCATTCAAACTTAGGGTTGATTAAAATTTCTTGCTTGTCCATCCGCTCTTTTAGTTTACCACACCCAGTTGACGCCCCGGGTGATTGCAGAGCTGCTGCAGCAATTTGCGGTGAAGGAGCTACACATAGGATTGACCCAGGGACTGTGGCGCTACGAGACGTGGGGCTATCCCATTGTCGAGGCCACTAGCGGTGCCGAGATGTGGGCCTGGTTCAGCGGCACGAATCTGACCAAAGGCGAGGTGGACAGGCAGTGGAAGGAGCTGGCCAATGTTTTCTCCGGCGTTCTGTGTGCCTCTTTGAATTTCGTTGACAATACGAACAGCATTGCACCGAGGCACTTGATCCGACCACAATTTATGCCCGCCAATGGCCAGAGATTCGTTAGATACTCGACCCTGCCGCGTGAAATTGTGTGCACAGAGAACTTGACGCCATGGAAGAAGTTACTGCCTTGCGGCAGTGCCTCTGGATTTGCTTCACTTCTCAATTCCGGACACGTCCACAACACTAAGTACCATTCGTTGGGGCTAAAGGTTCGGGTGTTGTGCGAGGATCATGACGAGGACAACTGCATCGTAGAGCTGACCCAGACGGCCAATTTGGTTTATGATCTTCGCTTATTTGAGCTGAGCAACAATGATTTCTCGCTGCGTCGTCTCTTTGGCATGGGATTGAATGGATTTTGTGAGCTGGCTAAAAGCTCTAAGATCTATGTACAGCGCAATGAGCAGGGCGAACGGTATCAACTGGTTCCGGCACCTTCGCACGAGGTAAAGAGCACTCGCGGTGGCCATAGTGTCGTCTATTCCGTCTACGATATGCAGGAACTATTCAAAGATGCCGGCGAACGGCTGTTCAATGTGGCCTGGTTATCCCCAAAGAGCGAGAACCGTCGACGGAATCTGGCGAAGCCTTCGTTGCCACCAGTGACAGTCCATCGATATCTCTTGGGACATGGCCAGGAGAGAGGCAGGATTGTCACCGAGGTAACAAATTCACATTACGATGCCTTGCCTATTATGGTGCAGGAGGTGATACCATGGTATGTGCACGCCTATTTGCACACCCTCTCTATTCGCCGGAAGCCTCAGCGCGTAAACGAATACGGACGCCAACGGTTGCCCTTCAAGCTGCTACATTATACGCCCGGAAAGCAAAGGGAATTGCCATCCCATCTAGAGATTGGCTTTATGCTGCCCGGCCAGACTTCCGCTCTAATTACCATCGATGTGGACTATCTGCTTCTGAAGTGGTTGGAGTATCCGCCGGATGCGAATCATGGTCACTATATCGGAGCCGCCATTGTGTCAAGCCAACTACCAATGGGCAGGAACTATACGGCTCTGCCGCCGGAAGGGCATCTCTTCGAGCATTCGTTCAATGCCACGCGACCCAGTTATGTGCTTAGTTTGCATACGGAGGCGTTGATTGTTTCCCTGCCCACGCCGGATTTCAGTATGCCATACAATGTCATTTGTTTGGCGTGTACAGTTGTGGCCTTGGCCTTCGGACCCATACACAGTGTGGCCACCAAGATGATTATTGTGGGCCGACAAACGTCGGCGCCCAAGAACTTTGTGAAGAAAATCTTTAATAAGATTTTCAGAAGGCGCAAGGCAGCCGTTGAAGAGGCTGAAGGTTCAGAAGTGCCAGCAGCAGGAGCTGGAACAGCAACATCTGGATCAACCTTGAGAGCATCACGACAATTGGGCGGGTCCTCAGGTGATCAGCCGTTGCTGGAAGATCTCGACGAGGAAGAGGAGGAGCAGGACTAGGTGATCACACACAAAAACAGCCACGGGAGTCGTGATAAGCTCCCACTGATAAAACACCTTGAAAAATTCCAATAAAATATATATTTGAAAACATATTCCTGAAACCGGCTGAAAATGATTTTATAAGATTATACAAATATTTGGGGTTATATATACATAGATAGTATTTTTAATTATCTAAGGTTTTCACGCGCTGTGAATGGACCTTCATAGGAAAATTCCTGAATATTTCATAAGAACGTTAAAACAGTTTTCTATTTTCTTAAACCCCCAAAACGTTTGGAAAACATAAATTAGATCATTTTATTTTGAATAAATGAAAAGAGGAATTGATATTATTCCAAGCTGAAACAAAAACCAAATATATGAAAAAATCTATTTAAATATCTATAAAACAATAACATAATTTATAAAATACTCTAAAATGTAGTTTTAGCTAACTTTAATACCATGTATTTTTTCCTATGAATAAAATTTACTTCTAAAATATCCCAAACACTAGTAAAGTAAGGAAACTAAAATAAATATCAAAATTAAAAACGCATGGTTAATGTTTTTAGAACCTTTTCAATTTGTTTTTATTTTGCATTTCGAAAATAGAAATTTCTAAATGCTATTTGATATACATATATCTAAATGTTGTCTCGATGTGGATCATGAAGTAATCGTTAATATCGAATCAGATTATATCAGATCGGATTAGAGCAGTGCAGAAATAGCCAGGCTCTTAATTAGAGCGAGAACGATTCTATATGTCTAGTGGAACTTTTGAAAATATTAAATTCAATTTTACATTGCCACAATGAGCTCCGAGAATATGTTTTCAAAATAATTTTACGCATCTTAGGATTACATTTTAACTAATCTTAAATAATTTCTTTATTTAATAAATAATTTAGATATTAATTTCGAACTTTTTTTTAGTGCAAGCAATGAATTGTAAAAGTTGTTAACAGCACTTACATATACAGTTTTTTATGTTTACATTTTAAATAGTTCCGATCTAATATAATTCAAGAACATGTTTTCAGGATTGTTGGCATTGTTATGTATATATGGATCTGCATCGAGAGTGTTCACTGTACACTGCTCCTTCTCCTTTTTATTCAAATTTCCAATGGATTACAAAATTCACCGAATCGTTTTGCATCATTTCCATTTGATTTTCTTATTTTCTGTATATAGAATATATATTCTCGGTTTCCGTATTATTTAAAATGTTTATGATTTATTCATGTTTTTCGCTTGCTATTTATTGTTATTAGTTTTACTTTAAATAGTAAATTTAAGCTTATCATATAGATATATGTGCTGATTTTACAAATTACATTATTCACCAAAAAAAAAAAACTACTGGAAGAAAATGGGGACCAAGAATAATTAACTGTAAAATTGCTTCACAAAAAATGCATGAACTTTAAAAACAGACATCTACAAAAATACAAAAAAAAATATATATATGATAGTTTAAACAGTTAAGGGGTTATTAATTTTAAAACATGCACTATTCTGCTGCTTCCTCGTCCTGTTCTATAGACTTAGACTTAAGTTTATATATATATTTATGTATAAATCGTTTAGAATAATCGTTTTTTAAGAGGAGCGGAACCTACTTAAGAGAGAGAATTAATTATAAATAATGGGATGGGTCGATTACTATGGATTTTTAGTACAGATTGGAGAGGGCCATTATAAATAATAGAAACTTGGGTAATTCTATGAAAACCCCTTCATTTATGTTATACAATCCAATAGCTCACAATTCTTAAGAGACGACACGGTTAATTACAATTCTAAATGACGAATCAAAATACAAAGTTATTCCCAATTGATCTTTGTTTCGGATTTGCTTTCAGCGTTTTAAAACGGAAATGAACGCTATTGATTTGTCGATCTATCCGATCCTTAGAAATCGACCCACCCATTTTTGTCTGGTTCTTGGGCCTAGGACACTGATTTCTTGTTCGCTTGCGCATTTTAATCTGCTTACCTAATCCTAAATCGCTTTTCCTTTCTTGTTCTAGAGTCTATACCTACTGTTTCGGTTCGTTTTCTATATTTTTTAGCTCCTCTTCCATCTATCACCGAAACATCTAAAATGTTCTTTTCTATTTATTTTCAGCTCAATTGAAATTTGAGGAAAGTGCTGTATTTCTATTTAGGGAACCCTGAATTTTCATTTCTGAATTACATCTCATCTAATCTTAATTTTTCGTTCGTTTTTTCTGCTACTTTTAGTCTTATGCTAACTTTTCTTGTTCTCCTAATCGTAATTCCTACGTGTTTGCGGGTTTTCCTTTACCGCTAATCGTAGTCCTCCTCCTCTATACTCTGATACAATATTCTTAATTACTTTATCTCAATCTTTTTATAATCTGCCCGTCTCCCGCTCCTCCTCGTCTTCGTCCTAGTTATACTATTACTCCCGCTGCACAACCTTATTCAGCTGGTTCAAATCCTATTCGGATTTCCTTGTCTCGCAAGGCAATTGCTGGCGGTCAGCCTGTGATTCCTCTCCAGGTTCCTGCTTCAACCAGCGATTTCCAGCCGAAAATTACTTGTTATGGAGACAGCCAGGTGGCAGCGGCGGTAATAGGCTATCCCTTCCTCATTGAGGCGGCTGTTGACTGTAGTAACCGTATGCGCCTGTAGGTGGTGGCCCTTGTGGTGCTCCTGGTGGAGGCATTTGTGCCCCAGCTGGCCTATAGCCCTGATAGCCCTGCGTGGGCGGATATTGTGCATAGCCACCTGCTTGGGGTGGTTGATGGTACGCGTGCCCGGGATACGCACTACCTGGTGGTGGCGGCCCATAGGCTTGTGGCGGCGGTGGTCCTCCGTATGGACCTTGTGGAGCTCCCGGCGCCGGTTGGTATTGATTCGGTGGCATCGGCGGTGTAGCTCCATTAGGAGGCGGTTGCTGGCTGCCCTGACCCTGTGCATTGGGTGTTCCTCCGCCGCCAGCTGATCCTCCAGCCGATGGTGGTGCCTGTTGTTGCTGTTGTTGTTGTTGCTGCTGCTGCTGCTGATTGGGCGGCGGAGGGGCACCGGGCTGTTGATTGTAATTGCCAGGAGTCGAGTAAGTGGGCTGGACTTGTGTTGGCAGCGGCGCCACACCGGAAACTACCACTCCTGGTGGTTGTTGTTGCTGTTGCTGCGGTGGTCCCGCATATTGCTGGCCAGCTCCACCAGGTCCGCTCGGCCCCGTTCCACCACCAGCTCCTCCCTGCGGTGGCGGCGTCGATTGCTGTGCGTTGGGACCATTAGGATTTGCGTTGCCACCGCCAGCACCGCCGCCTCCTTGGGGTGGTGGCGTCTGACTCGGCGCCGTTGTGCTGTACGCTCCACCCGGTGGTGGTGGTGGCGCCGCTCCGCTAGTGGGCGGTCCTCCCGGATAGCTACTTCCCGGCGGTGCACCCGCTCCGCCTCCAGCTGCCGCCTGTTGCTGTTGTTGATAGGCTTGATATGGACTTTGAGCGCTGCTCGTAGGTGGTGGCGGTGGCCAATAGCCACTAGGTGGAGGCCCTCCTCCCGCTCCCGCCTGACCATACTGACCAGGATTTGGTGGATAGCCCGCATAGCCCATCGGGGGCGGTCCTCCAGCGGGATTCTGTGGTGGCGGCGGACCGTATTGACTTTGCGGCGGGCCTGGTGGCGGTTGCTGTCCACCGGTTGGCGGTTGACCTGGTGGTGGAGGTCCCGGCGGCGGTTGCTGTTGTCCTGGTACCGGTGGAACCTGCTGGCTACCAGGTGGCGGTGGATATGCGCCTGGTGGTGGTCCTTGTCCGGCTCCGGCATTTGTCTGATAGCCATGCCCACTGGCTCCCGTCGCCGCACCGGCTGGGCCATGATGGTAGCCACCTTGAGCTGCATTTGGGGGCCCCGGAGGCGGTGGGCCATAACCCTGTGATGGCGGTCCATAGGGATAGGCACCCTGCGGCTGGTACTGCGTCTGTGGCTGTGGTGGATATCCAGGATAGTGACCGTGCTGTTGCTGCTGCTGCTGGTAACTAACACGATACGGGCTCTGTGGTGGCGGTACACCGGGTCCTCCGGCTCCCGGCTGTGGTCCTGGTCCACCAGGACCTCCCTGCTGTTGCTGATTGGGCGGCTGTTGGCCTCCAGGTTGCGGTTGCTGTTGCTGGGGATTCTGTGGTCCGGGAAGGGGTCCATTGTTCGGACGCTGTTGATCTGTAAGATGAAAAACGTATTTTTAAAATGAGAGAAATCATAAAGAATAAAAATTCCACAAACTGTCCTATTTTAAAAGTGAGTTATCAATTGAAAACAAAATTTAATAATGATTTCAAAATATATTCAAGAAATCAAGGATCACAGGTCATCGAAAAATCAAGTTCCAGTTTATGTAATCAAAAATCATTAAACAAAAATTCCATCCACGTATGTTCTTCATTTACATCCATTAACTGGTCAACATTACACTTACTGGGCGCTGCATTCGGATTAATAACGGACTGACCCGGTCCTTGACCCTGACCAGGTCCCTGGCCAGCTCCCGGTTGTCCCTGACCCTGGGCGTTACGGTAAACGGGATGCTGTTGCTGTTGTTGTTGTTGCTGTTGCTGTTGTGACTGCGGACCGGCTTGGCTGACCTGCGGTCCTTGCTGTTGTTGACCAGCTGCTGCTGCGGCTGCTGCTGCTGCTGCTGCAGCCGCCGCTGCTGCCTGCTGTTGTTGTTGCTGTTGCTGCTGCTGTTGCTGCTGCTGCTGCTGCTGTTGAGATTGCTGTTGGGCACCAGGAGGCAGGCCTGGATGTGGTTGCGGCTGCTGTTGCTGCTGCTGTGCACCATAGGGCGGCATTTGGACGGGCGGACCCTGAGGATCACCGACGTGTTGCTGCATGCCCATTTGCGGTGGTCCCTGACCAGGTTGACCCGGCACCGGACCTTGCCCCGGCTGCTGTTGCTGCGGCGGACCACCCAGCATACCGTGCGGTCCAGTTGGCGGTGTTTGCTGGCCGCCCTGTTGCATCGCCTGCGTTTGGAGGATGTGCGGTGGCTATAGGAAAAGAGGGCACATAAGTGAATGTCTAAATAGAACCCTATGTCATGGTGAAAACCAATTCTAAGCTGATAGCTGAGTAAACCTTTCTTAAGGTGATGAAATAAGGTAATAAAGGTTATGAAAACTGTCGAAAATCATGGAGGATATCAACTTTAATGACTTTAAGTTAAGATTATATCATCGTTATATATAGTTTCTACACACCGGCAGTATTTGTGAGATGTTCATGGCAGGATCGGCCAGCTGGGCAAGGTAAACCAAATTGCGATGCAATGCGACATGGTAGGACATACACTCCTGCGCCTTGCCCATGCTCTGGAAGTCTTGAATCGTCTGGATTAGGCCGCAATTCTCGTCGAGCATCTTTTGGATTTGAGCGGAGTTCACCTGAGGCGGAACAACACCACCACCGCCACCGCCTTGCAGATTGGAGCCACCGCGTGGTGTGGATGGTGGTGTGACCATTAGACCGCCACCGGGTATACCACCACCTCCGCCACCACCACCCGAGATTATGCCACCCGGTGAACCTGGCACACCCATAGGCGGACGTTGTTGTTGTTGCTGCTGCATGCTCATGGGCAGAACACCGCCTCCACCGGGTCCGCCCATTCCTACCCCGCCACCACCGGGACCTCCCCCACCTCCTCCGCCGGGACCAACTCCAGATCCAGGAGGCTGTTGATTGGGCACAGAATTTGGGGGCGGTTGCTGCAATTGTTGTTGCTGCTGTTGTTGTTGTTGTGGCGGGGGAGGCTGCTGCTGCAGTTGCTGCTGCTGTTGCGGCTGCTGCTGCGGCGGTTGCGGTGAATAAACTGCAGACATTTTACTGGCTGCAGTCTTCTTCTTCCGCTTAGGGGTTTTCTCCTGTTTTTCCACAATTTTAGCGGTTATATTCGACCGTTGGGGAAAGGAAAATTTTCGCAGTGTGCGGCGTTTTCTTCACATACACACACACTCGCTCACTCGCACACACACGCACACGTACACGTACACGGGGAAGAGTTTTTTCTAATTTTTATTGTTGGTTTGCAGCCAACCGAAAAAAGCCGGCTGTGTGAAAAAGCAAAGGTTTTTCTTCTAGTCACAACTGCAATATGACGGGTTTCATAAGTTGGCACTGGGAAATAACATATTTCTCGTTAATTTTCCCGAATTTTTTTTCGCAAATTGCATGGAACGGAACGGAACGACGCTTAAAACGATGGCACGGGCGGCTCAGGCCGATTAATCGGTCGAATGCACGGTCAAGCCAATCGCTGTTAGTTAACAGCCGTACGATAAACTCTGTTAAAATATGTGGACAGAATAATCAATAAAACATACCTGCATCCACTAGACTTAGAGGCAGTATAAAATACTGATGAAAAAAGTTTGTTTAAAGTTATTTTTGGTATATATTACAATTAAGCTTAAATGTTGTTTGCATGACATTCTGGCTTGACCGTACTAGGCGCCACCAACATGGCGTTCACTTTGCTAGCCAAGTGTTGTAAAATGACGTTTTGCATTTCTGGCCAAAAGTGCTGTTTTTAGCTATATTGTAGCCAAGTTAGTTAACGTTAATAGACTATACATGAAATAAAAACATACTTTTACATGTTTTTTCTTCCTTGCTCAAGATAATGTGATGCTTTACTATGCAATTATTGTTTACATAGTTTAAACTTTAAAGTCGTTCTTACAAGATATATACCTATCCTTCTTAACTAGCTAGTTTTTTTTTAGCAATATTTTTTTAAATACTTTTTGGCGGGCTTAACAGGGTGATGTGTGCATAGCATAGCAAAACAAAACAAAGATCTTAGAAAGATCCGTTATCTTCTCTCTCACTGACTTCAAATTGTCGTTGCCGTTTTGAGGTTCTCATTCTTGAAGCGTCTTCCTTTTGAGTAACACGCATAACTTTACTTTGCTGTTACAAATTGTCAAAACAATACATAACAAGTGATCGCCACACTATATTTCGAATTTGGCACAATATATCTTCTACATATATTGTTTAAATGGTAAATTAAAATATTTTCTATGCAAATTTGTAAAAGGCGCATCGCGGGAGTACTGGAGAAGTGGAAGTGCACGTCTTCATATACATACGTACATATCTATGTATATACTTATATGTGAGTATGTGAAGTATGCATAATAAATATATACACCTGTAAAGTTAAAGTAGGGGAAATGGAATGCGTCTTGGAAGTGTGAATTGGAAATAAGAATTGGAACTGCGAATACGATTTGGAAACTTGGAGCAAGGAGCAGGGAACACATGCAACAAATCCCAATAAGAGCCTTCCATGATATGGGAAATTAAGGTTAGTGACTCTAAAATATATATGTAGTTATGCAAGGCTATTTATTTCCATATCGTAACGTTTCTATATAACCGTAATTTCTCCCTTTTTTCTGATGCTCCTTTTTGAGAAATCAATTTCGACATGGAAAGAGCATGAACATAATGGTACTTCTTGAATTTCTCTTATTTGTGTGGTTGTTAGTTGGCTCTTATTTAATTTTTGTAAATGTTCAATGTACATTGTACATCTATGTATCTACATAATATTCTTTTTTTTCATTTCTTTAACTTCGAATGCAAAGAAAAATTTGCGTTACATTATTATTCCGTTTTTCCTTATTTAACTCAGAAATAACTACTTAATCTAGAAAGCTTTTCGTAATATGTGGTATGAAACCCATATGTTTTATGATGTCGCTTAAGCATTTTGGGATATTTTGAATAATTAGTTTGGTGTATTTGTGGTTTTTTAAGCTTATATTGACGATATCGGTGCCTTATGTACACGGCGGTCCAGTTCACTAGACAAATTCTCAATAAAATTGAGATCAGGTTATTTGAGCTGCGATTTGGGAAGACTTTTGGACAATTATGAAGCAGTCAGGAAATCCCACTATGGGCCTTGTGCAATGTGGTATTTTGCTGATACAAACTGAAAGTGTCCCCTATATTTTCTTCGCCGACTGCTTTAAATATATGTATACGATCTTATTATGACACTTTGGTTGAAGTGTATGTTCATATGTATGTCCGTATATATGTATGTATACCCAAAGTAGGGTTTCACACATTTTTAAGAATACTTGGTACTTGTAAGCCAATGCTAAAAAGTGCTCAGCTATTTTTTCCTGTGATATGTTTTATTTTTTTTATCTTTGTATAAGCTTTATTTTAAACGGTTTGAATAGGTTTCTTAATTCTGATTTCCACAGATAATCACCAGAACCATAACAGAATTGGTTCTATAATTTATTTAAGTTCCTTTTGTTTTTTGAAAAAGTTTTTGTCGAGTAAAAGGAGAAAATAACATATAGTCCGGTTTGCCGACCGATTCAAGCCGCCTAATGCGAATTTGAAGTAGGCCAACATATGTTGTCATGTCTTGTCTGCACTAAATAAAATGCAACTTTTCGCCGGATTATGCGCATGTGAGTAGAACACGGAATGACTTTTTTCTGCTATTTCGCTGTGGCAACTGTTTCTGCGTGTGCATAAGTGTATGAGTTTGAGTACGTGCACTGAGAGAAATATTAGAACTATTTATAAATATTTATATGAATTTTAAGACAGTACAGTAAGAAGAAACTAAATCACAAGATGTCCCACTTATTCAAACTATAATTTTGGATTCTATACCCACAACTAAAAGCTTAATTCAACTAAAAGTGTAAAAAGGGGCAACAAAAAATGTTTTAAGACACATTTTTAGATGGTATAAAATCTTTAGCCTTTTAAATTCTAATTTGGGTTAAATATGAGGTTTTTTTGGTTGCATTTCTTCGTTCTCTGCATGTGTTTGCCTGCAGCTTTTCACTTTATTCATGCATAAACTTGCCTGAGAAAGTTTTCGCGTGGCAAAAAGTTGCCACGGGATTTGCTTGGGTAGCACTCATACCCCGGACCTCCCCTTAAAGAACACCCCATTTTTGGACACATGCAAATAACATATCGATGCTGCTTTTTCAAATAAACCCCAACCAGTCCCGCAGCCCGATGCCATACCCCTTTTTGTGGCTTTCGCCTGTCGCCTGTTGTCCTAGAGGGGATTTAGTGGCATTGGCGGAACGTGCTGCTGCACATGCATCAATTTGGGCGCCACCGCAGCCTCCGATTTCCCAGGCCCTTAACCTCTTTAACCCCCTTTGCCCTTTATAACTACCTCTTACCCACCCCCACAACCACACGCACATTAACCCACTGTCTGCCCACGTTACAAATGAGTTCTTCTTTTACTGTATTCTATTAATATTGTTAGCTTTAAAATGCTATCACATTTTGAGTTTTCGAATCAGAAAAACTCTTTAAATTTAATCAGATACATATATACAAATATTTTAGGTAATTATAATGTAATATATAATGTATCCCAATGTCAAGGGTTAAAACAAAGTAAGGGGCTTGAAAAAATTATGTGCAGGCTTTATAAATCATAAGTTGAACATAACGTTGCCCTGCATTTGATTCCTGTTGATTAAAAAGCCACAAAATTAAATTTTATGCCATAAATCGTTGGTCTTTCCTCTCTCTCATTCTTTTTACCATAAATTATATAAATTTGTTTGTAAATCTGCCTGCAAATAATTGCAAATTGCGGGTTGACATGAATATTTAATAAATTTCTTGGACCTATTATTTATTTTGATGATTCGTAAATTTCTTTAGTCTTTTTTTTGGACTTAAATTTATTTGTTTTTCTTCAGTGTCGACCTATGACTATCACTTCATGACAAATTTTTTTAATATATTTTATTGATCGCCAGTTTACCTTTTACATGAAGGTAACAAATTGAGTTTTGTAACTAGAAAATAATGCAAATTCCCCTCATGTTTGAAAATTGCATACATATTTATCCAATGATATTTTACTTTGGCTTTAACTTTTCGCCAGCAACTTTCGTAATTTTCTCCAACATTATTTATTTATTTTTATTTTTTATGCATTTCTTGTGCACATCCCCCTATGGCTTTGATTACATAAATTGCGTATACGCAGTGTGTGTGTGTGTGTGTGTGAATGTGCTAGGTGGTAGGTAGGCAGGTGGTGTTTTGTGGCCTCTCTTAGGTGTAACATGTGTGCCAAGGTGCAAGAAAAAAAAAGAAAATATTATAAAAATGGGCAAAAAAAAAAAAAGAACCGACTCAAGGCCAAAACACTTGACTAGAACGAGATGGCACCACAGACAGTCAGACATGAATGGGCGTCGGTTGAAAGAGGGAGGGTTTAGGTCTGGGGGCGAAGTGGTTTTGGTTAACGGGGGCGTGGTAGGTGTGCGTGTGAACCACCGAGAGGTGCAAAGTAGTTGCCACTTAAAAGGCGCAAAAAAAAAAACTTCAAACAAACAGCAGCCAAAAAGCTTTGAAGGGTTTTCCCTTTCTTTTTTTTCTCTTTCCCCCCCTGCAGCTGCTACCGCTTTTCTTCTTTTTTTTTTCTTTTGCTCTTCGAGGTGAGGTGGCGGGTTCGAGGGGGCGTGGCAGGCGGTTAGATATGAGCTGGGTTTGTTGCTTTAGGCCATTGACAGTAAATCTGTTCAAGATGACTTGCCGGAAAGTATGCAAAAATGCAAGTAAAGAAATACACTATGAAATGTAGCAAGAAATATTGTATAATAGATATAAAATACATAGAAAAAAATTTTTATAATATTAAAGAAATAAAATATTAATAAAAATTATATTTTAACCTGAAATTTCTAAAAGTTTCATCATATTGTTATAATTATCTTAAAATTACATAAATTTTCATCGGAAAGTACTTACTTTCTACTATTGGTTTTCTTTCTCTGTATAAATACTGCGAAACTTTAGACTGTGCATGCACGAACATGCAAGAAACAAGGGCTGCAGAGGGCGCCAGTTGACAGACATCAGACAAATGTGAGCCGACAGTGATATGGCATCAATGGAAAAAAATAAAAACAAAATCCGACAGAAATATGCAAATCATTGTGTATTTATTTTACAAGAAAATGTTTCAGATTTCATTGATATGATAGAACACATGAAATGAAAGCTTCAATGGGTCTATCACACAAATGTGTATGAGCATTTCAATTAGTATAATTTGATTAACAGAATAAATAGGATGCATTCATTAATTACAGTAATGTGCATTTAGTAGGAGGTAGATTTTTTTATGGTAATCAACTTATTATATTACTTCTAGTAATATTGGTTTAATGTTTATTTACAATTCTCCATAGATCCACTGCAGTGTCAATTTGGGTATGAAAGTGCTACATATAATGTTTTTCAACTGTCAACTGTTTTTTTCGCTCAGTTTTAAAGTAACAGGTTTTTTTTTTATCTGTTTTGAGGCATTGACTTATTTAAAGTGTTTTAAATATTTAATTGTTCTCTGTTGGTTTGAAGCCTGGCATTTAATATTAAAGAATCAAGCTAAAAGCTTAATGTTCGGCATACATATTTAATAATTTTTTTAATTTCACTGTTCTTTTTATTTTTTTTTACTCTTTGAAAAAATATGTGTTTTTTGGTTGCACTTTTTGTGCCTTTGAATTAAATTGCTCTCCCTTTCTCTTGAGCTTTCTCTTTTATTTTCTCTACGTGCGAGTGTTTGCTAGTGTGTGTGTGTGTGTCTGGCCACATTGTTGTTCCTTCTACTTCTGTGGCTGCTCTGCCATCATTGCCACCATCATCATGATGATGATAATCATCATCATCGTCGTCGTCGCGGGCGCCTGGCAACCCTGACCTGAATTTAACTCTAAAATTTGTGCGAGCTCTGGTATTTTACTTTTTCTACTTTTTTCTACCTCCTTTATTTCTGTGCGGCAAATCAGTAAGCGCGTGTGTGAGTGTTAATTTAATATTTGTTTCTGCAAAACAAAAAAAAAAAACGAAAAAAAGAGAGTTAATTTAAAATTTTTCTAGTTTGTTGCACTATGTATGCTTGGAATGTTGCGAAATAGGCAAAAGTAATTCAATTTAAAAGAATGTCGGAATATGAACATGTAGAGTTTATTTTAATAATGGATTTCTTAATCTTCAGATAATTATACCTATTAAAAATACGAAAATTTCTTCAAAATAAGAAGTTACCCTTTAAAAAACTCTATATGTATATTCTTTAAAATGCATGAACATAGCATGGCCAAATTGCTTCACAGTAAACCTACATTTTAAGCTCAAAAGCAAAGAGCTAAAATATCCACATCCCACATCGTAAACACGTCCAAGCAACTCAGTTGAAGCAGTTTATTAATAAGTGACCAAGCGGTGTCATAAGCAGTTCCTTAATTAGGGACTTCAACTCCCTGGTAAGCAAACAATCCGGCATCCTTTTTCCTGGTCTTCTGGACTGTTGTCCTAGTCGAATCTGTCACAAAAATTCCCCAACATCGTGGTAAAGGAGCTTAAACACAGCTCAGATCGCCAGCTCATGGCATTTATGCTTTGTGCTGATGTCTTCCGCTCCTCCTTCTTATTTTTATATTTCTCTGGATTTTCCATGAGTTTTCCCCCAAACCATTTTCCGTTGGCATCGCCAGTTCCATAGTTCCATTCCCTTGTCAGGTATTTCAGCTTGTTGTTTGCTGCAGTTATGTATTTAACTGCTACACACACACACAAACATACACATTGAAGCCGCCCCCTTCGAATCCCTTGGCTAGTGGTAAAGGGCCATGTCAACTGGCATACGAAACCAATTTCCTTTTTATGGCAAATGAAATGAAAATTTGAAATGACCACAAAACCGGAGAGAGAAGAAAACTCTAGAAGGTGGAAACGGAATGTAGGGGAGATAGTGCACTTGAAAAAAGGAAATGGACATACATTTCTAACTAACTTTCTTTTGCGACATTTCTCCACATTATTTTCTATTACTATTTTTTTTTTTTTTTTTACAAATTTACTAAAATGTGTATTAATTTTCAATATGACTAAGGATATACAATCAGAATAAATAATGCAACTGTTTAGATCAGAGTGTGAGGTGGGACAAAACGGGGTCCCTAGAAGGTGGAGGAATATCTGGACAGGAAACGGGCACTCGGACATGATGTGACATTGTACTGGAATGGCACTCGGTCTGCTGCTAACTGCTTACTGAATATATATATATATATATATATTTTGGGGTTTCCGGTGATGTGAGGATAGACACATTAACGATGAAAAGTAGCTGAAATAACTGAATTAGCCATGCACCGACAGCTCAAGGAATTCCAGAATCTCCCTTTCTCTCTCTCTCGTCATTTCTAGCTAAATGGTTATGTATAGCATTGTACTACTTTGAACATTTAAACAGCTGCTGCTGCTGCTGTATCCTCTCCAAGTTGCCCTCACTTATTTTTTTTTTGGGGTCAACCAAGCAATCTACCCGCAGCGGCTTTGCGGTGGATTTATTTTATTGCCAAAAATGAGAAACCAACAAAAAACATGGCAAATGAGGAGAGCCCATATAAGTGGCGTTGTTTTTACTCTTAACATAAACATTAGTCAACTTATAATAAATAGGAGTAGATATTTACTTTGGTTAGAATAGGCTATATTTTTTATATATAGAAACTTGTAATAATATATTGCTCCTTAAAATATTTTTACGGTTTTTATGGAAGTGTTTTCATTCACCTATTTTTTTTGTATCTTTCGATTTCTGTAATACAATTTTCAAAGTTGATAAGACATTCTAAAGAGTATTACTAGATGAAGAAACAACGCACCGAAAACCCACGAATTTGGGATAAGTTGCGGTAGTCCCGGCCAAGTTGCCATATTGTGTGGTTTTTGCCTTTAATCCTTTCGCCAACTCTTCTAACTAACCTAACGAAATCCTTGTTGTGTCCTTTTTTGGGTGTCTTGTTCTTCGGAAAAGCGGTGCGCAGCTCATAAAACGCCGTACATATGCGCATTTCATTTAATTTGATTTAATTTTATTGCCTTTTATGTACGTTGCTGCTTGGCTGCTCTTCGCTGCCAAAAAAAATCAAGCAAAAAAAAAAAGAAAGGAAAGTCGAACAGGATATGCCACATTGTGTTGGAATTAATTTAATTTGATTTTTATTTATTTATGCCAATGGAAATTGGTTTTTGTTTTGAGTCAAGGCAGCCAAGCAAGCCAATTTAGAGAAATCCAAGGGAAATGCCCAAGCATAGATGTAGTGGAATTGCGTAGGGTTTATTTAACAAGTAAAATTCAAACTTTGAATATCAATTAGGCTTAAGACTTAAGTCAATTAAAAATATTATTAGTTTGCACATTAAAAAAGATTTTCTATATTGTTTTGTTTTGTGTTTAAACTTAAAATAATAGATAAAATTGCCAATTTAAATTATTAAATGTATTATTTAATTACTGAAAATTATTTGGTTTGGCTGAATAAATTTAAGACTTTATTTTAAGGTAACTAGTTTCCCTATTTGAAAAAGCATTTCTTTCAATTTTTCTTTTTTGCTTAGCCATTGTACAACTGTCAATCCATTTCAGCCAAGTCAGTCAGCCAGTTAGCCTAGATCAAATGTTGAACTGCTTTTGTTGTGAAGCCTGAGCCTATTTGTCTGCCAGTGTCTTGCGTTTTTCGTTTTTTTCTTTGGTTTTCCCGGTCTTGGGAGAACTGTAGTCATCGAGTCCGTTTATAGGGCCAGTCATGTGGCACGCATCATCATTTATCAAACAACGCGGCAACATTCGCAGGGCTGACAACAAGCCAAAAACCATCCTCCAATCTCTCCAAAACTCCGAACTTGCGCCACCACCCACAAAAGTCGTCGCCGTTTTCTTGTCGCTGTCGCTACTGTTTTTTCCTACTGCTTCACTTTTTTTTTTTTCGCTGTAAGGTCTTCTAAGTTTTCTTGGGTTCTTTATTGTTGTTGTCGACGCTTATCGTGGCCGTTTGACATTGATGAGCTAAAGTACAGTGGTAATAATATTTAAGAGATTTTCCAGTGAAGCCTAATAATTATATTATAAATGGCACGGTAAATATTATGTTAGCTATAAGTACTATATTGACATCCTTTTCTGACATAGCATAGGAGAACGAAAGAGCTGTGTCATCCTTGTTTGCATGCTAATGAAGCGGTTGTGTGATTAGCCTATGCTGATTTTTAATGATTAAAATGTCTTGTATATTGTGTTCTATTAAACGGATAAGTTAGAAACGTATTTTTGTTTCAATTCATTTAGCTTTATTCGATTCCAATAGTTCATATTTATGATCGGAATCTAAATTGTATAGAAAATGTTTTCTTGGTTATGATTCCACTGCCTTTGCAATGGATTCCACTGTACCTACACCAACGTCTGTTGATCCTGTCATGTAACGGTTAAATCTGCATGAAAAATTAATGCTGTGTTGTTGATACGGGGAAAACAGTAGGAGATGGGGTGCCGCATATCTCTATGTCTACGAGTTGTCGTGTGTTGAAATTAGCATAGGCTTGCGGTACAATTCTAACCACAATTCGCCAGAACTTTTATAGCATTCACTCTCACTTCTAACTATGTAACTCTTTCCCTTTTTATTTGTGAGCTTATTGTAATCATTTGATTACGTATGTTTTTTCAATATTTTATTGTAGTGTTAGATTCACCGTTACAACAGATTTAGCTCTCTCAATCTCTTTCACTCTCTAATGGGACAGTAGTATAATGTAGGCGAAATAGCGGTACAAAGTTAATACTCAGTAGCTGGGTCGCCATGGGGGGTAGGGAAAATGAAACTGACGCCTCTTTTGTGCCGTTTGCGAATGATACACAGACGTTGACGGCGACGGCGACTGCGACTGCGACAGCGGTTCGTCTGCTTCGTGTCGCTGCAGCAGGGCTGCCGCTGCGCCATTAACCGTTTCGCGCCGAAAGCCGAGCAGCGAGTTACCGCTATGGGAGTGCTGCTGCTGCGCTGCCAGCGCCAGTGTCGATCGGCGTGTTGTCGTTTCTGCAGCTCCTGCGACTTCCGCTTCCTTTCCCGCTCGTCGCACAGCTTCCGCTCCTCCACCTTCTCCTGTAGTCACAGCACCAGTCGGTGCTCCTTTTGTGGTCGTCCTAACGGCCTTTCCCTTTTGCGTTGAGGTCGGCTGTGCAGCCTTGGACGCCGGCTGCGGAGTACGCTTTAAGTGCGCCGTTACTGGAGCTGCTGTAATAGGTTAAGATAGAACTTCAGTTAATAGAGATTCCGTTGAAATTTTCTGTTAGGTACACAACATAAACTTTACTATATCCGCTATAGGCGTTACTTAGGGTATCGTCCATTTTAGTTACTTGCCTGCTACTTTTGAAGGTGATCCTTTAAAAACTTTCCTTCTCATTTCTGATCCATCCGTTTTAGACCCCGCTAATTTTGCTTCATTTAACTTGGGAGCTTTAGCACCCGATGTGGCTGCATTGCGCTTAAGTATTGGTCGGTTAGTCGATTTATTGGAGCTTGGTATCGAACCACGGTGGCTCTGCAGATTGGACGTCTGCCTTGACACCTCTTCCGTCGTAGTATTTTGGGATTGCTGCGCCTGTTGGTGCAGGATCTCTGCCTTGAGAATCTGCTGCTGGTTGCGGAAGGCACGCTTGTAGGCCGAAACCTGTTTTCAGGTTAACAAATATTCATATTATTTTAGATAATATATTTATTCAGTCATTTTTAAAGTATTAATTACCTGCGAGGCACTCGCCACTAGCAGCTGATTGGCTCCTTTGAGATGAGCGGGAGTTCTGGCGGAAGACGTTACGGCCCTGACCACACGTTCACTTTTCTCAATTGGTATCCTAACTGGCTTCTTATCCTGCGTTTTATCCTTGTACAACCTCTTGGTAGTAGTAGTACGGTCAAGAAGTTGGTGCTCTTCGGATGGTAGGAAGAAGGATCGATGGCTGGAGCGGCTCACCTGATTGCTGGTCACTTTGGTCACCCGTGGCTTGTCATGTTGGATTTTCTGTTGCATTGTCGGCGACTTTTTCATCATGATATTGTCCTTGATCGTATGCTTGATATTGTCTTTAATCTTGAAGAGGCAGTGTGCCAGATCCCCGGCCGTCGGGTCATCCACTTCGGGCGAAGCTTGAAGACTTCGCTGCTGCAATTGCAGACGGCGCAAGGGTGTCAAGGTGGCTCGACTTGGCTCATCTTGGCCATGAAGTGTTTTAGAAAATGATTCCGTGGTGGCTTCTGATGCGCCACCGGTAGGGGCTCTTAAGGGCTCTGAATTAACTCTTTTAGATTTTAAAGCTGATGATCCCCCGTTTGAGCAAAACGTTTTCCACGTTTCAGTAAAGATTCCACCGCTTTCATTGCTTTTGTTTTCATTTGACATTAAATTTTTTTCTGCTATTGTTAAAGTTGATCCAAACCCGCTCCCCAATGAGCTACTTGATCTGGGGTACTTGGGCCAATCTTCTGGTGTTTCAACCCAATCGCCCGAGGTAACTTCTGAACTTTTTGAATATCCAAAATTGACTCCCGGAATTTTTTCTGAATTTTCTGTGATACGAAAAGGTGGTATAAATAAAGGTTTTTCCACTAGTTTTTAATTACGTATAATATTTGGAAGTGTATTTATATGAGGCATACCCTTATTCCTTCCCAAAGTATTTGCGTAAGTTATTATAGATGGGCTGCTCCTGAAACTAGTTCGCGAACTACTGTCTAGGCTAGATCCTCGCGTTGTTCGGCCGATTAATTGAGGGCCTTTTGGGGTTGCGAGTCGCGTTATAGGTCCCAAGGATTCCATCAACTGATCTGCTCCGGACACCAAACTCTTGCTCCGTTGGCGATAGTTGGAGTGTAGGATATTGTGAAAGCTGAGTTGACGCGGCTGTTGAGTCACCTGAAGACGTCGAATTGTGGCCTTTTTGGTGGTGTTTTCGATTCGATGTCTTGGCGAATCCCTAAAAGTAGTAATGGCTCGCTTCTGATTCCGATTGAAGGCATAACTGGCGACGGGTCCATCGGCGAACTGGATATACTCGAACTGCTTGACGCGATCGCCCAAAGTCTGGAAGCGGAAGCGCATCTCTGTTGGATTGCGACCGTTTCCGGTGATCGGGCTGCCGTTTCTGGTGGATCCAGTGCTTAGTTTGTGACCCAGTTCCGTCTTGTTTCGCCGCCCATCCTTCAAGTGATTTATCACCGAAATGCGACGCTTAAGGGCAGCATTCACCGGCATCAGGGAATCCCCTTCGCCCTGCAAAATTTGCATAGGCTGGGCCAGCGATTTCGCCATGGCTGCCATGTGATGTTGCCTACACGGTGCCATCATCGCTCTGGCTCCTAAAACAGGTGTCGATGGCAGGGGTGGCATGCTTGAGGATCGGTTGCAAAACATATCCATATCCATATCCATATCCATGTCTAGATGTTCCTCCATGGTGTCCCTGTTTTTACGTAGTGATCGACTCTTTCTCTCCCTTTTCGCCTTGCTCTTTCTCAAAGATCCAACTATGATCTCGGTGCGGGAAGATCCACTACTGCTTCCGCTAGAGCAGCTTGAGCTGGCGTTCCTTCGCATTGAACTGTGGCCATAAGGCGAGGCGTAGGGACGAGTAGCCGAGAAGGATATGGAACGAGGACGATTCGCCTGTATCATCGTGTAAAGAAAATGATTCGCATTACTTTGAGCTGCTTGGTCAGCCTGCAGGATATGATTGCAAGGATAATTATCAGCGGAATTGGGTTTTATCTCCGCTTTTTTAATCCTGCGTAAAGGGCCAATATTCTCGGTTCTAAAACGTGGATGATTGCCTGGAAAAAAGGAAATCGGGTTGAGCGGTTTAAAAAAAAAACAATTTTACTGTCTTTCAGTTCTGTCCATCCGTTTACTTTACATTTTCTTCTGTAGAATTCATCAATAATCCATTGATTCTATGACTTACCTGTACTATAGCCGCGTTCGTAATAGGACCTGATGGCACTTTCGTAGAGCTCGCTGGTGTTGCGCAAAAACCAGGGTTGCATCCGTTTATTCACTCTGATCAGTCGGTTTAGCTGATCAGGTTTCATTGTCAATATTTTAGATCGAAGAACCTAAGGCTTTTATGGGATATCCAAATGCAAGTTTTGATCCAGACCGTAGATTTCGAATGCTTTCAGTAACAATTTCTTATTTCTTTTCGAAATAAGTGAACCGAAATTGGCAATTGGCTGGGGTTTTTATTTGGCCTGTACTCTAATAATTTTGCTTTGAAAGTGCACCAAATCGATTATATTATTTGAATTTGTATCTGCCTGTTGTTCATACCACTTTGAACTGCTTGGATGCTTTTTGAATCGAATGTCGTGAAAAAACCAGGCGAATTAGTACAGAAATTAACCTAACTGTGGTCTACTCAAACATCCCGATGCGTGAAAATGTCAATATGTGTCAAGTAACGTTAACGTTTATGCAAAATAAAAATAAATGTATAATTATGGATCACTTCAAAAATTTTGACATACGAATTGATGTGTGCTGGGTTTGTTAAATAAAGATAATAAGTTGTACCTAAACTTTGTTTAACAACTTTTCTCTAGGTTTTCTATTTATTTTCAAAGAAAACCCAAAGCCTGATAATCCAAATTCCAACGGGCTTAAATGTTGATGACTCGACTGCAACGAATCCCTCTCCGAATGAATATCTCAGTTTGACTTTCTTACGGGGGCTTACGCATTGAATTAGGCATTTGGACTGTCTGTAATCCTCGACACGTTTTATCCGATATGTCCGAAAACGAAACCCGTAACTTAGTTGAATAATTATGTGTGTTTCAATCAAATTAGCCCACACCGGGCATACATAATGCACTCATGCTCACTCATTCGTTAGTCAACGCTACTAATCCCATCTCCAACCATTGCCCCACGAAAAACACCCATTTGACATTGATTTATCATCGGCTGTCAAAGTGCCTTCATCTGCCACCCATTTCCGTCCATATACCCTTCTTCATGCCATGTCCACTGGGCGTGGTCAAGGTAAAAATGTAATAATTAGCCGCAGTGATGTGATGATGTTCGGGGTCACATCTCCGCAATTCCCTCTCGTTAGGTATAGCTGTAGCATCTGCCCCATACCGCTGACTCGATTTTGAGCTTGGCCAGCAGCAATTTGTCAAAGTTTGGCCTGAAAAATGAATGCTGGTCGCCCGATGGGTGCACTCGAAGAAATTACACTATCTAAATGATGGCAAAAGTAACGAAAACTTGGGATACAAAATATAAGTGGTATATTTATTTTCTTCTTATTGTATAATATAATGGATTTTAAAGAAAATTAGGTAGATATCTAAAATAATGTGTACAATTTTTTTTTAAAAGTTGAATGGTAGGCTGAAGGTCCTTTATATATTTCTTTAAAATACTTTCAAAATCTATGACTTAGGTTCTTTGCTTTTAAAGTCTTCAAATTCTAATGCCAAAAATTTGGTTAACCATTCGAAAAAAAAGTGACTAATTAAGAACACCAAACTCTCTCTCTTTATTTTAATTACCCGGATTTTTGGCGAGTGCCTTTCTATGGTCAGGTGGCTGAGTGGTGCCAGTGGTTCTCCGGTTGAGTGCGTGTACGGTGGGAGATGAGTCCATTGGTTGACCAGTCCATTGATGATGTTGTTTGCTTGTTTGTTATCGCCGCCCTACCACATCACCAATATCCCAGCAGGACCGCTGGTCGAAAAGTGCGCAAAATGCACAAAAAAGAGGGAAACTGCGGACGGCAGGAAACCCGGACATGTAGACCCAGAGACCGGGAGACCCAGACCCGGATTCAAATCCGAAGCAGCTGCATCGGATCCCTGGCTAAATGCATTCTGTGCGCACGAATACAAAAATTGATTTTAATTCAATTACAGTGCGTAATTTATGCATTGCTAAAATCGACCACTAACCCTAGTTAAACACCCTCTGGTGTTCGTTCTTCATCATCGCCTGTTTTTCAGTCATTTTTAGTTTTCCATTTGCATTTCGGAATTTGGTGTTTGAAGAGTATGATAATCGTTGCCTACTTTTTAGGGTTTTAGGGTTACATTGAAGATTTTTAAGTTAAATTTTTTTTAAATTAATATGAAAACATATTCTTTAAATGCTTTTTCCCAGTGTTCATAACCTACTTACTATTACTGTTTTTTTTTTTTTAATTTTCTTCTTAATGTTTGTAAAAGTTTTGGCCAAATTAAGTTAATTGATTGACACATCGCTACTTTTTCTTTCTTTTGCCACCTTTGACCTTCCTAATTGCAGCTTAGACAAACACGCACACATACACCTTAAAATAAAAATGAAAGCTGTAAAAAATTCGAGTGCAAAACTTTCGCAACACCCACTTCCACTTTTGCGAGAGCCCGAAAAATATGTTGAAAGCAACAAAGAGTGGGGGAGGGGACCCTTCTCCTTTGTCAGTTTTTGCTTTCTCTGTCTCTAAGCTGCCACATTAGCAAGTGAGGTGCAAAGTTTACGAGTGTCCTTTTTCACTTCTACTCTTGTTCTTGTCCTTACTTTCAGCCGTCACTCTCATTTCGTCCTGCTGGGACACTCTGATTACCCTGGATTTTTCTATGTTATTTTCAAAATTTTACTTATTTGGAAAGAAATTGTATATAGGTAAGTTAAATTGAGATATAAAAAGGATGTGATTGTTTTAAATTATATTTTATTAGGTATATCTAATGCCTTTTATTTTGGTTTTGTCTTTCGAAAACTGTTAATGTGGAAATCATATAAATAGACGGTCATATTTTGTGATATATCTATGTCTCAAATTGTCACTTTTCAAGGGTATTTTTCGTTTCTGTTCCCTTTCACTTAAAGTCAGCTTTCTTTCAGTTAAGTCTGCTTATGTCTGCAGTTTGGCTCGTTGTTTGCCGTTGTTTCTTTGGTTTTTATGTTTATTGCTGTTGCCGTTGATGTTGTTTGTTATGATTTTGAGTGGATGTGATAATGGGAACCTGCCCCCAAACACCCCTTCTCCTTACTCATCCTGCAACCATCTTGTTGCCTTTGACAGGTGAAAGAGAGTGCCAAGTGCCTTCGAAAAGGTGACAAACAAGATCCGAATGGACCGTTGTCCTTCGTCCGGCGTCCCTATGCAGTGGCCTCATTAAAATTGACATTCATTGCATTTGGGCAATTAGACTAATTGACTTTTAACCAGTTCGCGGCACATGTGTCCCACCTTTTGTGCCCACCCTTTACCGCGCTTTTACCCCGCTTATACCTTTTACATGCATTTTACATGGGTTACATGGCGAACGGTTGCATAATTATGGGCGTGGTCGGGTAATTTAGGCTACTGCTGCAGATGGGCTGCGTAAATTGCGGCACAAGAATAATCTATAAAATATCAGCGTATTTAATCGTTAATCGATGGCAGTGCTCACTGCTTAAAGTCAATTTTAAGCTAATTATGCTGATGTATCACTATCGAACTTGTAACTTTCACATTGGATACCCTTTTAATTTTTACCCAAATATAATTTAAATTTAAATAAACACTAAATTGCAACTTAAAGTAGAGTTTTTTAAAAAAAAATTCACTTCATGTTATATATTTTTATTAATTTGTCTATTGCCCGTCCAACCGACCATGTTCGAAAACTGTCGGGGAAAGAGCAATCGGTGGGATTACAGGAAAGTGAAAACTGTGATAAGGATCAATCAACTGAATCCTGCGGTTCACAAGCCCCCGTATTCCTCCTCCATCCCTGTCCATTGGTTCCTTAAGCTGGACGAGATTCTGGCCCAGACCTTGTCAAGGATCTGACAAAAGAGCGAGAGCGGTGAACAAAAAACCGCACAGGAATGTAGAAAAAGCTGTGAAATGCGGAGTAAAAACTAAGCGAGGGAAACCGAGAGGTGGTTGGTAGGGTAGTGTGAGGTGGTGTTGGTGAAAAAGTGGTGGAGCTGCAGCAACGCGGAATGGCTGCGAAATGGAGATGAATGATGTGCGGGGGATTTGGAAACAGTTGCCACATGGCGTTAGTCAAGCTCAGGGATGCAAGTCAACTGCGCTTAGCGCTGCACTCACTTTGGCCAAAAAAGGGAGGGAGGGATGTGGGGCTAAGCCAGGGAAAACCCGCCCAACAACACACACACACGCACACACAGTCCATCGCTCTGGCTCACTGCAGTCGCTCATTCATTCATTTGCCCAGTCAGGCATTCATTCATTTCCTTGATTATGTTTCTTATCAATGATAAATGAATATGAACGTAGCGAGCACTCAAAACTGCTCTAAACTGGCTGGCAAAGTGAAAGTAAAACCAGCAGGGGATGCCTCGCAGTTGCCAATCGGATTTTGTTGGGCTTAAGAGGTCTTGTATGTTATCTTTTGAACTATATTACGGAAAAAATACACATTCTTTAAAATAAATTCTTATTTAGGGATGCTTTTAGATACTTTTAAATATACATTTTTACATTAAAATGTTTATTAAAAGAAATTTTGTGCATATTTCTATCAAATTTGAATTCCTAAATGAAATTTCTTTCTTTCTAAAAAGTTATGCGTTCAAATAAGGTCAAGTTCCGATAGTCAATATAAATCGATATGCCACGTCGGTTACCTACACACGTCACAAATCCCAGAGTTCGGTGAGGCGAAAGCCAAAAGGGAAAACGAAAGTCAAGCGCAGCCCAGGATGAAACGAAACCGAACTGCTTCTGGTGCGGCTGCAATATCCAACCGTCTCAAAACTGCCACATGGCCACCCTTTCCAGACTCTCCAGCCAATGGGGTCCAAATGCCGATCTAGACCAGGCTAGAGAATACTCAACCCATACCAATCCAAATAACGCTGCAGTTAGGGAAAAAAACATCTGAAAAGATATTTTTTATACATTGATTTAAGTTTGAATTTCTCTGATATCATTAAATACTCTCACAGCCTCTGATCATATTTAGACATTTCGATAATAACTCTTCTAATAGTTTCCAAATTGTGTAATCCTTTTTCCCAGTGCAGAACACACTTGCCTCCGCCGCCATCACTTGATTGCCACAACAACTTTGGAGCACAAAGTTCTTTGTGGTCAGGCATGCGATGGGTTTAAGGGGACCAGCGAGGGGCATGGCCAAAATTCTCGCTGGGAATCAGTTAAAACAGGAGGGGATGTTTGGTCGAGTGGGAGGAGGAGTCAAGCTGGCCGTTTCAAGTGGGCGCTCGGCAATTTTCCAGCACTCTAGAAATAAAATTTTTAACAACTCGTCGAGGCGGGCGCTAAGTGCGCCGACGTTTAAACTCCCCAGAGGCGGGGAAAAAAATTCAAAGGGGCAAAGTGCTAAGCAGGTGTGGTTTCACTGGAAAAGAAAGTGTATTTTCAGTAGCAATTCGAATTTAAGTTTCACTATATAAAAGAAAGATATATAAATCAATAGATTTTCTCTCAAATTTTAGTTGAAAAATACTTATTTTTGATCTTAGTTGTGCTTTGTTTTGGTCAGTGTAGCTTTGAGGTCAGCTTCGGCCGTCTTCCTTGACCTTCTGTCAGATCCAATCCCGCTCAGCGCAAAACTTTGGCCATGCAGCTAAAATATGCAGAAAGAGCAGCGGCGGCATCATCATCATCATCATCATCATCGTAGTCATCATCTAGAGTAAAGAAGCAGAAGCAGCATGGTTCTAACATCAATTACGCACACATTGAAGGCATGTACCACGCCCATTGGCCACCGCCCTCTTTCAGCATCCTTCGTTTATCCCTTTGATGGACTTCCCAATGAATTAATAATGCTGAGTGGGTGAGCTGCATATTCTTGCACCTCTCTCGACCATGCCAATCCACGTAATTATGTCACGGGTTAATAGTGGGTGAGGGGGCTTACGAGGGGGTTAAGTCCTGTCCTGTCCGGC